TAATTGGTTGTCTATGATAAAAAAGCCATCAACTGCTCTAAATTTATGAAATGTAATCCTATTCTACCTTTGATAATGTTTTGAAGCTATCTGTTTTCCTACTTCAAGCCGAAATTAATTAAATAAAAACTGGGCCTGTTCCAGTTTCATTTTGTTCTTGAATGTAGTTCTTTGTTTTGGAAACTGACCTAATCAAAATACTGTTAGACTTTGGTTTAAATATTTTGCATAACATTGTTGAAATATATCTAGAATTAATATGCTGTTATCAAAGCATACATTCTGAATATTATCAATATTTATTATTCAGACTTTAACAGCTGTTGAGTTGCATGTCTGTCATATTTTTTTAAAATTTAGCTATATAATGATTCTTTTTTCCTAATAACCTTATCTGACTTGGTAATTCAATATTGGCTGGCTGTTTTGTCCAGCTAAGTCATTGGTCTGTGTAGTAATTGCTGGCAGATGTGAACATGATAGTCCAGATGAGGCAGTGTTGAATCCAGTAGCAGTACTGCAAATAGAATAATTATCAGTTCCTAGATCATACACTCTTCTAGGATATAAAACAAAAAGATCTAGACTTCAGCAAATAAGGAGGAGGATATTTGCTTACATATGATATTGCTGCATCATTGAATAAGGCAATGGTGCAAATGTGCAAAAAGTAAACCACCTATTGGAAAGTTACTTGAAATAATTTACCTATATACCTATATACACAGATGCAATAACTTGGATTAAGTAAAAGGTCCCTAGGGGTCAGCAATATTTGGTGAAACAATATTGAAAAATGAAAGAGCAATTTGTTAGAAGCAAGAAGTGTGTTGTTTCTTTGTTATCTAAGTAATCACACACGCCTTCAATTTCCCTATAGCCATCTAAAGTCTCTCAGTTAAGCCACTTTTTAAACTATCTTTTGAATATTATTAATGAATCTGCTTGCACCACCATTTCTGACAGTGCATTCTAGGACATAACAGACTGCAGAAAATAAATATTTTGCTCATGTTATCTCCAGCTCATTTGCCAATCAGCTTTAATCCATGCCTTCTGCATACTGACTCTGAAATAATTTCTCTTTATTTCTGTATCAAAGCAAGTCATGATTTTGAACATCTCTTAACCTTTTATACTTTAAGGAGACCAACCCCAGACATTTCATTCTCTACATGTAATTGAAGTTCCTTATCCCTGATAACTCACAGTAAATCTCTTCTAAGTTCTCTTAAGGGCTTTGACATCCTTCCAAAGTGTAGTGCCTAGAATTGTACACATTACTCCAACTGAGGCCTAATCAGTGACATATAAAAATAACCTTTTGTTTGCACTCTGTTGCTGTATTACTGTTATTGCTCTATTATTAAATATCATTATTATTATGCAGGATTCCGTATGCTTTTATAAAATCTAGCATTTTCCATTGCCAACTTTAAAGAATTAAGCCCTCAGTGTTCCTGCACTTGGTTTCTATTGCCTCACCGCATTCTTCCTACTAAAAGGTATCATTTCACATTACAGGTCAGGTATCCATCAGCTGAACATCTGAAATCTGAAAAGACCTAAAAATAACAGAAGTCCTTTTGGAAGTGGACCCTAACAAACCTGTTGACACACTGAATCTGGCCCTTTTGGAAAAAATACTTTCTTTGAATCGAATGGACCTGAACAAACCTAAAAATGAAGTTTTTCTTCAAAGTGCCAAACTCAGCATGTCTATGGGTCTGTTCGGGCCGTTTGGGAAAAAAAAAACTTTGCTTTTAGATATTTTTGGACCTGAAAGGACCAAGTAACTAGATCCAAGAAACAAAAATGCCCTTCATCTGAAAACCAGTTGGTTCTGAGGTTTTTGGATAAAGGATTCCTGACCTGTATTAAATTGCATCTGCCATGTATTTGCCCATTTCACCAGTCCAAATCCTCCCAAAGTCTTTGTTCACGACATTTGAGTTTATCTGCAAACATTGGAATTATGCCCTGTGTGCACAACCATACAATGTAAATAATAAGAGCAGCGGTCCTAATTCAAATCCTCACAGAACACCACTTTCCCCAGCCTGTAAATAAGATTCAGTATTTTCTCTGCTTTCTTCTCCTTATCCAATTTTGTATCCATGCTGCCTCTGTCCCTTTAATCCGAAGAGCTTTAATTTTGCTAATTTTGCTAACAAGTTTATTATGCAGTGGTAGTGTCCCTACTTCTGGGCCAGAAAGTCTGGGTTGAAGTCCCATCTACTCCAGACATCTGTCGTAACATGTTTGAACAGTTTCATCATAAAGTCGACATCAACTCTCATCAATCCTCTAAACTACCTTAAGAATATGATCAAGTTAATCAAATACAATTGGCCTTGAACAAATCCATGTTGACTTTCATTATTAGCCTGTACTTCTTTGAAATGCCAATTAATTTTGTTCTAGAGTATTATCTCTAATAGTTTCACACCAACAATATTAAATTAACTGCCCTCTAGTTGCTGGGCTTATCCCTCCCCATTATTCTGAAAAGAGTGCAACATTTGCAATTTTCTAGTCGTCAGTCACCATTCTCACACTTGGGGATGAAATCTGCCATCCTCACCTGGCCTGGCCTACATGTGATTTCAGAACCACGGCAATGTGATTCTCTGAAACGGCCCTCTGATATAACCTAGCAAGGCATTCCATTCAAGCACAGCTAAAGGCAGGCAATAAATGCTGGCCTGTCATTGAATCCGATGTCCCATAATGAATAGAAAAAAGGTTTAGAGAGTGATTATTTGAGGAATTTCATTGGTAGCACACGGGAATAGTTTGTACGAAAGCAGTATCAAGAAATTAGTTTTGGTAACCAAAAGTAGAGAGATATCAAATTGAACTGGTACAAAGTTGGAAATAAACCAGATACAATTGCATATCTAGTGATGATTGAAGACAAACTCTGTCTGTGTTATTTGTTTGAAAGAGGAAATCTGAATAGAGAGCTTGAGAACCCTCCTACAGCTCAAATTCTTCCTTCTGTCCAAAACGCAAGTCAGAAAGAAACTGAAAGGTAGCTAGTATCAGAGAAACTCAAAGAGAAAAGTGATTCAAGATATTTGATTAATCACAATTGATTAGTGATAATCAACCCATGTCATTTATGGTATGGGAAGTAAATTGTAAATGATTGTAGATTCAGGAAATATTTGCTTTTAAAACATCTTTATTTACTTAAAGCTGATAGGTAGAATATTACATTTATTCTTGTATATATTCTCTTGTACTTGTATACAAATCTGTAGTCCCCTATTCAGCCTAATAACAATTTATGCTAAAAAGATCATGTACACATTTAATACAAGTTTGACAGTCAGAACAGAATTAAATTAAATAGGAAATAATGATGCATCATTTTGCCCATGTTTCTATATCAAGATTTCTTAAGTTACAGATAATATGGAGTAACGCTTCATATCATTGTCAAAGTTTATTGAAATATTTTGAACTGCAATTGGCTTAATTATATATAGAGTATAGAAGTTCACAACTAGAAGTAAGATTGTACAATTAGATGTAACAATTTAGAAAAATTCTCGAATTTGATGCAAATTTGGATAAGAATTAAAATAATATACATTGGAAGAGCTGAACAAAACATATATTTGGACATTTTCTAACTAACTTCCAGAATCTGTTAGCCTTGTAAAATAAAATGTTCAATTTACGAAGTGCAACCTTGAAATCTCAATAGCTTTCTCTCATAATAGGCATGTAGAGGTGCACCGATCATAACCAGTTTGCCACAACTGGATTTATAATACTCCACTTCAAACTAGTGTCCAGTTTTCCTGATTTTTGTTTTGAAATCACTTTTTCACTACTAAATGTCATAGAAGTTTTCAATTGAATTGAGCATAGGAACCCATGGTTCATATCAGGATCAGGATCAGGATCATGTATCCACTTATGCAGTAAAGATTCTGCATATCAAGACCTTTGAACAGAAGGAAGTCCAATAAAATACACTCTCTTAAGCAGGTCAAATAGTTCCTCCAGAGAATCTGTGCAGATGGTAATTAGAATCTAAATATATATTATCCAGTAGTGACCTTGATCTATTTATAAGTCTTCCAATTAAAACTGATTTGAGAACATGCCCAAAATATGTTGAAAAAGAATCAGTTTCTCTTCATATATTTCCAACATTATTGTGTGCTACCTGGGCTGAAACCTCAACATATGAAACTTCGGTGAAGTTTGAAAGTTTCAGTCAGGTGTCAATTGACTCTATCTTAGTCATTTGCAAGTAGGCAGCATAAAAGCTTCACTGTACATGGAACATAGAACATAAGACAGTACAGGCCCTTTGGCCCACGATGTTGTGTCAAACTTTTACCCTAAACCTAAGGTCTATCTAACCTCCACCCCTACCTTATACTATCATCCATATGCCTATCTAATAGCCGCTTAAATGCCCCCAATTGAGGCCGACTCCACTACCCTCTCTGGCAACGCATTCCACACCCCTACCACTCTCGGAGTAAAGAACCTACCTCTGACTTCTCCCCTATATCTACCTTCATTCACTTTAAAACTATGCCCCCTTGTAATAGCTACCTCCACCCTAGGAAAACATAGATTACCATCTTTTCATTACAGAGGTTTTCAGTGTGATACACAATTATCTCTGATTAAGTTTTAGCTCATAGTGCACAAGAACAGCCAATGACTTAAAGAGAAATAATTCAAATATTACAATAATTATAAATTATTTGAATGATTTTTAAGTGCCAAAACTTTAGTATTGTACTTAAATCTGGATGTGAGAAATGTTGGATCAGCTATGATCCTACTGAATGGTAAAACAAACTAAGGGACCAAATGACCCTACTTCTGTTCCTATTTCTTATGGTCTTCTAACTTTACTGTACATTCCACTAACTAGAATTATGTATGAAATTAAAAGTCTTCCTAAATTCTTTGCCATTGTAATAGGAAAATTTGTGACCTTGTCCATCATTCATTTATTGCAATAGACTTTTGGTGATCGGGTCCTCGCACCAGCTTCTTGGCTAGTTCCACTTTTTGTCGTATTTTCTACCTTTGGAGCTGCAAATGGTTCTTGTTTCACAGCTGGCAGGTAAAAAAAAATTCATCAAAACCGAAAACAAATATGCATTTTCCTAATTTGTTTCCAATGTATCACATATTCTTTGGCTAAGTGTATGAACAGGAATCTACTTCCAAACCACTGCAAATGTTATCCATAAGCTCATCTCTCAATATGGCAAGACAATAATCTAAAATACACCGTTGTTTTAAAAAATATACTTTATAGTTGAGGGGGTGAAAGCTGTGAAATTTTCACATCACCATGATGCACAAGAGGGGAGCTTTAATGAACACAATTGTGGAAACCAACTCATTCAAAGAATGAAACTGCTTTCATTTTTGGAGGAGTTCAAGTAATTCACTGTTGAGAGGTAAGTCTGTAATGCCAATGTGGAAAATAACATGTATTCCTAAAATATTGGAGTTGTATTAGAGAAGTTGAGCCCTTCTCCTTGGAGAGATGTTTGGGAGAAAGCTTAATAAAGGTTTTCAAAACCATGAAAGGTCTTGACAGAATAGGTAAGAAGAAATGTTTCCAATTGGTAAAACAGTCAAAATCAAAAGGACACTCTCATTAGGATGAATGGCACAGGAACCAATGGCAAAAAGAGGAAAGCTTTTTAATGCAATAAATGGTTAGCATCCTGAATACACTGCCTGAGTGTTTGGTGGAGGCAGACTCAATTCTGGCTTCAAGAGAGAATTGGATCATTTTTATGCAGAGAGAGAAAAAAAAATTGCAGAAGCATCAGAGCTACAGATTTGCTCTTGCAGTGAGCCGCATGAAAAATGGGCTCCTTCTATGTTGCAACCATCTTGTGATATAATTCTGATTTTCGTTATATTGGTCAGAGAGCAGGAAATCACCCTGTTCTACATTAAGCGAGTCCAACTGACTCAAAGCAGTGGGCAAATGTTCCACAGATGTAGCTGATAGCAATTGGCATCAAATTCTGGATGGAGGCAGTGACGAGATGAGGATCATTGAGATAGGTGCCTTTCTGTTTACACTAATCCGAATAACAATGGGACAGAGTGCACAGCAGTTCCACCCTGTGAGCAAAGATCACATATGTTATCAATAGGTGCAAGCTCCTTTCAACTTATTTCTACTTCCTTTCAGTGCCTGGCTCAGTCATATAATCTGCTTCTGGCTCAGGGAACATTGTTACATGGCAAATAAATGAAATAGATTGACATGCACATTTAAAAAAAGAAACATACTTTCTCTGCTAATATTGAAGAGGGAAACAGGCACAAACTCACTTTCTCCTAAACAGTGAAGTTGCTGGAGAAGCTCAGCAGGTCTGGCAGCATCTGTGAAGAGAAATCAGAGGTAACATTTCGGGTCTGATGACCCTTCTGGGGTCTGTGGAAGGGTCACTGGACCCGAAACATTAACTCTGATTTCTCTTCACAGATGCTGCCAGACCTGCTGAACTTTTCCAGCAACTTCTGTTTTTGGTCCTGATTTACAGCATCTGCAGTTCTTTCGGTACTCCTAAACACTGATCACAAAAATGTAGTATGCTCCTATCAGTCTGTACACAACAGTCTTTTTCAAGCTCTCTTTGGTTTGTGAAAATTAACTAATAGCCAAAACTTTTTTGTGCATCTGAGGAGTTGTTCTGATTTCATCTTTTCTAAACAGACTTACATTTGTCACAGCCCGTGAGGGTCACATGGTTAAGATTTTGTCGTACATCAATGTCAGATATTTAACACCTTCACCGGCTCTCCTGTTCAATGTAAGTGATCCGTGCTTTCAATTACAACTATAAAAAATTCAAAAAGCCTGGTACTATGCTGTAAAATGATAATAAAATGGCAGTAAGATTGTGTTGGTGTTTGCACAGCAATAGAAATAATGGAAAGTCAACATCAATAAAAATTTTATACACTGTCCAAATAAGTATCTGAATATGTTGAAAATGTTGTGATTGTGTGAAAATTACTTACTATTCTAGTCCAACACACCTAACTTAATTGAAGCTTTGCCATAGAAAACTAACTATGACTGTCATGGGTCTGTATTTTATGATAGTGCTTTAGAATGCAAGCCATTTAAAAAGCAACTTAAACAGAATTCCTTTTCTTGTATTATGAGATTATCTGGTGCCATTTCATTAGCAATAGCCGTGATTAGAGTTAGTTATTTATGGTCAAGAAACCAATAACTTGTAGATATGACATCACCGAATGCAAACATAAGTCTAAATCCTGAATTCAGTTCAAAATTTATGTAAGAATGAATAAAGAGTGAAAATAAGCCAAGTATTTTACACCATCATCATTGTCTAATCTGAGATTTACCAGGATGTTGCCTGGCTGGAGAGTTTTAGTAATGAAGAGAGATTGGATAGACTGTGGTTGTTCTCCTTGGAGCAAAGAGTTTTGAGGGGGGACATGATTGAGATGTATAAAATTGAGGAGCATTGACAGGAAAGAACTTTTCCCTTTGGTAAAGAGCTCAATCACTAAGGGGCATAGATTTATGGTAAGGGGCAGAGATTTACAGGGGATGTGAGGAAAATTGTTTTCACTCATAGGGTGGTGGGAATCTGGAACTCACTGCCTGTAAGGGTGTTCGAGATGGAAACATTCATAACATTTAAGAAGTATTTATATGTGCACTTGTGATTCCAATGCGTACAAGGCTATGGACCAAGTGCTGGAAAATGAGATTAGCATAGTTGAATGCTTCATTTTGACTGGGGCATAGTCAAAAAGCTGAAGAACCTTTTATTTCTGTGCTGAGTCTATGACTCTATACTAAGCTATCACAAAACAAAAGTCAACAATATAACCTTGCATAATAATTTACCACAAACCTCTAAGTTACAACAGATCAGAAAGATAGATGAAGACAAGTTTTGCCATTGAAAATTAACAAATGTAGAAATTTAATACTTTAGTAGATACTTTAACAGGTTAGTCTCATTCTGTAGACCTCCTTATTATATCAAAGTTCTTCATAACAAAAGATTAGTTGGGCTTCTGTGTCCAGGATTGAACAATAATTCTAAAAGTGCTTACCTTAAAGCTGCTAAATAAAACAACAACGCTTGTGAAACCAAAGCAATTGCTCCCTGAATGTATCTTCGCATCATAAGGGGGTAGAATGGGCACTTTCTTTCTTGATGGTTAAGTTAGTACAATAAGGTGGTACATTCTTCAACAGTTCTAATTCGTGTTTTGAAACAGGTTTGCTGGAAAATTCTGATCCAATAGAAAACAGGCCTTTTTAGCATATACAGAACAAAAAAAAACTAAACAGTACTTTTATTCAATGGAAGAGACATGTGGAATAGATATTTTAAGAAGACTTCTGATTTGCTGATGATGTTTTTTTCTGTTCTTTTTTGGAATTAAAATCAGCTGATAAATTTCCTGGTATTAAATGTAATTTCAATTGTAACCACTCTTCAGTTACCTAACTATTATACTGCACTCTATTTTTCAGGGCTTTCTAGCTATTGTCTACATAATTCCAGCGGATATTAACACCCTTATAAATTACTTCAGCTTTGCTTCCTGGATTTTTTATGGACTGACTACATTCTCCCTGATTGTTATGAGATTTACAAGAAAAAGTCTGAATAGACCAGTAAAGGTTAGAGTTATGTGGTCTTTCTTTCCCATATGAATGTATTAGTATATCATAGAATCCCTACAGTGTGGAAACAGGCCCTTTGGCCCAACAAGTCCACACCGAACCTCAGAGCATCCCACCCAGACTGATCCCCCTATAAACCCACCTAATCTACACATCCCTGAACTGACAATTTAGCATGGCAAATCCACCCTAGCCTGCACATTTTTGGACTGTGGGAGGAAACCGGAGCACACGGTGGAAACCCATGCAGACATGGGGAGAATGTGCAAACTCCACACAGACAGTCGCCTGAGGGTGGAATCACCGTGCCACCCCACCCCCCTCCATTCCTGGAAACACTGCAATACAAGGTCAATGCGCGGAGTGAATGCAGCAAGCCCTGCTCCAAAAATCAGATTAATATATGGTCTTTAAGTAAAGGACGTATCAGATATTAAAGCTGATAAGAATAGAAACAACACTTCTATAATATAGTCTAGATAATAAATAGATGCGTGGTTTCCGTTCTGAGGTTTTTTTTAAAAGAAGTCAGAAAATCATTTGGAACAGTGAACTATAGACTTCATTTCCAAGAAAGCATGTGTCTTAAGTACCCAGAAGGATGGTTGTTGAGTTAAAGTGTTTACAAAGTTAAACATTTACATAGAGAAAACAGATCAGATCCTCTCCCTCACTTGAACATTATTGGTAGGTTGCATTGCCCTTAATTGGCTCTGCAAATATATTAGTCAATTGGAAAACGTGAGTAATTTACTGGTGGTGGTTAATAAGTTAAAAAAAATGGTGATTTAGGATTGGGGGAAAAAATTCAGTTGTGTGCATGAGCACTTCTAGATGCAAAAACAAATCAGAGGTTTTAGTATTAGTAAGACTGTACCTAGAGTACAGTTTTGTTCCACTTATTTGAGGAGGGATGCAGTTGTATTGGAGGCAATTCACAAGATCAATTCCAGAGGTGAGAGGTTTGTCTTTTGAAGAGATTGAACACCTTAGGCCTTGGGATTGATAACAGTAAGAGGCTATTTACTTGAGGCATAGAAGGTGCTAAAGGGGATTGACAAAATAGATAGAGAGGATGTTTCCTTTTGTGGGCAATCTTGAACAAGAAGTCATAGTTTTAGGATAAACAATGGCAGATTTAAAACAGATGAGGAGGATTTACTTCTCTAAAAGAGTCATGAATCTGTGCAATTCACTATCCCAGATTACAGTGCATGCTGGGACAATGAGTAAATTTAATGAGGAGATAGGCAGATTTTTAATTGTTAATGGATTGAAGGATCGTAGAGAGTGGGCAGGAGAGTAGAGTAGAGTAGAGTTGAGGCTGAGATGAGGTCAGCCACGATTGTATCAAATGGCAGAGCAGACTTGAGGGGCTGAACTGCCTACTCCTGGTCTTCGTTCTTACGTTGAATTAGAGCTCTTGTACTTGTTGATGGGCTTCTGGATGTCAGAAACGTGACTTGATTTTTTAAAAAACTCAAACCATTCCTGTATTCATATTGTTAAACCTTTTTTTGTTTCAGATCCCAATGGTTTTTCCAATTATAGTGACTATTGTCTCTATCTACTTGGTTCTTGCTCCAATCATTGACTCTCCAGAGTTGGCATATTTATATTGTTCACTATTTATTGGTGGAGGATTGATATTTTACGTCCTGTTCATTTACTTTCACTTCAGCTGGACCCAAAAAGTGATTAGTAAGTAGTCACTATTTTTGTTTAATATAATTATCAGTTCATTTGACAACTAGCAATACCAAACCAAACAGATAATGAAGTGATTCAAATTATAAACTAATTCAAGTATGTTTATCCTAAAAACAGTCTAGAATGTAACCTTTGATGATTAAACTGAATGAGCCCAGTCATCTTTTTAAGTGATGGAGCAATACAGCACAGGGTGGGAATAGGTTAAATTTCAATGTTGAATTCCATATCTGAGCTGTATTCCTTTGATCAAGGTCCAATCAATTCCTCATGCAGAGATTAGAATCAAGAAAAAGTGCAACTAGAGGGAAGAACCAGAACAGTCAGTGAGGATTTTGTTGGAGTGGTAACAGTCCTTAAATATATCTCAAATTGAAACCCTAAGAAGCTGGCTTATGATGGGATTGAGAGGGCATGATATGAAACTTAGAAGTGGGGCAAGAAATTAAATAATGTATTTTAAACCCGTAAATAATTAATTTAGACTAGACCTTTGGATCACTAGCCTAGTTAAAATATCATCATCTCAATTTACAAAATATAACTAGTAAATTTGATGTTGTTTTTAAACTCTGGGGTTTGTAAGAACATTACTATCAAACACAAGATGAGACCACTTATCATTACGCTATTTATTCCAGCAGGCAGGTGGAAGTAGCAGCTATCACACAAGTAATATCAAATGGGTCACAGATATAAATACTGAGGTTGTAGTCATGCTCGCCGAGCTGGTGGGTTTGGTTGCAAATGTTTTGTCACCCTGCTGGGTAACATCGTCAGTGCGCCTCTGGTGAAGCATTGGTGTTCTGTCCTGCTTGTTATTTATATGTCTCGGTTTGCTGGGGTGATTGGTATTATTTTTGGTTTTGTTTCTCAGTGGTTTGTACACAGGGTCTAATTCAATGTGTTTCTTGATGGAGTTCTGGTTGGAATACGAGGCCACCAGGAATTGCCTGGCGTTGTCTCTGTTTGGCTTGCGTGATTATCAATGTGTTGTCCCAGTCGAATTTGTGTTCCTTGTTATCCGTGCGTAGTGAGATAAGTGAGAATTGGTCGTGTCTCTTCGTGGCTAGTTGGTGTTTGTGTATCTCTATAATCAATTTTCTTCCAGTTTGGCCAATGTAGTGTTTCCTCACAGTCCTTGCATGATATTTTGTATGTTACCCCAGTTTTGCTGGTTTTGGGTACGGGATCCTTTACATTCATCAGTAGTTGTCATAGGGTGGTTGTTGGTTTGTGGGCTACTCTGATACCTTGGAGTCTGAGCATTCTTGTGGTCATCTCTGAAATGTCCTTGATGTATGGTAGGGTGATATGTAATTCTGGTCGTGTTGTGTTCTGTCTCGGAGATAATAGCGGATTGTGCTTTTTGGGTATCCAATTGTTCTGAAGACTCCATCTTGTTCTGTTCTCTTCCTGTTCTGCTTTGCGTAGTTCCAGGTTGCTGCAATGTGTTGTGACTCATTTAAATAGTGTCCTGATGCAGCTCTGTTTGTGGGCATTGGGATGGTTGCTCGTGTAATTGAGTATTTGGTCCATATGGATGGTTTTTCTGTATACGGTAGTCTCGAGTTCCCAGTTGTTTTTATGTTCTACCATTATGTCCAGGAAGGGTAGTTGTGGGCATTGGAGTGGTTGCTCGTGTAATTGAGTATTTGGTCCATATGGGTGGTTTTTCTGTATACGGTAGTCTAGAGTTCCCAGTTGTTTTTATGTTCTACCATTATGTCCAGGAAGGGTAGTTGATTATTGTTCTCTTCTTCTTTCATGAATTTTATAACGGTAAGGACATTGTTTATGTGTCAGTGGGTTTCTTCCAGTTTAGTGCGTTTCATAATCACGAAGGTGTCATCTACATATCAGACCCAAAGTTTGGGTTGTATGGGGGAGGGGAAAAGTGCTAACCTTTGCAATCAGTTCTGATATTGGGGATCCTATGTGTACCAGCACTTCCCACTTAAACAGATTTGATTGAAGCAAGAAGAGCCAAAACTAATCTAATGATTTCTGTTTTAATTAAGCAACGGATCTTGTATGTAAAGCTTAATAAAGTGTTTGGCAAAAATTAAAGCTCTGGTTAACAATACAAAGTTCATGAAATAGGAGTTAGTGTGGGCTTGCAGAAAATACTTGGCCCAAGAATAGAAGTGTCAGGGAAAATGGTCTTTCCTGACTGGGCCATAGCAGTAAATAATGTTCCCCAAAGATCTGTGCTACAGTCACTGCACTTTTGTATTCATATCAGAGCATAGTGGTAACATTACTGCATTAGTAATCCAAAGGCCCAGACTAAAGACCTGGAGTAATGAATTCAAATCCCACAAAGGGAGATGGTTATGTAGTGGCAATGTCTTTGGACTGATAATAGAGGAATATGGGGTTGAATATTAGCTGTCTTTAAAGTCCAGTCATGCACTCAGTCAAGTACTGTCAGTCCATAGCTGCATTGCACAATTCTTGTTAATGGCCCCAGACATAGAAGACAGAAGCAATTGGAACTCCACTTTACTGATGGGACCTGGAGGATGGGTGGCGCACGTGCACTCAAAACCCATGGAATGGGTCCTAAAATATTGGTGACTGATATCCAAGATGGTCTTCTCGCCTTCTAAGTGGTGAGCTGGAATCAACAGGTTATTGCTATCATTTTCAGACCAGGAACTGTCCCATTCTAGTTTCTATCTGGTGAATTGAAGAATGGGGAAACTGCAGAACAATGAGGTGAGGTTACATAAGAATGTTTATTCATGCAAATAGGCCTCTTGCGTAAGAATCTGTCTTCCTTTTCAAAACTTGGTTGGAAATGAGGCTTGACATTGAAAATCTGATTACCATCAAACTTGTGATTCTCCCAACATTCTAGAGGAAAGGTTCAATTCTATAAAAACATCTTTCATTTCTGTTCAGTATATGTTTCGTATAGTGAAAGCACCTTTTGCATTTTAACACATAAGTAACCACTTGAAATTATAAAATTTCTTCACATAATCCACTTGTTCATGATTGCCAGTGACCTATTTGTCATCAAAACAATCTTTTAATTGTGTCCCCAGGGCCTATTACCAAACATCTGCAGCTGTTGATGGAAGTGGCACCAGCAGAGACTGAAATGTAAAAATCATCTATTACTTCACTTTTAATACTTAACATGGCTGAAGATGGATATCAGGCACTGATGGCTGTATTATTTCCTGACATATTGAAAAAATCTTCTGTACTGTTTATAATATCTCAAAGTAAATGCTATTGCTTGCAATTATCAGAAATATGTACCATTGTGTTAACATTCTGACACTTTGAATGTGTGCTGTTAAAAAAACTCACACTATGATGCATGTTTGTGTACTTATTAATTAAAATTTATATTGAAGGACCCTCATTCTTTAGTGTACCAATTTGAATTGATACAGTCAGATCTGCACTACAGTGTCAAAGTAATGCACCAAATCAAAATCAAGTATCACCCTTCATCTCTCGCACAACTAACAGAGTTTTCTGGAGATAAGTAAATAGTATTTTCATCTGGTAAATAATTTAAAAATTCACATCATTAAATGACTGTTAAAATCTAAAATAAAAATCTGGTTATCCAAGATGTAATATACAAAGTAGACCAAGATTAGTGGTCCCTAAAGTACATATTTTAATGAAGTAGAGACTCGACAAGCACATTACATTTTCAACACAAATCCAGGAGGAAATGTGGTGTGCAGTAAAGAGAGGACCATAGGTTGCTTGCTCATTGAGGAGAGATGGCTGAGTTTAATCTGAGGGTCACCATGTCTCAAATGCAAAGTTGTGCTAAGTCGTAATACCAATTGCATATTTAAAAGATGAAAAATTATTGGCATTTGTATTCATAAAGTTTGCGAGAGACACATTTTGGAGGTAAGAATCAGAGCATCTTACACTTCAGAGCAAATTGAGAAGATTCCCCCCTCCCCCCGCCACAGAGGGTGGTATTCAAATCTTATATGGATATGGACCTCAGAAATCTCAGATCTGACTCGAAAAGCAGCATTCATTTACTACAAGAGAGGAAAAATTAAGTGTTTTTTTTAAAAGGAACTTTGATAATGGAAATGTGGGATTCTGGCAGTTAGAAAAAAAAAGTTGAATGACTGCAAAGACAAAGAGTTTAAAAAGAAAAATAAATTGTGAAAGTTAAGAGGCAGTATTTATTACTTTGATTTTTATGAAGCTTCATCAAGTAAACATCTTAATGACACAGTAGGAATCAGGCAATGATCATGGTGCAAATTTGAATAAAACGTCTTGTGCAAGTGTCAAGCAGCAAGAATGCTTACTACTCATGCTGCGTCTCTATTTTCAGGTGATAGGACTGATTAACTGGCTTTTAGTACAAGCTTCTAAAATAACCCATATTCAGATTTTCAAAGCTGTATATTCTATTGTATGTTAAGTTTGTACAATTGTATTTTTAAATTCAGCATTTTGTACATTTATTTGTTTCAACAATAATTATCTAAATTTAAGGATATTTTAATGTTAGTGATTAACTACATTAAATTTAAATATTTCTAGATTAAGTCAAAAATTCACCTGGATTTGATTATTCACATACTGTAATTCGGAAGTTGGATTACAGCTATACTCTACTGCCACCTGCTGTAACACCGTTCATCATCTTGATTGTTGGCATCAAGAAATAATTTGATGTTTGGTCCTCAGGCTCCATGATTTCTTTAGGCTTCATTTTCTTTGTAGACTTTACAACACAAGATCCCAAATACATAAAATACAATACTTAGTAAAGCTGAGTCTCAATGATCTGTCTGCTACAAGTGGGTACTGCACATTTGAACAAGTTACAACTTTACTATTGGTTTGAAAATAAATTATGGGCAAGTCCTCAAAGCATACAGTTTACCAACTCAAACAAAAATTGAGAGGTGTTTTCTCAAATCTCATGCAATTGTGTAAAATCTTTTATTTTGTTACAAGATGGATGTCAAATGTTCTGAATAGCAGGTCATAGGCTAAGATTACTCCCTCAACTGTCATCATAAGCTAATAATCAAATCACACACACTTTTGCTAATTGTAGAACATAGAACAGTACAGCACAGTACAGGCCCTTCAGCCCACGATGTTGTACCGAACTTTTAACCTAAACCTAAGGTCTATCTAACCTCCACCCCTACCTTATACTATCATCCATATGCCTATCTAATAGCCGCTTAAATGCCCCTAATGAGGCCGACTCCACTACCCTCTCCGGCAATGCATTCCACGCCCCTACCACGCTCTGAGTAAAAGAATCTACCTCCACTCACTTTAAAACTATGCCCCCTCATAATAGCTACCTCCACCCTAGGAAAAAGTCTCTGGCTATCCACTCTATCTACACCTCTGATCATTTTGTACACCTCTATCAAGTCACCTCTCATCCTTCGTCGTTCTAAAGAGAAAAGCCCTAGCTCTCTCAACCTTTCCTCGTAAGATCTTCCCTCCATTCCAGGCAACATCCTGGTAAATCTCCTCTGCACCTTTTCCAACGCCTCCACATCTTTCCTGTAATGAGGCGACCAGAACTGGACACAATACTCCAGATGTGGCCGAACCAGGGTTTTGTATAGCTGGAGCATAACTTCACGGCTCTTGAACTCAATCCCTCTATTAAATGAAAACTAACACACCATACAACTTCTTAACAACTCTATCCACCTGGGTGGCAACTTTCAGGGAATTGTGGACATGAACCCCAAGGTCCCTCCGCTCCTCCACACTGCCAAGAATCTTTCCGTTAACCCTGTATTCTGCTTTCAAATTTGTCCTTCCAAAATGAATCACCTCACTCATTTCAGGGTTAAACTCCATCTGCCCAGCTCTGCACCATTGTCTATGCTTCTGGTACCAATTTGTAAGCACTCAAAATAGCCTGTTTAACATCTTCATATTCTCTTGATACCTCATCTGACAGTACTGCAAACACCTCACTAGCCCCATCAACTTGGTCTGAATTAACATTACCCATAGAGTCTGTGGCCTATTCATCTGCCTAGCCAATTTCTCAAAGGAAATGAAAAAGGCTTCTGCATCTTTTTCATTGAATTTTGGTAACGTTTTGACATATTTGTACCAAAGACCTGCGAGGGATATATACAATGGGTCTGCTTATCATCACGCTCCTCCTCACTAAACCTATGTCAGCTATCCTGTTTAATTTGCAACTTCTGATGTTCAAAGTCTCTCTCTTTCTCCTTCTCTTCTCTCTCTTTTTCTTTGGCCAGAGCAATTCTCTACTATTCTTTTTCCTCTGCTTTTAACTGTAATTCAAACTGTTTCAGTTCCATTCAGATCCCGTACACAAACCAGCCAGATCCTGGATTTGAGCCCCAAACGGTTATGGAAAAGGGGAGGTTAAATGAAAGGAAATCCCTGATATTCACTTTATAAAGTAACGAGTAACAATTTATTTATTTAACCCTAACAGTGAACAAATTAACACTACTAAAATCAAACCGAACAATTCCCTCCTAACTCCTGACTATTCCCTAACTGAACAAAATTCTACTGGTATGCTATTCCAATAAACACAAGTCCCACTTATATAACCCAAGTAGTAAGAAAAAAAAATTAAAACTTAGTCTCTCAAAGTCCACACAGAGAATGTGTCTGCTGGAATGCTCTGCCTTCTCCACTCAAACACCTTTCCTTCGCTGATCCTGCTGTCAGGGATGTTTTTGCTATGAAGACTCTTTGTTAGAAGTACTGTGTCACCCTTTATGTTTAAGAAGGTGCTTTCTTAGAGAGGTTAGTGATTTCTTGAGAGCTAGGTGCTTATTTCTCAGATGGCGGTTCGCTCTCACACCGATTTTCAAAAACCGTTTCCTCATATACCCTGGATGATGTATCAATTTTCTTACAACAGCATTGGTCCGAGGTAATCAAAATCATCAGATTTAAATTCATTTTAACTTTCAATTGCTAAGTGCTTGGTTTAAATTAATTGGCTGATTCCAGCTAATTGCCAAATCATCAAAACAAGCCTAAGGTTTCCAATAACACAGCCAATTGATACATATTTCACTTTTGAGGCCTTGCTGTACTTGTCAGTGGTTTTACCTTAGGACATAAAATAATGATCCTCATTATCCAAATCCTCATTATCTGCAAGAGATGGGACATGGAATTTTGCAGATAAAAGAAACTGACATTCACTCCAATGCAACTCTCCTATGCGCTCTGAAGGAGTGCACAATCAGACCAGATGAGTCAATGAGGAAAAAAATTATGGGGTCTAAGGCCAACCTCACACATAGGTAAATCCATGGATAGCAAAAAAGCAGGTAATGAGTACTGAGTGTATACTTAAAGACGCAATATTTCAATACTCCTTGTCTAGAAATCCCTATGAGTCTGTGATAGTCTGAATTAACTACAACAACCACATTAATGAAACTAAACTAGAATCTTGTCTGTCTGAACGAACCAGTCCTACAAACAGCACTCTTTCGACAATTTCAAAATTAGGGTTCAAGACCTCAACAACATTGCATGAAGAGTTTTTCACGTCCTAAAGCAAATCACAACCAGCAAATTAGTTTTGAAGTGCACTGGCATCTGCAATCATTGACAAAATGACAATCTGTGCAATGCTGGCCCCCCAATAATAAGGATATAGCCAGTGATCGGTTACTGTGGTCTCAGTTAACAGTCAACATTTATTCACAACACCCCACAAAAAACCTATTTCATTCAGGAAAAAGTACCGAGTTATATTGTATCTAAACACTAATAAACAGATAGGGCTTTAATGTGTGGTTTGAAAGATAGTATTGCAAACATGCAACACTGTCTCAACAGGGTGTGCTTAAGCAACACCCCAGGTTATGAACTCAACTCTTGGAATGAGCATGAATTTATAGGATATTTTCTCCTGATATTAAGTCAGATTATCCTCTTTTTTGCAGGAAATAAGTTGGAAGCTCTACAAATTAATTCTGCCCTTATGAATTGTAGGGCAACATAATTCCTTTTAGTATAAACAATGCAATATTCTATCGAAATGTAAAATAAAAGTTTGTTTTACTCCGCACAAGGATTTTTTTTAAAATTCTGAACTCAAAGATTGCAACAAAACTGCACCACACAGTTAAGTGCTAACCATTGAATGATTAACTCATCAGTGATTTTCAAGCTAATCTGCATGGAAAATCTCTGCAAATAGAGATAACCCATTTTAATATCCCAGAAATGCCTTGTAAACAGTCACAGACAATTATACACAAAAATACTGATATCATTGCATTCTACTTAGTTTCCTCAGGTTTTGAAGAACCTTACTTGGAAACCAAAGTCTATAGGAACACAGAAAATAAATATTATTACTGTGATGATATATGCCTTTAAGAGGAATTCACCTGTCCTGTTTCTCTTGAAGAGAGGCATTATAACCCTGGTGCCAAGGTATCTGCTCCATGAAATGCAGAATAGATAGCTTTGTGTTTTTTTTAAGCAGACAAAAGATGTATGCGTGAGTGGAGTCAGGTTCACACAGACCCAGGGTTTTAGCTTTGCTTTCAGTTGTTGAAGTTGGGTATTTGGAGTTGGAGTTGAAGCTGTTAGATACAACTCTCTCTCTCTTTACTGCTGCAAAAGCTCGAGTTTTCTCTCTTCTGCTCGATTCATTCTGTCAGTGTTCTTTCTCCTGGACTGGAGAAGACAGCGAGTGAGTACATCTGTTTTGCTGCATTTGCCTTTGCCAAGGGTGTGTTTATGGAATGCCACTATATTGGAACAGTTGATGAGTAGCAGGTAAATATTATTTTTATTACTCTTTTAATAAAGTTATGCCAATTCTTTTTTGGTTGTACTTCAATTGTAGTGTCAGCATAAAGTATGTTTTGCTTAAAGCCAAGTAGTTTGACCAATCGAATCACATCTGGAACACAATGCCTTACACTCGCCTTTAAATAAGATTTAAAAAAAAAAAAAGGGTCTATTTTGAGGGGTTTCAGCTGGTCCATAACAATATCTTATACAGCCTGAACATCACTTATTGTGTTCCTTAATGAAATTTCAAACATATGTGTTGCATTAGAGCGATGGACAATACAAGCCAAGACAATGGATATAGTGAGCAATTTGTTTTTTCTGAAAAGCCTTTTCATTAAACTCTTCTCCTCGTCATTTTAATATATTTCATTCAAACCGGTTCTCATTCACTACTTCTTTGTAACTATTTTTCTTTTTCATTAGGATCTACTTTCTGATATGTTTTAAAGAAAAAAAAGTTTTGCTATGCTTAATGGATTTTCTGAACAATCCCATTATATTATTGATTTGAATGCAGAGTTGATTTTTACTTGCATACTAATTTTATAGAAATAAAATACAAAAATTTCTGTCCATGTTGAATGAGCAAAATGAAGTGGCAAATATTATAAACAGATCTCTGCTCCTTTAAAAACAGTATTATTTTACCTTTCCATCTTGATAGAAATAATTTGCCTCCACTTCAGTTTGAGAATCTTAGAATGTATTTCTACACTAAGCCAAGTTATTTCTGGATGACGGGAGAGTGGAGAGGATTTCATTGGCACATGCAAATATCCCCAGGCTTGCACAGCATGTCTCGTTCATTAAGTTATTATGACAATCACAATACTTGACTATACTCTTACGAGAATAACTGAGTCATTCTTCTGTATAACATTAAGCAACTGAGACGTTTCAAATTTTTTTCCTAAATTAGTTTTAGTTGGCATATATGAATAAAGGATGAGTCAAAGCAGAATTGTAGTTAATAGATCTAAAAGGGAATTGCGGAGCAACTCCTTGATCGAAGCAGGAGCAGAATTGCAAAGCCCCTTACAAGCAATTGTCAAGTAAAAAGGCACTGATGCTTTTAGATGGAATTTAGATAATCTTATGGGAAAGGAATATGAGGGTTTGCTAATAGGGTTTTTGTGAGGAAGTTAATATGGAGCACAAATACCAATATGGACCAGTTGGGCTGAATGGCTTGTTTTGTGCTGTGGATTCAATGAAATATAGTTGCCTCATACAATTCCATTAACACAACCATACATAATTGTAATCTGGGTCGAGTTAAATCACTTTATGAAATAATTCTAAATGAGGCAAATCACTTCACTGCAAAAACAGTCGCTTCATGTGCTATATTACTGCTTCCAATTAATTCTTAAATGATTTCAGGACTTGGCCTTCAATAATCTATGTGGGAGCCCAATCTCTTACTGGTTAGAATGTGTCCCCTGTCCTTTTCTGCAATTTTTCAAACTTAGCTTTTTTAAAACCGTTAATTATCTTATTTGAGTATATCTTACAGAAGCAGATAAGACCCATTATACGACACTGCAACAATTGTGGGAAGAAAAACTGGAGGAGGAGGGAAAAAAAGATGCACTGTATCACAAAACAGAAATGATCAGCTTTAATTTACCTTTGTGCTATTGAGAACATGAGCAAAAATGAGCTGATCAGAGAGAGATGGATGTGTAAAGGGTAAGTCATGTCTGTTTTAACTTTGCAGAGTTTTTTTTTAAAAAGAGATCACTGATGTGGTAAGGACAGTGTGGATGCCAGTTATATGAATTTTTGGGAATCAGTTGATATATTGAAGATGTATTGGCCTTGAACTTTAACACAGATTCACCAGAATTATACCAGGAGCAAAAGGTCAAAATATTAGGACAAGCTACATTTCCTGGAGTATGGAATGTGTAACTGAGATATTTAGATGATTAAGAAGAGTTGCTATGACAGAAGAAAAAGTTCATCTGTTGGGCGAGTCCAAACCTGGACTGCACAAAATTTAAGCAAAAGCTTTGGCCAACAGGTAGAAATAAGGAAGCTTTTCTTTACACAAAGGATTGAGAGTATCTGAAGCTTTCTCCCACAAAACACTGTAGAGGGTAGGTCAATTGAAAGTTTTAAAAAATTTGATTTTTGTTTGGGAAGATTGTTAAGGATTATGGAACCAAAATGAGTAAATGTAGTTAATGTACAGATCAGCCTTCGCTTAGATACATACATCTAAAACAGCATGAAATAAGAAAGCACCATGTAAATATGACATACATGCAGAAACATAAGCTTTATTATTTTTTAATTGAAAACCTAATTGAGTGGAATTAGTGCACACAAGAACCACCACAAAAGAAATATTTATTTTGTAAACTTTATAAACTAACTTGCCCAGTTCTCTTTCTCCCAGGGTCCTAATATTTGTTCCTCAACTGAAAAAACAAAAAGAGTTAGTTGACTGGTCAATAATTGCAATGCAACTTGTGGGACCTTTAGCCACATGCAAATTCAGACAGCGTTTGCTATAGGGACTGTAGTCCCATAAAAATATAATTTGTTTTATGTCAAATGAAAATATCCTGAAGTAGATGAAAGAATAGAAGTTGGCCTATGGCATGCATGCCTTTATTGGAAGGGGCCTTGAGTAATAACAATATACAAGTTATGCTGCAGCTTTGTAGAACTTTAGTTAGGCCACACTTGGAATATTGTGTATAGTTCTGGTCACCACACTACCAGAAGGATGTGGATGCTTTGAAGAGAGTACAGAAAAGGTTTACCAGAATGTTGCCTGGTATGGGGGATTTTAGCTATGAAGAAAGGTGGGATAGACTGGGTTTGTTTTCACTGGAACGCAGGAGGTTAAGCAGTGACCTGATAGAAGTTTATAAGATTGTGAATGGCATGGATATAGTGGAAAGTATGAGGCTTTTTCTCAGGGTAGAGGGGTCAATTACTACAGGACTCAGCTTCAAAGTGCAGGGGCATTAAAAGAGATGTGCAAAGCACGTTTCTCACACAAAGAATGGTGAGTGCCTGGAACACGCTGCTAGAGGAAGTGGTTGAAACAGACACAATAGTAGTATTCAAAAACATCTGGACGAATACATGAATAGAAAGGAGAATAGAGGGATATGGATCCTGTAAGTGAAGACAGTTTTAGTATGGAAGGGCAAAATGTGTCAGCGCAGGCTTGGAGGGGTGAAGGACTTGTTCCTGTGCTGTACTGCTCTTTGTTCTGTTCTTTGTTCTTGCAAGCTTAATTCTTTCACAAGTAATTATAACAGTCTGTTACAACAAGTGGGTGCAGATGTGGAAACCTCAAGGTCAGCTAAAGGGGGAACTCGACAAGAATTTGAAAATTGTAAAACATATAGGGAAAGAACAGGGAAGATGGGATTTGAATAGATAAGTTTTGGAAATATTTATTGTGCCAAAGTGGTAGTTGCGTCACTGGTGTGGAACATTTCATCTTTTATGCAATGAGTGGAGTTTAGCAGGGTGGACACAAGTTGAAATTGAAGCTAGTTTATGTAAAACAAATAAGTAATGGTGTGAAACAGAAAAGCTGGGATTAGTGAGGTCACGCAACATCTGTGGATAGAGAAACTGAGTTAATGATGTCCAGCTTTTGTAGAGTTTTGTTTTGCTAAAGTTTGATAATAATAACTAGATGTCCTGTGGCATTGCTTATGTGTAGTCTGATGTCTATGGTTGGGACAGTTAGGCTACCCTGACCTAAAATGAAGCCATTGCAATATTCCCCCTAAATTAGTAAAAACAAACAAACAGTCTGTAAACAGCCAGTTAACTATGTTGGTCAGGAAGAACAATTGCTAGCTGCTTTTGCATTTCAGGCTTCAGGTTATCACATACATATTTTTAATATTAATGCTTCAAAAATGGTATCCAAGTGAAATATTCCAACTGCTAATCTGCAGCAAATAATGCAATTCAGGTTCAGCCATAAGTTAAACCAGTGAACATACACAGAAGTTTGTAAAATTGTTTGAAACATGTTTGAACAAAATTAGATCACTTCGTAAGTAATATAATAAGAGATCAGCATTTCAGACTATAGCCTAAAATTGTTATTGGTGTTGCTTGAATGCAGAGGGAGAGAATTAATGCTGTAACAGACTTTGATGTTGGTTGCCACAATTAACTCTCTTTCCATGCAGGAACTGATACTGTCATCTTAGCAACCATTTAGCGACTTTAACAAGTTATTACTCTGATAATGAAAACAGAAAATGCTGGAATTACTCAGCAGGTCTGGTAGTATCTGTGAAACAAGCAACACTTGTTCTTCTCACAAAGCAAGGCCATTGATTCAGATCTGCCAAAGATTCTCAGAAGTGTAATATTAGTCCTTTTAAAATAAATTTGTTGTCTCTTCTTTCACACCAATCATGAGTTCCTTTGGATAAGATGAAAAATTGAATTAGAAAAACAAAACTAGAACAAAACAATTGATCTAAAATTATTTAAGAAACAATTAATGTGTGATGTGGAAAAGCTACTTAAAAACTTAACAATGTGAAATATAAAGGGTATGTCTTAAAGGTGTATTTTTCTTGGGTAAACTCAAGGTATCCATTAATAACTGCTAGAGTAATGAAACCCAAGGCAATCGCTATACTGACCATATACTCAGGTCATTTTCTGAGGTGGTGTTGAGATTGAAGGTTGAGTTGATGAAAAATATTGACCAAAATATTTGTAATTGGCCTATTACTCCATGAATGCATATTAGTGTTTGTACTTACCCAAATGTCATATTTTGAATGGGCCCCATGCTTTTAGACTTTTTCAAAATAATCTTTCTAAAGAAAGGATACATAAACAGATGCCTTTGAATTGTTTCTGAACTATATTCATTTGTTTAAAAACCCACTGAGATAGATGATGAAAATGCTAATGACCTAAGCTTTAACATTGTTGGCCATAAGTTGTATAAAAAGGTATTTATTAGCCTTTACTAATAATTGTATTTAAAATTCTCTGCTTCTTTTGTTGTTTAAAAAATTACGACAAATGCATAAGTAGTTAATCATGTTTTTGATTAGAAGTTGGAAAGATCAGCTTTGGTGAAATTCAAGGTTTACTTTGCCAGATCAAAGTTAGTTTCAATTAAAACAACCCATTAACGTGGGAATGCATACAAATCCAAAATGTGAGACAGAAATAACAGCACGCTGTCAGTGCTCAGTGCTATGGAAAATCTGATGCTCACACATGTGCGGTTACATGAGGAATTTCAGACAGCAATTTCAGTGTTGTCCAGCTTCTTTCAAGGTATGCTTTCTGCAGTTCTGACACATGAAGTAGAACGTGGGAACCTCACAAACTTCAACCATTCATACAATAATGGCTTTTACAGCTAGAATAAAGTTAAGCTTTTTTTTTTTAAAAACATTGGGGTAACTGAATTCTGAATAGGCTATTAAGTAGTGTATAACTTACAACTGAGCAATTGCTCAATGCCTTAAAAACGAAATTTTATGGAGGATTTTTCAAAAGTTTTTTTTAATTTATTCATGGGAGATGGGAGTTCCTGGCTGTGCCAGCATTTATTCCTCATCCCTAGTTGCCCATGAGAAGGTAGTGGTGAGTTGCCTGCTTGAACTTCTACAGTCCATTTCATGTAGGTAGACCCACAATCCCATTAGGGAAAGAGTTTCAGAATTTTGACAGTGTCAATGAAGGACCAGGATACTGTACATTTTCAAGTCAGGATGCTGAGAGAGAGAATGGAGGGAACATGCAAATGTTGGTGTTCCCTCGTATCTGCTGATAGTAGTGGGTTTGGAAGGTACAGTCTAAGGAGCATTGGTAAATTTCTGCAATATATCTTGTAAATGGCACCTACTGTTGATGCTGAGCATTGACAGTGCAGGGTGAATGTTTGTGGATGTGTTCCAAATCAAGCGGGATCAAGGTTCTTGAGTGTTATTGGAGTTGCATCCATCCAGGCAAGTGGGAAGTATTCTATCAGATTTCTTATTCGTGCTATGTAGATGGTGGACAGGCTTTGGGGAGTCAGGAAGTGAGTTACTCACTGCAGTATTCCTAGCTTTTGGCCTCCTCATAGTCATAGTATTTATGTGGCTAATCCTGTTCAGCTTCTGGTCACCCCAGGATGATGATGGTGGGAGACTCGGCATTAGTAATGCCACTGGATGTCAAGAGGTGATAGTTATGTTCTTATTTGTTGGAGATGGTCATTGCCTGGCACTTGAGTGGTGCAAAATGTCACCTGCCACGTGTCAGCCCAAACATGAATATTGCACAGGTCTTGCTGCATTTAAAAATGGACTGCTTCAGTATCCGAGTTGTCACAAATGGTACTGAACATTGCGCAATCTTCAGTGAACATCCCCACTTCTGACCTTATGATGGAGGGAAGGTCAATGAAGCATCTGAAGATGGTTGGACCTACGACACTACCCTGAAAACTAGGGCTCTTGTGGCACAGTGGTAATGTCCTTACCACTGTGTCAGGATGGCTGGATTTAAGTCCCATCAGCTCCAGAGGTGCACCATAACATTTCTCAACAGGATGATTAGAAAATATCAACCCTGAGGAACTCCTGCAGAGATGGTCTGGAGCTGAGAGAACTGATCAGAAGCACAACCATCTTCCTACATGCCAGGTGGGAGTTTTCCCTCTGATTTCCATTGACTTCAGTTTAGCTAGTGCTCCTTGATGCCAGACTTGGTCAAACACTGTCTTTTCAAGTCCAGAGCAGTCAGTCTCATTTCAGTCAATCTTATTCCCTCAGAAAAGAGAGCATCTACATTCTAGAATCTACACAATCTTTATGAGTAGCTCGATAGAGTCATACAGTCATAGAGTTATACAGCACAGAAAGACGACCCTTAGGTCTGACTCGTCCATGCCGACCAGATAACCTAAATTAATCTAGTCCCATTTGCCAGCATTTGGCCCATATCCCTCTAAATCCTTCCTATTCATATACCTATCCAGATGCCTTTTAAATGTTGTTATCGTACAGCCTCCTCTGGCAGCTTGTTCCATACACGCATCACCCTCTGTGTGAAGAAGTTGCCCCTTCGGTCCCTTATAAATTTTTCTGTTCACCTATGCCCTCTGGTTTTGGATTCCCCCAGTCTACACAAAAGACCTTGGCTATTCACCCTATCCATGCCCCTCCTGATTTTGTAAATCTCTATAAGGTTACCCCTTAGCCTCCGATGCTCCAGCAAATACAGCCCCAGCCTATTCAGCCTCTCCCTAGAGCTCCAACCCTGGCAACATCCTTGTAAATCTTTTCTGAACCCTTTCAAGTTTCACAACATCCTTCCTATAACAGGAAGGCCAGAATTGTATGCAGTATTCCAAAAGTGGCTTAACTAATGTGTATTGTTTCATCCCTACTCATCACATAACTGTTGTCCTGCAAATTCAATGAGTATTAAATAAAACAGTTTAATAATAACTATCCAAATAGTTAGATGTTGACCAAACAGAACACTTCTTAATGAGCAAAAATGTACAGGACCTGTAAACCCAAGAGAATATTTCATTTAACTTTTAACATGACATTTACCTGAGTTATTAGTAATCTTCTTCAGAACTATCATTAGCACTGGTAAAACTATCATATTCATCGATGATGGGTTCAATTACTACTTGTTTCCTGTTTCTTCTAATACCTATCAAAGATTAAGGGGAAAAATTAACTAATATTTATGACATCCATATTATTTTATATGTGTAAAAACAATTCTTATTCTTGGCATACAAATATTTTTTCTGTTGTTCTCACCATTTAAACATTTTAAATAGTACTGGAGATTCTAATCCAAAGCCCTTCCTGGACCTTAAATTAGAACAGCTCGATATTTAAAACATCAGATACCCAGGGGTTACTAGAAGAGAGGTACAGCAAATCACAAGTTATCACTAGGCACAGCATAAGTATTTAAGTTGGAAAAATCATCAAAGCCAAATACCATCCTCTTCAGAAAGATCCATTTATCCTTTAATTATTTGTTCAGTATCCATTGCCATCTAAGCAGTCAATGGTTCATACTTAGTGGTACTCAGGAAGAATGACCAACCTGCCTGGATTCCATTGAAACACTGTGCGCATAGATTCAGCAAAGAACAAAAGGATGGTGTCTAATCTGATTTTACAGAGATTTTTCCTATTCAGATTCTTACTGCTTATTTGTAAATTTGATTGTCAAAGAATAGAAGTCTACAACCCCAATAGGCAATTTACATTAACTGGTTTGCAACTGAACCAATATACCTCAAGCTTAACCAATGGTGGAACAGCAGTCAAGGAAAAACGGCAACAATGTATGAATTTGAGATGACTCCTTCGGTTTCAAGACAAATGTTTTAATTTGTTCAATCCAAGTACTCTGACACAGTACGAGGTACTTTGATATTAAAGGCTGAGAAAGTAAAGTTGCACATAGTCTTGTGTCAGGATTGAACAAGATGACATCAACCCAGTGATCCATTGGGTTGCTGATGGAGTGATCCCAGTGGCTCGCTGTTGGGCATAGGCCAATGGCAAATGGCAAATGTCACTGGACAAGTAATCCAGAAGCCCAGCCTAATGCTCTGGGGACAAGGGCTTAAATCCCACTAAGGCAGAGGTGGAATTTAAATGCAATTAATCAAAGCTGGAATTAAAAGCTAGTCTCAGTATAGAACATAGAACAGTACAGCACAATACAGGCCCTTCGCCCACGATGTTGTGCCAACCTATTATCCTACTCTAAGATCAAACCACTCTGCATACCCTACATTATACTATCATCCATGTGCCTATCCAAGAGTCACTTAAATGTCCCGATTGTATCTGACTCCACTACCACTGCCGGCAGCGCATTCCAGGCACACACCACTATCAGTGTAAGGAACCTACCTCTGACATCTCCCCTATACCTTCCTCCAATCACCTTAAAATTATACCCCCTCGTAATAGTCATTTCCGCCCTGGGAAAAAGTCGCTGGCTATCCACTCTATCTATGCCTCTCATTATCTTGTACACCTCAATCAAGTCACCTCTCATCCTTCTTCGCTCCAATGATAAAAGCCCTAGCTCCCTCAACCTTTCCTCATAAAAGCTGCCATCCAGTCCAGGCAGCAACCTGGTAAATCTCCTCTGCACCCTCTCTAAGCTTCCACATCCTTCCTACAATGAGGTGACCAGAACTGAACACAATATTCTAAGTGTGGTCTAACCAGGGTTTTATAGAGCTGCAGCATAACCTCACAGCTCTTAAACACAATTCCCCTGCCAATGAAAGTCGACACACCATACGCCTTCTTAACAACCCTATCAACTTGGGCGGCAACTTTGAGGGATCTGTGGACGTGGACCCCAAGATCCCTCTGTTCCTCCACACTGCCAAGAATCCTGCCATTAACCCTCTATTCTGCATTCAAATTCGACATTCCCAAATGAATCACTTCACACTTTTCCGGGTTGAATTCTATCTGTCACTTCTTTGCCCAGCTCTGCATCCTATCAATGTCCCATTGCAACTTACAACAGCCCTCCATATTATCCACAACTCCACCAACCTTCGTGTCATTGGGAAACTTACTAACCCACCCTTCTACTTCCTCATCCAAGTCATTTATAAAGATCACAGACAGCAGAGGTCCCAGAACAGATCCCTGTGGAACACCACTGGTCATCGAGCTCCAGGCTGAATACTTTCCATCTACTACCATCCTGTCTTCTATTGGGCAGCCAGTTCTGTATCCAGACAGCCAAATTTCCCTGAATCCTATGCCTGCTTACTTTCTGAATGAGTCTACAATGGGGAACCTTATCAAATGCCTTGCTAAAATCCATATACACCACATCCACTGCTCCATTTTCATAAATGTGTTTTGTCACATCCTCAAAGAATTCAATAAGGCTTGTGAGGCATGACCTGTTCCTCACAAAGCCACGCTGACTATTTCTAATCAAACTGCGCGTTTCCAAATAATCATAAATACTATCTCTCAGAATCCTCTCCAATAATTTGCCCACAACAGAAGACAGACTGGCTGGTCTGTAATTCCCAAGATTATCCCTATTCCCTTTCTTGAACAAGGGAATAATATTTGCCATCGTCCAACCATCTGGTACTACTCCAGTGGATAGTGAGGACACAAAGATCATCGCCAAAGGTGCAGCAATCTCTTCCCCCGCTTCCCGTAGTAACCTTGGGTATATCCATCTGGCCCAAGGGACTTAACTATGCTCATGTTTTTCAAAATTTCTAGCACGTCCTCCTTCCTAACATCAACCTGTTTGAGCATATCAGCCCGTTTCACACTGTCCTCACAAACTACAAGATCCCTCTCACCGGTGAATACTGAAGCAAAGTATTCATTAAGGACCTCCCCTACCTCCCTGCACAAGTTCCCTCCACTATCCCTGTCTGGCCCTACCCCCACTCTGGCCATCCTCTTGTTGCTCACATACGTATAGAACGCCTTGGGGTTTTCCTTAATCCTACCTGCCAAGGCTTTTTCATACCCCCTTCTCACTCTTAGGTCCATTCTTCAGTTCTTTCCTGGCTACCTTGTAGCCCTCTATAGCCCTGTCCAATTCGTGCTTCCTCAATCTTAAGTAAACTTCCTTCTTCCTCTGGATTAGATGTTCCACATGTCTTGTCATCCAAGGTTCTTTCACCTTACCATCTCTTCCTTACCTCAGTGGGACAAACCTATCCAGCACTTGTAGCAAGTGCTCCCTAAACAACCTCCACATTTCTGTCGTGCATTTCCCTGAGAACACCTGTTCCAAATTTATGCTCCGCAGTTCTTGCCTAATAGCATTGTAATTCCCTGTCCCCCAATTAAATACTTTCCCATCCCATCTGCATGACTATAGTAAAGGTCAGGGAGTTGTGATTACTATCACTGAAATGCTCTCCTACCGAGAGATCTGACACCTGCCCACGTTCGTTGCCAAGCACCAAATCCAATATGGCCTCCCCTCTAGTCGGCCTATCTACATATTGAGTCAGGAATCCTTCCTTCCTGGACACACCTGACAAAATCTGCTCCATCCAAACTATTTGCACTAAGGAGGTTCCAGTCGATATTAGGGAAGTTGAAGTCACCCATGACAACAACTCAATTACTTCTGCACCTTTCCAAAATCTGTCTCCCAATCTATTTCTCAGGTGTCTCTGTTGCTATTGGGGGGTCGATAGAAAACTCCCAAGAAAGTGACTGCTCCTTTCATGTTTCTGACTTCCATCCATACTGACTCAGTGGATAAACCCTCCTCGATGACCTCCCATTCTGCAGCTGTGATACCATCCCTGATTAGCAATGCCACTCCCCCCCTCTTTTATCTCTCACCCTATTTCTTTTGAAACATCTAAACCCCGCAACATCCAACAACCATTCCTGCCCGTGTTATCCAAGTCTCCGTAATGGCCACAACATTGTAGCTCCAAGTACTGATCCATGCTCTAAGTTCATCACCCTTATTCCTGACACTTCTTGTGTTAAAATGGACACACTTCAACCCGTCACACTGACTGGTAACATGAAACTATTGCTAATTATCATAAAATCTGTTCATTAATATTCTTTAGGGAAGGAAATCTGCTCATCTGGCCTGTGACTCAAATACCCCTGAATGGCCTGAGAGAAATGGAACTAGATGGAATCAACCAGCACTGACCTAGGCATCGAAAACAACAATGAAAATGAGCGCGGTCTCTGTGAAGTCCTCCTGACCAATATTTGCCGGTTTGTGTAAAGTTTGAAGAACAGACCCGCAGAGCAGTCCAGCAACAGCCTATGTTAGTCATACTTATAGAATCACACTATGCAGACAACGTCCCAGTCACCAGTACAATCCCTGCTTATGTCCTGTCCCACAGACAGGTCTGAATCACCAGAGGTGGCAGCATAATGGTGTACATTACCTCACGTCCCTCTGCACTGAAATTCACCTGCCAGGTGTCAGCTCATTTAGCCAACTTGTCAATGTCCCTGTGAAGTCACTCAGCATCATCCTCACTATTCACTAGTCTCCCTGTTTGTTTCTTATGGGCCCCACTCTATTCTTCATGAATCTTTTACTGTTACTATGTTTGAAGAACATTTTATTGTTTGTTTTAGCACAGCCTGTCATCCTTTCCTCATAGCAATTAAAACTCTACTCCCATTATTAACTCCCCTTTAAACACACACATGCAGATAAATAAACCATTGGTGTTAATAGGTGGAGGGTAAGATTGGGAAGGCAGTTCGGTCATTCCTGTTTACCGGATTGCTGAGATTCTTGCGCTGGTCAGAATGCTGCTTCTCAGTCTCCTTTCTCCAAAGGCTTTCACTGGTTTGCATGTGGCATGGGGGTGGCTAGTTTGCTCTGGGTTTCTGATTTATCAATTAAAAGTCAGAGCTTACAACATCAGCTGAAGGAAAGATGAAATAGTTTCCAAGGAAGCTAAAAAATAGGACCTCAAAAGGTAGTAATCTCTGGATTGCTATCTGTGCCACGTGCTAGTGAGGGCAAGAATAGGAAGATATGGCAGATGAATGTGTGGCTGAAGAGTTGGTGCAGGGGGCAGGGTTTCAGATTTGTGGACAATTGGGATCCCTGTTGAGGAAGATATGGCCTGTACAAAAGAGACGGGTTACACCTGAACTCGAGAGGGACTAATATCTTGCGGGCAGGTTTGCTAGAGCTGTTGGGAAGGCTTCAAAATAGGTTGCCAGAGGGATGGGAACCAGAGTGTTAGGTCAGAAGATGGAGCAGTTGGTATAAAAGGTAGATGCAATGAGCAGGGAGACTGTGAGGAAGGACAGACTAAAATGGCAGGAGGATGGGAGTCCATGCAGAAAGGCAGAAGGAAGCAATGCAGAGACCAGAGCAAAGGTTAGAAAAGACAAATAAGTAAAATTGGAGGACAGAATCAAACGCAAAATACAAAAAGATTATTAGATTACTAGATTCTAAAGGGACAATAAGTATAACGGCACTTTATCTGAACGCCTGTAGTATTCGAAACAAAGTCGATGAACTTGTTGTGCAAGTATGATTTGGTTGCCATTACAGAAATGTGGTTGCAGGGTGGTGATGACTGGGAACTAAGTATCCAAGAGTTTCAGGTAATTCGGAAAGATAGGCAGCAAGGTAAGGGGGGGGTGGGGCAGTGCTCTTAATTAAGGATGAGATCACGGCAATGGTGAGAGATGATATAGGATCTAAGGAGCAAAATGTTGAATCCATCTGGTTGGAGATTAGGAATAGTAACGGGAAGTAGTCACTGGTGAGAGTAGTTTATAGGTCACCCAGTAATAATGCTACAGTGGCACAGGTGATAAATCAAGAAATATCTAACGCATGTAAGAATGGAATGGCAATAGTCATGGGGGACTTTAATGTGCACATTGATTGGGCGAATCAAGTCAGTAAAGGAAGTCTTGAAGAGGAGTTCACAGAACTCATCTGTGATAACTTTCTTGAACAGCATGTTACCAAACCTACAAGGGAATGTGCAACCTTAGATCTGATCCTGTGTAATGAGACAGGTAAAATTAATGATCTCGTAGTTAGGGATCCTCTTGGAAAGAGTGATCACAGTATGATCAAATTTCAGATACAAATAGAGGGTGAAACAGTATCATCTAAAACCAGAGTTTAATGCTTAAACAAGGGAGACTACAATGGGATGAGGAAGGAGTTAGCTAAGCTAGACTGGGAACACAAGTTGTATGGTGGAACAGTGGAAAACTTTTAAAGAGATTTTTCACAATGCTCAAAAAAAGTATATTCCTGTCAAAAACAAAAATAGCAAGGGTAGGAAGAGCCAGCCTTGGGTAACTAAGGAAATAAAGGAAGGCATACAATTAAAAAGCTCAGGCTTACAAAGTCGCCAAGGGTAGTGGGAAACAGGAAGATTGGGAAAACTTTAAAAAAAACAACAAAGAACCACGAGGGAAGCAATAAAGAAAGGAAAGATAGATTATGAATGCAAACGAGGACAGAATATAAAAATAGATAGAAAAAGTTTTTATAAATATATTTAAACAAAAAAAGGGTGGCTAAACTGGCCATAGGTCCCTTGGAGGGAGAGAAAGGGGAATTAATACTGGGTAATGCTGAAATGGCCGAAACCTTGAATGGCTATTTTGTGCCATTGGAAGTTGTGTCTAATATGCCAAAGAATGATGTTAAGTATACGATGGGAGGTGAGGACCTCAATTCAATTGTTATCACTAAAGGGGTAGTGCTGAACAAACTAGAGGGTCTAAAAGTAGATAAGTCCCCTGATCCTGATGGAATGCATTTCAGGATGTTGAAAGAAATGGAGGAAGTTATAGTGTATGCATTAGTGGTAATTTACCAAAATTCGCTGGACTCTGGGCAGGTTCCAGTGGACTGGAAGAAAGCAAATGTCACACCGCTGTTTAAAAAACGATGTAGATAAAAAGCAGGTAACTACTGGCCAGTTAGCTTAACATCTGTAGTCAGCAAAATGCTTGAGGCTATCATTAAGGAAGAAACAGCAAGACATCTGGACAGAAAGGGTTCCATCAGGCTGACGCAGCATGGATTCAGGAAGGGAAGGTTGTGTTTGACAAACTTACTGGAGTTCTTTGAGGATATAACAATCGCGGTGGATAGAGGGGAACAGGTGAATGTTGTGTACTTGGATTTCCAGAAGGCGTTTGATAAGGTACCACATAAAAGACTCATTTATAAGATAAGAATGCATGGAGTTGAGGGGAATGTATTAGCATGGATACAGGACTGGTTAACCAACAGAAAGCAGACAGTTGGAATAAACGGGTGTTTCTCTGGTTGGAGATCAATGGTAAGCGGAGTGCTACAGGGATCGATGTTGGGCCCGCAACTGTTCATGATATACGTAAATGATTCGGAAGAGGATACCGAGTGTAACGTATCTAAGTTTGCTGATGACCCTAAATTGAGTGGAAAGGCAAATGGTGCAGAGGATGTGGAGAGTCTGAAGAGAGATTTAGATAGGTTAAGTGATTGAGGAAGGGTCTGGCAGATGGAATACAATGTTGGAAAATGTGAGGTCATTCACTTTGGAAGTAAAATTAGTAGATCAGATTATTATTTAAATGGTGAAAGATTGCAGCATGTGGTTGTGTAGAGACACATACGAGTGCTTGTGCATGAATCGCTAAAAGTTGGTTTACAGGTGCAACAAGTAATCAGGAAGGCAAACAGAATGTTGGCTTTCATTGCCAGAGGGACTGAATTTTACAGCAGGGAATTTCTGCTGCAATTGTACAAGGTGCTGGTGAGGCCGCACCTGGAATATTGTGTGCAGTTCTGGTCTCTACACTCGAAGAAGAGTATACTAGCTTTGGAGGCGGCACAGAGGAGGTTCACCAGGCTGATTCCGGAGATGAGGGGGTTACCCTATGAGGGCAGGTTGAGCCGCCTGGGACTGTATTCGTTAGAATTTAGAAGAATGAGAGGAGATCTTATCGAAACATAAAATTATGAAAGGTATAGATAAGATAGAGGCAGGTAAGTTGTTTCCACTGGTGGGAGAGACTAGGACGAGGGGACATAGCCTCAAGATTAGAGGGAGTGGATTTAGGACAGAGATGAGGAGGAACTGCTTTTCCTAGAGAGTGGTGAATCTATGGAATTCTCTGCCCAAGGAAGCAGTAGAAACAGCTTCATTAAATATATGAAAGACACAGTTGGATAGATTTTTGCATGGTAGGGGGATTAAGGGTTACGGGGATAATGCAGGTGGGCAGAGGTGAGATCGTGGATACATCAGCCATGATCTTATCGAATGACAGAGCTGCTCAATGGGCCAAATGGCCTACTCCTGCTTCTATCTTTTATGAACTTATGAAGCAATTCTCCAACCATTCTTGGTGTATAAAACTATTCCTTTCTCATTTTAGTCCGCAATTAAGATTACAGAAAAACAAAAGGCACTGTTTTTACACTATCATGTGGCTCCCTAAACGGTTTTTCGTGTTTTTGTAGACTTGCAATTTTTTTTTTCAATTCTGTTAATGACAACCAAAAACTTGTCTTTTTCTCTGGCTTTATTTTATTTGATCTCGTGGTCCCCCACCCACCCCAAATTTAATATTGCATGAATGTTTACTGTAAATTGCATACTCTGTCTGTCTACAGATTTGTTAAGCCTTGGTGTTCTTGATACTTTCTTTCACCAAGATTCACACTTTGTCAATACCTCCCAACTCTGATATAGTCAGAAAATCGAAGCTTTCTTCCAACCCTGGAGTCCGAAAGATTAAAACTGAATTTCACAATGACACTTGGAAAATATGACTTCAAACTGTTCTCCAATCCAAGCAGCATTTGTTTGCCCCAAAGGTTTCCCACGTTAGCCCACATAGATTCTACCAACTAAAACGGATTTCAGAAGAGACAACTAGATTTATTTTATGTGATCATTCCCAGCTCAAACGTTAGTAATGGTTCTCTAAATTATCTGCATCAGGATACCGCACAGATGTGGAAGCATGTAGAAGAAAGAAACATATCCAATAAATTTCTAATTATGCGCAAAAGGCTAATGTTGGGTATCATGGTTAAAAACAAAATTATTCTTTTCATTAATGCTAAAATACGACCAATGTTATATTTGTATCTTTAATTTCACTATGTCTGAACGATACAGCTTAAATTTTTTTTTAATTAAAATGATCTTACCATTCCAAATCGGAAGAGACACATCTTCGGTCACTTCCTCAAGGTAGTTGAAATCAAAGGTAACATTTGGATTCTGAAACAAAAATGTATTTGGGATCAATACAATAAGGATTATTAGTGATATGCAGTAAACATAAGCCTCTCCGTTTCAAAGGAAACCTGAGTATTCATTACGTACACTCCTCAGTACTTTGCTCCAAACATCATACTCAAGGCTCAACAAGTAGGGAAATGAAGGAGAGATTCACAGTCATACTGTAAATAAAGTTATTTCAACAACATAGTACAAACCACACTTCTTTCTGAAGTATTATAATGGGAGCTACGAGATTGATATGTAACAAGAGGAAAATACCATTGGAAAAGAGAAATAAACAGAAAATGCTAGAAAACAATCAGGTCAGGCAGAATTTATACAGAGAAGCTGTTTACATTTTTTGAAACAGTAACACTGTTTAGGGTCAACAGATGCTACCTGAACTGCTGCATGCTGTAAGTTAAGTTACATAATTTGCTGAAGGCAAAGGATACAAAATAATTAACTCCTATGTGATGTAGTGCCAAACCATTTGTCCATTCTGTCAACTCACCGGGATAGTGTGAATCATCGCAAATGTGACAAGATTTAGTCAAGCTATCAAAAGTATCCAAATTTCTTGACTGAATCTCAGGTTAAAAGAAAATACTCACTGGATTTCTATACTTAACAAGGAAATAACTGTTAATGACAGTTTAACCAACAGCAAATAGGAAATATGAAACACTAATTTATAGTTATAACTTAAACACTACTTCTTAAATTCCCCCTCTCACATACAGTCAGATACGTAAGGACAAACAAGACACGGATGTTTAGGATAGAAAAGAATGGGAGAAAAAAATCTGGGAAGTACAATGTGTGTTTTTTCAATGCAAATTGGCTTTAATGTGTTGAAAAGTTTAGACCGCTATTCGTAGAACATGAACTTTCCTTACCTGTATTGGTTATAATGCAATTCTGGCCCCATTAGTTTAAATGGCACGGCTATTGCACAATTTTCTTACAATGCGACATCACCTGAGAACGGAACTATCACGTTATATCAGAACTGACTGTAGTTCGAACTATAGGAGTAGAGTTGTTTCTTTTTGGTTTCTTCCAATTCCTTTCAGTTCTTTGTTGTTCGTCCACTGATGCCCTCTTTCATTCACTGGTTAAACATTCCTCCTTTCATTATCTTTGAACGTGTTTTATTCCTCTTTCAGCAAGAAATTTGCAGAGAACAGTGCGTAGAAGACAACTAGTTATTACTGGAAACTTCTGGCACATTCATACAGGAAACAGGACTTTGATGCTTCCTCTTTTTAGGCTGGGCAGTTCACTGTTGCACTGGTCAGGAGCCAATTCAAATGTTGTCAAGCAGCTGTACCTTTTTTGCTCTCACTTTTCCAGGAAAAACCTAACATTGGATATAACTCAGAATATGCTTTAATATCATTTATAAAGTTGCAGCCATCTCTTTGCATAGTCTTCTTGCTTTAAAGCAACATCTTCCTTTTTTAGACCACAGTCCAAAAACACAGGAAATAAAAAACTGTGGTCTCTACAATTCTCCAAGTCAACTGTCTACCACTTGGTTACAAATTTGATGTATAAAAACAAAAATTTATTATTTTAGTGATTTTAGATTAATTATGTGGTATAGTCAAGAACATTGATGATCTAAAATAACTTTTTGCAGCACACACAAATTCCTGCTCCACTTCCCGTTTCTAAGTCTATCTCTTCCGCACTCATTGCCCAGCTACCCCACTGTTTAATGAGAGAGAAATGGAAATAACAAAAAAGGGAGAATGAACAAAGTTTGCCTAATGATAACTGATGTGATTTCATGCTTGATTAGTTTACTCGCCAGAATTGTATTCGGTTGATTAAGTAATTGTTAATTTTTTTCTGGTTGTAATAATTCTTCAGTACGTTAAGCATGAATTTTACACAGTTGATGGCAACCATCAAATAGGATGGCGTGCAGGAAAATCTAGTTTGAAAACAGACCTTTTTGCCTGACAACTTGAATGACCCCAACCTGTTTACTTGAAACTGCTATCAGCTTTGCAAGGCATGGTCTGCTACAAATGTGGTGCAAACCAAATTCAAAGTCCTGCAAGATCGGTTTTACACTATAAAAGCGCTAGATTGCATAACATAAAAAGCAATCCATGTATATAACATGGTGGCAGTCCAATATACCATGGTTCAACATATCACAAATTTACTGTAATATGCGGGTGCCATGGCTCCTGACTCTCTCCTCAGTCTGACGCGACTGCTCCACCAGCTGTGGCCCGATCTGATTCCCCATTAGCATCAGCCATGAATACTACACCTCTGCCCCGAGTCCTCCCTTAGCTTTGTTCCTTCAAGTTATTTTTACTCCTCCTTAGGATTATTTTCATAATTGAAGTGTCTTACCCTGGAACCCTTTTCATAAAACTCATTTGCACTTTCTCCAATGCATTCACATCCTTTGCGGCATGTGGCATCTAATACCGTACACAATACTCTAACTGAAGTCTAACTAGTGTCCAACACAAGTTCAATTTCCCTGTTCTTGTACTCTACTGTATCGAATGCCTTTAGAACGCCACATACACTATAACAAAATCCTTACCTTCATCAAACTTCTGTTCACTCTTTAAAAACCCCAGCAAGTTAGGCACAATTTTCCCTCAACAAATCCATGCTGACTCCTCCAAATTAAACCACATTTTCCATGTGACTTATTAATTCTACTGAGTAATTGTTGCTACTCGTTTCCCTCCACCAAAGATGAATCAGCAACCGCAGATCAATCTTTACAACCTTTTCTGAACAAGAGCGCAATGTCTTCAATTCTCAGTCCTCTGGCACCACTCCCAAAACCCATAGAAGATTGAAACATCGTAGCCAGTACTTCGGCTCGTTTCACTCTCCTTGAACATCCTTGGATACATTTCATCCAGTAACAATATACTGGGTGTTACCATCGAGCACAAAATTAACTGGATGTGCCATATAAATGCTCTGGTTACAAATGTACAGATCAGAGGCTGGGAATTCTATGGCAAAGCCAATCCACAAGGCACAAATCAGGAATGTGACTGAATACCCTGCATTTTTCTACATGCGTGTTGTTCAAACTACATGTAAGACGACAGTAAAGGCTTGATCTACAACTCTATTCACTGACCAGCATATTGTGGCAGCAGCGATCTCCATTGACAAGGTGCACTGCAATAAATCAGCAAGGCTCCTTCAACAGTACCCTTCAAACACACCTTTGCCAGCACTCAGAAGGATGAAGGAAGCAGACTTTCGGGCTTACCACCAGCCAAAAGTACTTCTCTAGGTCCTGTCTTGGAACTACATCAACATTTTTGTCCACCTCCTGGAAGTCCTTGCTTAATGGATTTACCTACAGCAGTTCAAAATCAACTTTTCGTGGGCTATAAATGCAACCATAACCACACTCCAAAAATGAATAGGAAAAAAATGCAAGAAAGCTCTAAGTCTTTAAATGCATTGTGTTCATCAGTTTATAAAAAAAACATTTTTAGACACAGTTTACATTAAAAACTACATTAATGAAATTGCAGTTCCTGGTAGCAACTTTGTTCCTGCTTGACATTTAATTTGCTGAATAAATGTCTCATCGTCCACATGACTGTACATGTGCTATTCTCTGGTGGTCCCACTTTGAAGTGTCTACACATAAACTGCCCTGCATGAAGAAAAACAGCAGTGAGACAGCACACGAATATCAAATGGAGCTAAGGTGCAGCTCTTAAAGATCTGTCACCAGGTGAGGAATTTCCTTCTGGCCCCTCCATCATTGGTAACTTTGCAGTACTGCAGAGCGTGCGTAGTCTGTTAAGCTGCTTTAAAATACTCCAATAACCCCTAATAAAGAGTTGTACCTGATAGAACCAGCGTTCAGTGTAGCCATTCTTAGCAGATCACTGTGCTATGAGGGTCAGAGGACATCTGAGCTGCCCCCTGTATACCTCCCAGGTTTGAATATAAGGCACTTCCTTGTAAAGCTGATACACAAGTTTATCGATGTATGACGTTGGAGACCACCTCTAGCTGAGGAGTCAATTGATTGCGATTGATGAACAATGTTTGGCGATTGCAATATCTTTCATCTTCAAGATATCAGAAGAGGTTGTTCATCTCTCACATGGGTATGACTTCACCAGGTCTAACACCGAAATTACATTACAGCAGATATTTTAACTTCAAGTCAATATATATATGAACAGAAGTGATATATCATTCACAATGACATAGTACTCATGCTACCTGTATGAACTCAAAGTTTTCTTCTTCCCTTCTTCCTCTGCCTCCCTGTCTGCAGGGCAGACTTCCACAGCTGGATGGCAGGGGCCCTGCTCTGTGGGTGGTCCTATTGGAGGTCACCCCATGGTCTTCTACTCACATGCAGGTTCTCTCCATTCAGCCTGAGTTACAGCAAGCACTGCCTACAAGGCACAAGTCAGGAGTGTGATGGAGGGATGAGTGTGGCTCCAACAACACTCAAGAAACTTGACACCAAGCAGGACAAAGGAGCTGACTTGATTGGCACCACATCCAGAAGCATTCACTCCCTCCAGCACAGACACACAGTAGCTGCAGTGTGTAGCATCTACAAAATGCACAGCAGAAACTGATCAAGGCTCCTCAGACAGCACCCTCCAAACTCATGACACTACCATTGAGGGGGACAAGGGCAGCAGATACATTGGAACACCACCACCTGCAAGCTCCCCTTCAAGACATTCACCATCCTGACTTTGAAATATATTGATGCGCCTTCACTGTTGCTGGGTCAAAATCCTGGAACTCATTCAGTCACAGCATTGTGGATCTACCTATAGTAAATGGACTGCAGTTCACCACCAGCCTCTCAAGAACAGCTAGGAATAGATAATAAATTCTGGCCGATCTGGTGATGCCCACATTCCCAAAGGAATTTTTGAAAAACAAACAAATAAACTGACTTGGTAAAACAGAGAGATGTGAACCAATGGAAGTTGAGAGTGACGTTTGCCTCTCAACATCCACTCTTATTGTTCCACTCTGTCTTTGGCCTCTTAGGACATCATCTTTCTCCAGTATCATATAGTTCATTAAACCACCATTTCCCACTCTTTTCTTCCTTCCCTATCCTTCCTGATACTCCTAGCTACAAGGTAGTCAAGTTTCCAGCCTGACATTTCTTTGCACTAGGTCTGTGTTGTGGCCATTTAATAGTCCATATCATCATTTGTATCTGCACCTTACAAACCTCATTTAATCAATCTCTAGATTTATTTACAAATGCTCCAAACTCATTTTAGACAGTCTTGCATTTCATTGTCACCTTTGCTTTGTGAATTATCTTTTACTCCAGTACTATTTGCCTCCCCATGTACCGTGATTCTTCTCGCCAATATTAAAGTCAGTTTTCAAACCCCTGTCAAATCAATATAAACCTAGCCCATGCCTCTAATAAAGAGATAGAAGACTGTAGTCTCCAGTTTACACTTACCTTGTAGTCATATCCTTGCTGTTAACAACAGGCAGCAGAGCAGAACACAGAGTTCTTTCACACATTTTGGGTATTGACGCTTACAAAGTACACACAAGTAAAACAAAATAAATTTTGTTTCAAGAGGTCCAATGAAAAGAATGACTTTTAAAAGGAAACTCATGACTAGATGTCAACATGTTCCTGGGCATCATAATTAGCAATGTTTGATATATAACCACAGGTTCTATATCATAGTATATTATATCAAACAGAATACCCTACAAGCATTTCCTTTATCGATCAACTTTTCACTCTCCCTTTAACAAAGTTTCATATTTATATTCCTCAAATGAAAACAGAAGGTGAAAGACATAAATAGAAGTATTTTTTAAATGGAAATTCAACTAAGTTCAAAAGCAGCACTGAATTGGCAACACTGATTCAGAAAAAAACACATTTTGAAACAACTTAAACAGTACTTTTGTTGAGACAGTACTATCCTATTTGAAGCAAGGCAGCTGTTATTACTAAGAACTAAATGTTAAATGGTACTCAGCTATAGATTTTGCTCCAAGGTCTGCAACTTGTTTCACAATTACCTTGAATTTCAGCAAAGTGCTCCATTCACTTTTCTCTTCTTTGAACAGTATTATAACAGGTTCTTCATTTTTAATGACACACGAGCTCTTTTCCTCTAAAATCCTGCCATTAAGTTCCAAATCTGCCAAATATAATTTGGTACCAACAGAGGCACTGCAATTGAAAGCAAAGCATCAGATAAAAATCAAAGATAATGATTCTCTTTCTAAGCAATTCACACATTCATTGACTTTTACCTGAATACGACTCTGCAATGATCAAATTTACATGAATGTTCTGTAAAATTCCGCAACTTGATATTTAGTATAAGGCGGTCTTCCTTCTGATGCCACTTGATTTCAGGGTGAAAGCTGCAGGATTATATGATCAATGATAATTTAAGATACAAAATCTACAGTTTTGTTTGAGTTATGAAACCATGCTGCACAACTAGTTTGGAAATTGTGAATACTTAATTATGAACATGATTAACCTTTTAGGATCCACCGCTAATTTATTCTGTCTGTCTTCAGGAAGATCCATAATGCCTGCAATTAAAAATTTGTATAGTCAAAATACAAAATAACAGTTTCTTCCTTTTCCCAATTACTGATCCAACAGATACAAGTGAAGCATCTTACTAAAATTATGTTCTTTTAGAAAGATGGAGAGAGTTGACATTTAAAGTGCTACATAGGTACAAATCAAGGAAACTGCTTTGTCCTGGATAGCATTGAGCTTCTTAGAGTTGTTGGAGCTGCACTAATCTCGGCAAGCATCACACTCCTGACTTGCTCTTGTAGATAGAGGAAAGGCTTTGGGGGCTTCAGGAAGTGAGTTAATCAGCGAACAGTTCCTGGCCTCTGACCTGCCCTTGTATTAACAGTATTCATGTGGCTGAACCAAGTAAGTTTCCGGTCAATGGTAATCCAAAGATGTTGTTATTATAATTTAACCCCTGGAATCCGACTCCTTTATCTATAATGAGACCTGGGGCCAGGTTGCCACAACAAATCTCAAACTGAGTACTGATGAGCATGGATGAATAAATGCTACTTGTTAGCACTGTTCACAACACCTTGCATCACTTAGCTAGTGATCAAGTAGTAGTAGACTGTCAGGACAGTAATTGGCCAGATTAGGCTCAACTGGAGAAACTTTCAATATTGTCAGTTACAGTCCTCAGTGCCACATCTGGGATGTTATCGTGGCCCACAGGTTTTATTGTATTCGGTGCCTTCAATCATTCTTGATATCACATGGAGAAAATCAAATTGGCCAACAACTACGCACTATTATGTTGGGGACCTTAGAAGAAAGGTAAAATGGATCATCTGCTTGGTGCTTCGGGCTGAATATGTTTGCAAAATGTGCAATTTGTCTTTTGTACAGATGAGCTGGGGGCACCTATCATTGAGGATATTCATTAAGTATCTGCCTCTGGTTAATTGTTTATTCACCATCGATGACAGAAGAGGTAGAACTGCGGAGCTTTGACCTGATTCGTTGATTGTGAGGTTACTTACTCTGTCTATTGCATGATCATTCCGCAGTATATTTGAAATTGCTTTAAAGTGAAACCAGTTACTGAAGTTTTTTTTTAAACAATATAAAACAGGCGCTTTTCACAACTTACAGGACCTGGAAAGCAGTTGTGTAATTAAAAATAATACACAATAAAAAATGTTATTGAGGTACAGCTTTTAAACTTATAGCAAAGACTGAACATGTCAAACTAGCATCATTAATGCTGTATCTGACCAAAAATTTCATTTTAAAAACACATCCATGAAAATCTTTCAGGTATGTAGAACAATTTAGTACTTCACAACAAAATGAAGTACTATAAACTATCTACCAAGGTAAAAACCATACCTGTATTTCTTTCACAAGAGGCTGCATCATTTTGTGGGCAGTGTAAATTTTGTAAACTGGCCAGTGAAGACTTCAAATTGTTTGCAACTTCATATAAAGCAGTCTTGCTGGATGTGTGTACTAACAGCCTAAAAATGGTCAAGAAACACTTGATTAAATTCCTATGCAGATCATACTACAATCAAAAGTTAGATCAAGAATGTACCTAAACATAGACGATGAAACTGCAAACATCTGTTTTGCATTTTTTCCTTATCTGCTGCTTATACAGTACCTCCACACAGAAATGTACATATATATTTTGCAGATACTGTAACATTACAAACCTGTCAATAGTTGAAACAAGTCCACTCAATAACATTAAATTCAGACTCTGCGGTCTTCCACTGAGATAACACAAAACCTTCAAAACGTTTTCCAAAACCTAACAAAACACAAATTTGATAAGTATTTGAGCTTTCATCAGCATGCTACCTTGATGTGTGATCTGAGTGTTAACCACTGTTATTCAGTTGAGAATCACATGGTGATCCATCGTAAAAGGAGTCTTTTGATTGAGACATTAAACTGAAGTGGAATACAAGATCACAAGACATAGAAGATCGAGAGAGTTTCCCAAATGTTTTGGTCAAAATGTGTCCCACAACCAACACTACTGAAACAGATCATTCGGTTGTACGTCATTGATAAGTAAGGAATCTTGCTATGCATAATTATTATCACATTCCCCTACATGGCAAGAGTCATTAAACTTCAAAAGCACTCCTGTTAGATGTTCAGTTTGAGAAATTCAGAAGGGCATCGTAACATTTCTAATAATTCATTGGATATGAAGCATTTCAGAATGTCCTAAGGACATGATCCCAACTACACTCCCCATTCTTCCTTTCAATCGCTTTCTATTCATGAATAAATTGCTCTGAATATTCATGTCCATTTAAATTTAAAACATTATTGTAGAAGTGTTCAAACATTTCTCAAACCAACACTGTAGTATTGGTGTTCACATTTTGTCCATCTCCAGAAAATGCTTTTTAGTTCACACATCATGAAATTGATACGTTTTGTTTTAAGAAAGTTGTTGCACCGTTAGAATGGCTTTATGAGTCTTATTACCAACAATATACAACTAAAATGTGGCGCAGTGGCAGTGTCCCTACCCGTGGGCCAGGAGGCCCGTGTTCAAGTCCCGCCTGCTCCAGAGATGTGTAATAACACCTCTGAACAGGTTGATTAGAAAATTAGATTACATTTAAAAAAGAAGTTTTGCTAGATTAGTTCTGATTATAAAAACATAGCTATTGGTCCCAAAGTAGAACTGCCAAAAGTGGGTGCTAAAGTCTAAAAAGCTGCCACAAGGGCTAGTCAATGAATAGATCCGACTATGTTATTAGTAGAGCTGGGAAGACCACTGGTAAATATAAAAGCTGGTTGAAGGTACAACAGGAGGGATAGGAGATTAGGAATATGAAGTACAAAAGCAAGAAAACACAAATGTAAGTTCAGATGGCAGGCAGATGGGGGTGTGGGTGGTGGTCTGTGAGCTGCGATGCCCCCAGAAAGAGGTCATGAACTGTTGAAAGGAACTCTTTTAATAGGACGGGTGATCACATTGTAGCAGTGCAGGAAAAGAAGACAAGATAGAGGGTGTAGTTCAACAAGATCAAGAAATAAATTACACACCAGGAAAACCACCACCAGCAGCAGAAGCCCATGTGATCAGGAGGTCTTACAGGTTACAAACAAATTACAAGAAAATTTAATGAAATACACCACAGGAAGAATGACAAAGCTGGAAAGAATCTGCAGTGTCCTCAGAGTTACCAGATAACAGTCAGCCAGCCTTATTCATACGTGAATATGCATAGAAAAGGTGCTTGCTTATGGAACATATAAGCTCAAGCCAGGCTACTGGCAGAAGTTTTGAAGATTTTCTTAGTTTTGTTAGCAATAAAATCTTGGGAACGTAGGCCAGTTGATATTAAAACATCTCAAAAGAGAATTCTTTCTTCATTCATCTAAAAGAGGTAGAAAATACAATGGGAACACCATGGATGTTAAATTAAAAAGTATATTTGGCCTAAATTATGTCTCTAGAGTTTGGTACTTCTCAGTAACTACATCCCATTTAAACTGGGTTGCCTCTGGTTAAAAGCAAACCTTGACAAGTTTTATTGGCACCAGCAGGGGGAAATTTACAAGCAATGATGCACACAGATGATTTTTTCTCTGGGGTAGTTGCGGGGTACTTAAAAGTATTGTCATTAATGGGCTTAAAATCGAAATTGGAAGTAGGTGGGAAGGCAAGTACTAAGACGGACACAAGGGATACAAAACAAGTCAGGTAAGTGGGCAAAATCCTGGCAGATAGAATATAAAACGATAAAAATGTGTGACATGCACTTGTACAGGAATCCATTATCAAAATGGAGAAAAACTGCAGAAAGTTATAGCACAGAGAGATTAGGGGTCATGCAACACAAAAACTTAACATCCAAGTTCAGCAGGTAATAAGGAAGGCAAAGGGAATGACATATGAAAATAGGAAGATCTTGCTAAAACTATACAAGCCATTAAAGCTATCTGCAGACTAGACCTGGAATACTGTGAATAACTTTAGTCCCTTTATCTAAGGAAAGATGTAATGTAATTGGAGACAGTGCAGAGAAGCTCAATAGGCTGATTCCAGGTGTGGAAGGATTTCCTTATGCAGAGAGGTACAGTAGGTCGGGCTTTGTACTCGTTGGGGTTTAGAAGAATGGGAGGCAACCTTACTGAAACATGACAATTTTAGGGACCTTGATGAGGTGGATGTGGAGATGTCGTTTCCCCTTGTGGAATTCAGTTCTTGCCCCTTGTCATTCCCTGTCAGTTGATTAATCTTACTTTAGATTGTTCATTCTCATCTTCCACCACTATCCTCACCTAATCATTGTCCCCTAAATGCCACCTCAACGTAACTTTGTAAAGGCCACTCAACTCACCAACAGTATCATTAGCGGAACACTGGTTCGCAACTATAATTCTCCAAACTTAGAGCTTCAAATCACCCCAAGATTAGGTTACTGCAGAGACAAGCAAGGATGTGATTCCTCACAAGGAGAGGAAAAAAAGACACATTAGGTCGATCATGAATCGCTTACAAGATTTTATTTGAGAAAAAGATTGTTAGCATGAAAGATGGGCTTTAGTATGTACACTGTCCTAAATATTGTGACTAAAGGAGAAAGAAATTGCACTGTTAACCTATCTAATAAGGAAAGTACTGCCTTCAGAGATTATACGACAGAGACAAACAAAAGAGGCTTTTATGAGAACAAATAAAGGCATGCAACTAAAATTTTTATTCAGAGCATTTTTGACTTTCCAAAGCATCTTTCTGATAGCAGAATGTTCTGCAACGCTATTAAGTAACTTTTACCTTGGGATTTCTCTTCAAGTAAATTGTCACACGCAACGTAACTAGATTTTTGAGAGTTGTGATTTGTTTGCACTAAATTATCAATTTTGATCACCATGTGAATGCCAGAAACTAACCAGATGGCGTGTGCCTGTACGAATGTTTTGTAAAACTCACACATAAACTGCCGGTAATTGGCATATTTTCATTGTTCCTGTAATTGTTTCACACAAAATTAATGTAATTATCATCTCTCATTTTACCTTATCCTTTGAGGATAGTTCAATCTTCATACAAAGGTGACATACAATCTCTTGCTGTTCAATTTCTTCACAAACTCTGGAAAATTTGCAGCATCATGTTAAAGACCACAGTAAATCCTCATTTAACATTGCTCCTAATGCAGATTTGTTTTAAAATTGTTTATTCTTTGGGCCTATTTTTATGATGTTGAATTGCAATTTTTGTTTTTACCTCATTTGTACGTTGCTGTCTAAATTCAGCATCCAAAAATCAACTTCGAGTAAAAGAACAAAAATCTGATTGACATGATTCTGTGGAAATTCAGGAAAACAACGCTAGAAACCAGTCTGAAGGTGACTAAAGTGCTTGCGCATCTATCCATGATACAGGATTTAATGCCTTCTTTGAAGTTGAAGAACGTTTTGGAAGAACATCATTGGGGCAACTAAATAACATGTGGGGATAAAATTATAAAAACATAACGCAGCGCTTAAAGATTGAAATATTACCAAAAGATTTCTTTGGAAAATGCATTTAGGAGCAAGCCTGGAAGTACTTTTCCCCACTTTGGGGAATATGATTTCTGAACCTTAGAGGAAAAGATGGCAGAGATAGTCTGTGAAGTTTAAGATAAGAGTCAGAGGACCAGACTTAGGGGCCTCGCTGCAGCTGCTCATCGTAGGCTAATCAAATTGCACAGCACAGAAGGAAGCCATTCAGCTGATTATGCCTGAGCCTGCTCTTTGGAATAGCTATCCAACTATATGTAATACTTTCCCCTCCCCACAACCTCGCACTGTCCTTCCTCCAACTTATACAGTATTTCTTTGATACTTAGTGGCTTATCTAATGTCATAAAATATTTCAGCTAAGAATGTACAATGTTGCACACGTATGGTACGGTATTTCAACTTATACATTTGCTTTTCCAGGTAAGAAATGTTCAAAGGAATCTTACTCTTGTTTTAACATAAGAACCTATGATTCACCAAAGGTTATCTTATTTAAAGTTGCTATTTTCAGGAATGCGACTGAGGACTTACTTTATTCTGAAAACTGTCATGTTGATTTTGACTTCCAAAACATCATGAAATTGTCTTAAGTGAGTAAAGTTGTTGAGAAGAGGGCAACCAAAAGATCATGGATTTCAAACTGAAGAAACAATAGCTATCATAGAGACCCCATATGTTTATGTTTATTTTTTATTATAATATGATAAATAAATACTAATCAAAGCACCATGCTCTCCCCTGACAGCTTTGTACTTGTCTTTGCTGCAAAAATTTAACCACTCTTTCTTTGAAAATATCTCATGACACCTGCCTCAATTATTCCCTTTTGCAAAGCAATCCATGCTCTGCATAAAAAAAAACTTCGTAGTCCCTCTTCTTGATAGGTATTTTATAACCAACTTGCTCAGAAATATAATTACACACCTCTGAAGTAGATGGGACTAAAGCCAGGCCTCCTGGCTCAAAGATAGGTAATTTACCACTGCAACAGAAGGGCCCTTTTCCTGCCCTTCTCCTCACGCTTTTCATGAGAATTGATTACCTTAATTAGCTGATAGAAATATACAACTTATGCTTGGTCAGCCTGGAGGGCCCAAAGGATAAGAATTTTAAAAAGTACTTTTTGGATTCTTCATGTGGGTAGTCAGTTAATATTGGGTTGACTCCAGGATACAGGTTTTTACTTTTCATTTCTAAAGGTTTGAAAAGTGAAACAAAAACAGAAGTTGCTGGAAAAGCTCAGCAGGTCTGGCAGCATCTGTGAAGAGAAATCAGAGTTAACATTTTGGGTCCAGTGACCCTTGAAAACAGGCAAACTCTGTAGATGGCTACTGCTAAAGCGACTGCCTGAATGAGTTGGTGAGCCACTTTCATGCCATCGTACCACTGTTTATGCTGACGTCACACGAGTTAAAGCTGTGTGCTATAATCCATCACGAGTACTTATTGCCCAGTTCCACACTGTGCTATATATTTTCAATGCCTTCAAGACTTCATCAAATCTTTTATGAAATGGGGAAATCACCTACTTCTTGGGAGTTCCATTAGGTAATGCATTCGAATGTCGTGCTTAGGCTATGGTAATAACCGAGCATATGTACCATCCAGACTAGAAATTATAAAACAACCTCAAATGGTACTGCAAGTTTGCTGACATCAACCAAGGACTGCGAATCCTGCCTGATAAACATTATTATTAAGGCTCACAGATCAACAGCATCACTCAAGATTTGGAGTTGGGACAGGGGGAGTTTGCTATAATCAATGCTCATAGAACTTCATCAATAGGTTTCACAGAAGGGAGGAAGTCAGGAATATAGATAGACAGGTGGCCATAAAAATAAAATTTAAACTTAAATACTGCAGAAAAATTGCAAGTTCTAACTTAGTAATCTAACCAAGCCAATGAAAATAAAGCACTTTTTTTTTTCTTTGTTTATAATCCATACTAATCTTTTATTTCTCATTAGCAGAAGACAGAAGAGGGAGAAAAGGGAACACAAACTGAGAAAGGGTGGAGAAAGGTAATGGAAACAGAGCTAAGGAAAAAGATAAGGGGAGGAAAGAATGAGGAAGATTAGTTGGGAGGGATTTAAGAAAGCTAAAGGCACATGTTTAAGCAAATTTAAAACGTACTCAAGGAAACATATTTTTGGACGACTTATATCTATCTACTCAATTTTAGAATTTCTTCACAGATTGGAAGAAAAACATAGTAAATCATTGATTACTTCCTTCTAATCCAAACTCCAGCTTCCTAAATGTTGAGGTTCAGTAAATTTTCTTACATTAATGTTATCATTCTATAAAGGAAGATACTATTGAACCATTCTTTTATACCTGCTGGAGCAAAGAAGTGAAGCTAAAGCTCCAATAGTAGTTTCCCACACATTAGTTTCAATTGGCATTTTCAATAAATGGCAAAGGTGCTTCAATGCATTGGCATCAATTATAGCGGTGTGCAGATCAGTGTTTTCACCTGGAATTCCAAGTGCAATACATATGCTTTCTTGTAGTTCTGCACTGGTCACACCTAAAACCAGAGAGATTTCAGACCAATGAGGAATGGCTTCAACAATCTGGAGAATTTAAATTATAACACTGTACAAGATTGTGAATTAGATGGCCAGAATTCTTTATCAGTAAAAACAGATACAGATTTGTTCTTACCCTGAAGCAGCTTCACAAGTACATAAATTCCTCTCTCTTGTTTGATTTCATCCAGATCTCTGCAATAAAATAACTGAAAAATTAATTCTAAAATATAATTAACTCAGAGCAATTTAAATAATTTGGAACATTAAAGATTTTTGTACATAATTAAACCGTGATTATCCAGGAGCAATTTCAATAATCTTATCAGGTAACACTGTTATATAGGATGGTGCAATACTGTATAAATGAAGTGAGAATGGGGTTGGTTTTAGATTGTTTCAACTAGTAGCTGAATATATTTGTAGAAGTTGCTGCTTATTGGATTTAATTTACTCTGTTATGCAGAATGAAGCCTCTCACATTGTTTTCTAACATTTTACTGACTTAAAACAGCTTTTATTTTACTGAAGTGTCCAGCAATCCACTTGAAATTTTCAGGGGTATAAATGGTCACATTGTAGAAACTGGAACTGCAAATCGTCACTAAAACCCAAAATGAGGACATCACGGAAAAATATTTCCGAAGTACATTAAAAAGATTGACAGAATTGGGGTAGACAATTTTAAGAACAAGATTAGAGTCATGGAAAACAGAAGCACTGGGAATGTTCAATGAAAAAGACAAGACAAACATATATCCAATAACAGAAGAGGAAGTAGGCCATTTGGTCCTTCGAGCCTGCTCTGCCATTTAATAAGATCATGGCTGATCCACTTGTGTTTCAAATTTCACATTCCCATATACCTCAATAACCCCTCAATTCCCATACCAAACAAGAGTTTATCCACCTCTATCTTAAAAAGATTCAAGACTCCACTTCCCGAGGTAGACTGTTCCAAAGCCACACAACATTCAGAAAAAGAAACACAGTTTCCTCATTTCCACCCTAAAAAGACAAATGTTAGTTTTAAAACCATTTAGCATTGAGCCTGTGGCCACAGAGACATTCAAGCTAGGGGGCTTTTGTGGTGCAATGGTAATTTCCCTATCTCTGAACAGGAGGCCCAGATTTTAGTCCTACCTCCTTCACAGGAGTCTTATAACACATCTGAACAGTCTGTTTAAAAATACTTAAAACAGTGTCCCCTAGATTTGGAACTGAACCAGAGGAAACATCTTTTCCTTGTCCACCAGGTCAAGGCCATTCATCTTATACACTTCAATCAAATCACTTGTTAGTCTTCTAAACTCCAGTGGAAACACACTCCAATCTATCTTCATTAGAGGGCCTGCTTATTCCAGGTATCAATTTAGTACATCTACTCTTAAATGCCTCCTATGCATTTACATCCTCCCTTAAATAAGATGACCTAAACTGTACACTATTTGAGATGTGGTCTCACCAATGCCCTGCAGAACTGAAATATAACGCCTCTACTTTTATGTTTAATTCTTCTGTAATAAAGGATAGCAGCACAGTAGCCTTTTTGAATATGTGTTGTACCTATATACTACATTTTTCTGATTCCTGCACCAAAACACCCAAATCCCCCTACATGTGGAATTCTGCAGTTGTTTTTCATTTATATAATACTCTATTGTTTATATTCTTCCTGCCAAAGGGAATAACTTCACGTTTTCCCACATTAAACACTTTATGTCTGCTAGATAGTTGCCCACTTACTCATCCTATCTATATTCATTTGCAACTTCCTTATGTGCACTTCACCACATACTTTCCAAAACTCTCATTACTTACTCTTTTCCTTTTTCAAGTACCTGTAGAAATTATTGCTGCTTTCACATTTCTAGACATCTCCCCTCATGCTTTAATTTCTTCCTCCTGATTAACTTTACAGTCATTCTTTGCCATTCTTTATATTCTGATCAATCATCTTAGCCTGTCACTCATCACTGAATAGTCTAGCTCTTTTTCCTGACATTTACTGCCTTTATTAATTTCTTCAGTTAGTTTCAGATGGTGGGTCCTCCATGAAGAATTTTTCTTTACAGTAAGAATACATGCATTTTGAGTTTTCTGAAATATCCCTTAAATGTCTATCACTGTCTGTATCGATCTATCCCCTAGCCTAATATACCAGTTCACTTTAGTTAGCTCACAGGTTTCACTTATTTCGTTTTAAAACACCAGTCTTAGACCCACTCTTCTTCCTTTCAAGCTGGATGCATAATTCAATCACTGTGTTCTCTGATACCTAGGGGTGCCTTAACTCTAAGGCTGTTAATGAATCCTGTCGCATTACTCAATGTCAAGTCTAATACTTTGGTTGGTTTCAAAACTTGTCATTCTAAGAAACTCTCTCAAAAGCATTCTATGAATGCCTTATCCAGGCTACTACTGACAATCTGATTTTTTTCAATTAATATGCAGATTAAAGATTAAATATCCACTATTTTTTCTTGAATATTTTGACTCACACTGTGGTTCCTTTTAGGGGGTTTGTTGATCACTCCCACCAATGATTTCTTTCTCCTGCTGTTTCTCAACACCACCCTAAACAATTCTACATCCTGATCTCCTGAAGCAAGGTCATCTCTAACTATTGCACTAAATGTCATCCTGGATTATGACTCCACCTTTACCTAACTTACTATTTTTCTTGAATGTCACATACCCCTCAATATAATGATCCAATCCTAGTTATCCTGAAACTGTATCAATGTGCGTTCATATTATACTTGACATTGAGTTATGTGACAGGATTCATCAACAACCTTAGAGTTAAGGCATCCCTACGTAGCAGAGAGCACAGTGATTGAATTATGCAACTGGTTTGAAAGGAAGAAGAGTGGGTGTAAGACTGGTGTTTTAAAACTTAATAAGTGAAACCTGTGAACTAGCTAAAGTGAACTGACATACTAGGCTAGAGATAGATCAATACACAGACACAATGGCAGACATTTAAGGGACATTTCAGAAAATTTACCAGGTTATATGCACATTTAGATACAGATCCTTTAGTTTTGTCTTTTTGTTATCCTTGCAATATCTAGTCTTGATAGTTGGTCAATTCCTGTATTTATTTCTCTATTCCTTGCTGCCATTCTCTGGCTCTGATTTCCCACATTACTTTTTTTTTTACTTTGACTCTACTCTTTGATATGCATTACACATTTTAACCCCTGCCTCCATTATTTGGTTTAAAATCCTGTTTATTTCCCTAATTATGTTGTTCACAAGGACAGTGGTCCTAGCATGTACTAGGTGTATACTTCCTATTGGTAAGACTCCCTCTTTACCTGGAAGTTAGTTACAGAGCAGACCTGAAATAGGTCCGTGGGCACATTATTCACCATGGTGTGTGATTAGAATCAGTACAAAGGCAAAGAAAAGGCAACTGAACTCATTGCATGTTTGATAGCATTGCAATGGCTTTGAAATAACTACTATTTTATAGTGAATGGACATCATCCTGTAATTGCATGTTCTAGTCACCAAGAACAGAATTTTCACATTGATTTGAGGGTGGAAACAAAGACTGGCAGGAGTACAGTGCTACAGTTTTTAGTAGCAGCCTCTCAGCAGCAGAAGTGGGAAGGACCAGTACTCCAGAATGCCAAGTCACAATCACCACCCCTCTGGCTGCAGTTCATCTCAAAGTATTTATTCTTCACAGTGTTAAATCAGCAGCTGAAACTACTTTTTAGTTCAAATATTTTAAATGTGTTGAGAGGGCATCTCAAGATTAAGGTATCCTTTACCTTCATCACCAGCAACAAAGCATTTGTTCTCCCTGTTCTGCAGGACCTCCTATTCAACCACCAACTTGGAGTCTGCCTGCCATCCTTAACTGAATATGAGCACACCTGCTATCCATTAATTGTATAATCAAGGCAAGATCATTGTTATCTGGCTGCTCCCAATAGTTCAGGGTTAGGGCACAAATTTAATTTGAAAAAATAAACACATTTTGAAACAAAGTTAAATGTGTTCATATTCTCTGCTAATGGAGATTGTCTAGTATTTAAAATGGTCTTACCTTCCTTGCATCCTGGCCACATGAGTCATGGCAATTATTACATCAGTTTGTTCTTTTGGAACAGACAGGAATCTGAGCAACCTGCATAAGAAGTGTAAACCTGATTCTGATGCACTTTCTGCAGGATACTGCAGCACAATGTCTTTGAGTTCCTCCACTATAGTAGTTCTTAATGATGATGCTTTAAGATAAAAAAAAAGTGACAAATATGTTTAGACTGGATTATTTTGCAAGAATCTAATGGGGCAAGGCCATGCATTTACATTGTTTCACAAAACAAGTCATTTAAAATTACCAATAACATTTTATTGTATAATCCCAAGAAAAGTTAAACATTTTAATTACCAGGGATTCCCACCAGTCATGCTCCTCTGCTCAAAATAAAATTCAGTCATCTAACAGAATTTACTAAAAGCTAGTCCACCAGGAGAAAACACAATCTAAAAAGCTAATCGCCTTTTTCTCAGGGGCCAAAAATACAAAGAAGTGGAAGGGTTGGTACAGTTAAATAAAACTCTGGTTAGGCTTTTGGAGCACAGTGTTCAGTTCTAAGTACTTTCCATAAGGAAGGATATATTAGCTTGAGGAGGAGTGCATCACAAATTCCCAGAATGATGCTGGGACTAAAAAGTCTAATCTGTAACATAGTCTCATAAGTGAAGCAATGATCTTGCTGAATGCTTAAGTTGATTAAAAAAACTCTTGGGGTAATCCAAAATGTCAGGGAATAATTGATAATCAGAGTTAAATTGTGGGCATGAAGCCCTACTTTAAATGAAGATGGTGGGAAACTGGAACTTTCACCCCCATGCCCAAAAAGTGCTGTTTAGGCTTGGTGTATTAACAAACTTCAAAGCTCAAATTGATTTATTGTTGATGGCAAAGTAGTTAGGGGTGATAGAACCAGGTGAGAATATAGGGTTAACGTTTAGATCAGTTATAATCCACTGAATAGCAGCAAAGGCCTAGGAGGCTGAATATCATTCCTGTTTCTGATTTATAAACCAAATCGCTGAGCAATACCACATGAGATGGTGGGCAAATAGCCTCTAAAACACAAGATTGGGCTGATTTAGTAACTGTAAAAATACTTCTTTGTACAAAGTTTATTCAGAATTCAAGATTCCTGCTTTTTCATATTTCCTTTGATATGGTAAAATGTACTTAAGGGCTTCATAGACTTATCAGACAAAATTCAACACCAAGCCACACAAAGATATTAGCACAGGTGACCAAAGTTTTGGTTAAAAAGCATCTTAAAGAGAGGTTTAGGGTGAGCTAATTTTGATCTGTAAGCTGAGGCAATGGGTGAACAGGACATGAGCAGCTCAGATGTGGAAACTTGAGCTCTTCCAGAGGGTGGAAGGAAGACCAGCCAGGAGAGAATCAGAATAGTCACATTCCCAAGAAACAGAGAAGGGCTTCAGGTCCAGATGAGTTGAGGCAGGGGCAGCATTGATTTTCTCACTAAATGCCTGCTTAACATCCTCTTAAAATTACAACTTCAGCTTGATATTACCATTTGCAATGTTGATGCAATAGTACAGAGCTTCTCAAAGTAACGATTGGAACTCCAAGTGTGGACTACAGCTGAAATCTTGGGGTTTTAAGCTGCAAAGCAGCTTTGTCACCCTACGGATCCAACTGAGATATAGCAGCTGTGAATCTGCCCCAGCAGACACCTACTCTCTGGCCCTCAACCCATTTTCAGTTCTCACTGAATGTTTGAGCCAACATCAATCTTTGACACTGGATTATAGTGGGAAACAGTTTGGGATGCACTACAATATTTTATAATAAATCACGTATTAAATGATTTTCTTTTACAAAAAAGTTTCATTTGGCCAACATTTTGAAATTTTCAACTTAAAAACCAGACCAGTTTACTAATTTCATAGCTATACGTAGGCATTACTTACAATTTTGATCTCCTAAAAGTGCACAAACCGAAGAACAGAGGTAGAAAATGTAGCTGGTTTCTTTATTTTCCACAGCTTCTTCTGAAAACAATTGATTTAAAATTGCAGGTGGCCCAATGCCTAGTTGTTTAGATACCATACATTCTGAAAGTTTTATAGAGCCAGCATTAGAAGGATCCTGCACGACAACATGATAGCATATGGCATCAGCTACAAAGGAAAACAAAGTTTTCAAAATACAAGGGGAATAGTTCAACAATATATTAATATAGTATTTCTCTGCAGACAATATTACATTTAAAAATAAATTGACTAACCATTGCTAGGCCATTTGAGAGAGAGTGTTTAAGAGTCTAGTAGATCTAGTGTGTTACGTAGGCCAGACCAGGTAAGAACAGCAGATTTCTTGCCAATAAACATCATTGTTATAAAAATCCATTTGGTTCAATCAACAATAGCTATCATGGCCACCATTACTGAGACTAGCTTTATATTCCAGGTTTATTAAATTAATTCAAATTTCAGCACCAAAATTCAGCAACAATTATGCAACCGCCTCCACCAAAGACCGGAGAATGTTGCAACACAGCAACCTGGGTGTGCTTGACATATAGTACAAGAAGTTAGCGTACACATACACATCAAGGAATCGGCAAGACAAATGGGAATGTTAACATATATGGCAAGGAGAATGGCACATAAAAGCAGGGAAGCCTTAATAAAGCTGTACAGAACATTAGTAAAATCACAATTGGAGTATCATTTACAGTTTTGTCTCCTCACTTAAATAAGGATACAACTGCAATGGAAGTTGTTCAGGGAAGATTCACTAGGCTGATTTCCATCAAGGAAAGATTGTGTAGGAGAAAAGGTTGAGTGGACTGGAACTGTACTAACTGGAGTTTCGAAGAATAAAGATGATTATATTGAAACATAAACATTCTAAAGGTCATGGTAGGACAAATGTTGGGAGGATGTTTCTTCTCATACAGGAATCTAGGACTGGGCAGTTTAAAAATCAGAGTCGCTCATTTCAGATGAGTTTGAGGAATTTCTTTTCGCACAGAGTGTCACAGGAATTCTCTTTCACTGAGAACAGTAGATGCTATGTCACTGAACATACATAACACTGAATTAGACAAAAGTTTGACCACAAGAGTTGAGGTTAATGGGGCAGCAAAGTAGAATATTCCTCAAATCGGATCAGCCATGATCTTACTGAATGATGCAGCAGTTTCGATGGATTAAGTGGCCCATGCCTGCTCCTATTTCCTATGGTCTAAAGCTAATGTTTTTCTCTTGGGAGTACAGGAGATATGATAAAAGTGCATAAGATTGATGACAGGTTTAGATAAAGTAAACAAGGACGAATTTCCTCCTAGCTAATGGTATTGCTAGGGAACACAAATTTCAGATTTGGGGCAAGAGGTACAGAAGGGTAAGGGGAGTTGAAGAACTTATTTTCGGGCAGTGAGTGGTAATGATTGAGAATTCACTTCCAATGAGAGTGGTGGAAGTGGATTGGTTTTGACTGATAACTCACTTCCAACAGTGGTGGATGCAGAGATAATAAATTCAAAAGAAAATGGGACAGAGGCACACTTAGAGGAAATGAACATAAAAAGCTAAGGGGATAAAGCAATGGAATGGGACAGGGTGGAATACTCTGTAAAGAGCCGGCATAGGTTTGGTGTGCTGAATAGACTAGTTCTGTGTCTTTATAACTTTTACGAATGATTGGGAAGTTGTGCACAATATATACCCAAATTTTGCCATGCTCCCACTGAACAAGGTTTTTCATCTCAAGCAACAAATTTGAAAATATGAACACTTCTACCTTCTCTCTATCCTGATTTTGGGAAAATCTAGAGTCAGAGAGATGTACAGTACAGTACCAGACCCTTCGGTCCAACTTGTCCATGCTGACCAGATGTCCTAAAATAATCTAGTCCCATTTGCCAGTATTTGGCACATGTCATCATGAACTTCCCAGCTAACATCATGAAAGTACTTTCACGACATGTACTGCAGAAGCTTAAGAATGTGCACATTAACATGTTATCAAGAGCAAGATACCAACACTGCCAGCATTCAGAGCAGGAATATTTCCGAATATATTTATTCGCATGCAAGGCTGTATAAAAAATTATTTTTGTATGCTCCAGAGACCAACTCAGAAGTGATTACTTTCTTCATCTTTTCATGGAATGAAGGTGTTGTTAGCAAGGCCAGTATTTATTGCACATCGTTAATCCTGATCCTAATCCTTAAACTGAATGGCTTTCTAGCCCATTTCAGATGGCAGCTGAGAGACAACTTTATTGTGGGTAAGAACAGCAAACTTCCTTCCTTAAAAGGATATTAGTGAATCAGATGATATTTTGCGACAATCAATGGTTGTTCATGGTCACCAACTGCCGTGGTGTAATTTGAACCCATGTTGTCAAAAAATCAGCTGAGCCCTTTGGGATGATAAGTCCACTGCACCACTGTTATCCTCCAACCCAGATTTATAGCAACAGTACCACAATTCTCAAATACTCAGCAGTTCTTCATCTTTCAAAACTTTCAGACATGTAAAAGGTTTAAAAGTTGCAGTTTGTAATTCTATAATGGTTATTCGGAGGTTTAGTGTTAATGGCCAGTTGAAATTTAACTGGAGCTGTGGACCAAAAAGCATATCTATATATCAGTTTGATGTGGACTTCCTAATGTAAACTTCAATGTTTTATTATTTAAAAATGTATTTATAAACTCATAATTTAATTCTGGGAACAGCATTTGCTGAAATAAAAGCTTTGTATATTTTCAGATATCATCAATATCAACTCACTTAGATCATTTCTACTTTGTTCAATTACTTTAACTTGGAGTTCCTTATCCTGGAAAGTAGACCAGGACCACTCTTTAATCTCTGGATTGCAGAGTTTTTCCACAGGCTCCACACCAAGAAGCGAACAGCAGATGGCCTGCAATACCAAGACAATCAAGAATAGCTATATTAATCCACAGTCATATTTAAAACTGGATGGCCATGGTTAAGCAATGCAATAGCTTCAAGATTAGCACTTCAAGCAGGTTAAAAAAAGTTTTTAAAAAGTTAAAACAATTTGGTGCATGTAAAATTTGCCAATGCAGTAATGCATTTCTATTGAAAATTTGTACAAAAGTGCTTCACAGGAGTACGTAGTAAATAAAATTTACCATTTTGTATTTTGAAGAGCATCTTAAAAGTACAAGAGACATTTTAAAGAGGTCATTCCAGACCTTAGGGTTAAGGTAGCTGGACACAGAGCCATCAATGGTGGTACAAAAATTTTCAACGTTGTGGAAAAGATTCAAAATTGAAGAAATAGAGGTCTTGGAAGGCTGTAGGGAAGACAACACCATAAGATGTAGGAGCAGAATTAGGCCATTCAGCCCATCGAGTCTGCTCCACCATTTGATCATGGTTGATTTATTTCTCAACCCCATTCTCCTGCCTTCTCCCTATAACCCTTGATCCTCTTACTAATCAAGGACCTATCTATCTCTGTCTTAAACACACTCAGTGACTTGGCCGCCACAGCCTTCTACGGCAATGAGTTTCACAGATTCACAACCCTCTTGCTGAAGAAATTCCTCTTCATCTCAATTCTGAAGGGTCAGCCCTTCACTCTGAGGCCGTGCCCTCAGGTCCTAGTCTCTCCTACTAGTGGAAACCTCTTCTCCACTGTCCACTCTATCCAGACCTCTCAGTATTTTGTAAATTTCAACGAGACCCCTATCTCATCCTCCTAAACTCCATTGAGGACAGACTCAGAGTCCACTTCTCACATGACAAGCCTAGGATCATTCTTGTAAACCTCTTCTGGACATTCTCTCCTCTCCCCACCCCGGCCACCAGTCAGCACATTCTTCCTTAGATATAGGGCCTGAAACTGTTTACAATATTCCAAATGTGGTCTGACCAGAGCCTTATACAGCCTCAGCACTACATCATAAAAACCAGAAGAACTGCGGATGCTGTAAATCAGGAACAAAAACAAAGTTGCTGGAAAAGCTCAGCAGGTCTGGCAGCACCTGTGAAGGAGAAAACAGAGTTAACATTTCAGGTCCAGTGACCCTCTGTGTTCTGAGGAAGGGTAACCGGACCCGAAACGTTAACTCGGTTTTCTCCTTCACAGATGCTGCCAGACCTGCTGAGCTTTTCCAGCAACTTGTTTTTGTTCCTCAGCAGTACATCCCTGCTCTTGTATTCTAACTCTCAAAATTAATGCTAACATTGCATTTGTCTTCCTAACTGCCAACTGAACCTGCATATTAACCTTTGGAAAATCCTGAACTAGGACTGCCAAGTCCCTTGAACTTCAGATTTCCAAAGTCTTATCCAGTTTAGAAAATAGACTATGCACCTGCTCTTCCTACCATAGTACATAACTTCACACTTTCCCAAATTGTATTCCAACTATCACTTCTTTGCCCACTCTCCTGGCCTCTCCAAGTCCTTCTTGCTTCCTCAACACTATCAGTTCCTTCATCCAGATCGTTAATGCATAATGTGAATAGTTATGGTCCCAACACGGATCCTTGCAGAATTCCACTAGTCACTTGCAACCATGCTGTAAAAGACCCCCTTACACCCACTCCATGCATTCTGCTAGTCAGCCAATCTTCTGTCCATGCCACTGCCTTACCCATGAAACTATAAGCTCTTATTTTATTTAGCAGCCTCCTGCACGACAACTCGTCAAAGGCCTTCTGGAAATCCAAACAGATCGTGTCAGCTGGCTCTCCTTTGTCTAACTTGCTTGGTACCACTTCAAAGAATTCTAACTCATTTGTCAGGCATGACCTCCACTGACTCAGCCCTATTTTACTATTCACTTCCAAATACTCCGCAATCTCATCCTTTATAATGGACCCTAAAATCCTACCAACAATCTAGGTCAGATTAACCAGCCTATCGTTTCCTGCTTTCTGCCACTGTTCCTTCTGAAAAAGGGGTTTTAGATTAGCCATTTTCCACACTTCTGGGACCCTCCCTGACTCCAGTGATTCCTGAACAATCACTCACCAAAGCCTCCACAATTGGCTCAGCTATCTCCTGCAGAACTCTGGGGTGCAGTCCACCTGGTCCGGGCAATTTTTCCACCTTCAGACCTTTCAGCTTCCCTAGCACCTTCTCCTTAGTAACGGCCACTACACTCACATTGGTCCCTGACTCTCTTCGAGTTCTGGTATGCTCCTGGCATCTTCATTGTGAAAACTGATGTGAATTATCCATTCAGTTCCTCCATCATTTCTTTGTTCTCCATTAGTAATTCTCCAGCTTCATTTTCCAGTGGTCTAATGTCCTCTCTCTTTTATATATTTAGAAAAAAACTCTTGCAATCTTCTTTAACATTACTAGCTAGCTTACTCTCATTTTATTTTCTCCCCACTTATTGCTTTTTTTTAAGCTATCCTCTGCTGGAGACTTCTAAAGACTTCCCACTAATCTACACCACATTGTATGTTTTCTCTTTTGCTGTGCCAAGGTCAACAAGGAAGGTTACAGAAATAAAGCAGGGTAAAGTCCTTGGGGGAGTTGGAAACGAGACCAAGAAATAAAAACTGAGGCATTGCTAGACTAGGAGACAACGTAGGTAATTGACTAGAATGGTGATGTACAAACAGAGTTTAGTGTAAGCTGGATATGACAGCAAGTTTTCAGACGAGTATACAGACGACGAAAATATTAAAACATCAACCAGAAGAGCTTTAGAATTGCCAAATTTAGAGTTGCAAAAGTACAGATGAAGGATTCAGAAGCAGATGAACTGTGTTAGGGCCAAAGGTGGAGAAGGCTACTGAGACAGAAATATGCAGTCTTCAATATGGGGCAATATAAAGCCCAAAACTCCGTTTAGGATCAAATATAATATCAAGGCTCCAAACAGTCCATTTCAGCCGCAGACAGTGGAAAGAGAAAAATGGATGTGTTTAGTGATGAAGGAGTGGAGACTGTGATGTGGACTAACAGCAATTCTTTCATTATTCCCAATATTTATTGAAATATCAACAGCAAACAATCAACAGTCAATTAGGCAGCGGAGGGGGTCAAGAAATATTGTGAGGGTACATACGCTGCTAGCATCCAGTTCTATGTGGAGCGTGCGCACGAGTGTCTATGTCCATGTGCGTGCGTGAGTGTGTTTGTGTGTGCATGCGTGCGCTCGCGAGTGTATGCATGCGTATTAGTGTGAGCATGACTGAGTGCGCGCGCGCGAGAGAGAGGCGGAGATAGAGAGTGCGGGGGGGGTGGCGAAAGAGAGAAAGAAAGAGAACGAGAAGGAGAACAAGAGAACGAGAACCATTCTGTTAAGAGTGGGGCAAAAAAAAAGGCAATGCAAATGTTTCTTTCGCCACCGCTGGACAGTGATATAAACACCTGCACTTTTGAATTATTCATGACTTTGCTGTAAGAAATATAACGTGAGAGAGAGAAATTCTATCTAACAATTACTTCCAAACCAAAATTTCTGCATGCCAGCACAAGCAGTCAGTTATGGGATTCTAGGCAAATGGAGGATGAATCTAAAGTGATATTACAGTTAGTAAAGGATGAAAACTAGTGGGAACTCAGGAATCAGAGGTAAGCACTTAATTAATCATTTCTACAAATATCACAAGCACTGCTTCCTTTAAGTGACTTGAGAAACAGGATAAGCCCATAGTAGCATGAAAGAGAGAGAAAAAAAAGCACAAGTTATGTTATAGATAAGGATGGGCACTGGTGATTGCACGTACATTTTTAAAATGAAATTAATTAAATTATTTTAGATCATGTTATTAAAGATTACAAAAAGTATGAAATAAATAAAATTTAAGTAAGTAAATAAATAAAACAAGGCGATAATATGATCATGGTCAACTATATCTGGATTAAGTAACTGCATGTTGAGGAATTTCAGCTCAGATTTGTTGAGCTAGAGTCTGACCTGCAGACATTGAAAGGCAGCAAGGGGAAAGAGTTATTTGAACACTTTGCTCCAGGAAGTAGTCACAACCCTTAGTTTGGAGAACAGGTCTGCGTCACAGAGGATAAGACTGTAAAAAGATACAACATTTGCAGTGCCTGAAAACCTGGAAAAGAAGACCCAAGATGAATGTTTTAAATTAAATACAGGCAACTATGAAGGCATGAAGACAGACCTAGCAAGAATGAACCGGGAAATTAGTTATGGATAGTTGAGTAGAGATGCAGTGATATATTTAAGGAGATATTTCAGAATCATCTTCTTAGGCAGCGAGTTGGGATGGAGGATGGCTTTCTTCCACTGCAGTGTTGTGGGTCTGAGGAAATTAATCAATCCAGTGCTGGATCCGCACACCTGCCACAGAATGGACACATGGTGTTTGAAGAGACTGTGGGCTGGAATGCTCAGGATTAACATGATCCTTTCACTATTTGCACTTGACTTCCAAGTCTGGTTGAAATGGTCAAAGTTTCTTCTTCAGTTTGAATGAACCCGGGCTAGAGATTCTCACAGTCAGTGAGGATATTGCACTTTTTCAACCAAGCTTTAAGGCTGTCCTTAAAGTGTTTCCTCTGCTCTCCCAGTTAATTGCTTGCCATGACAAAGCTGGGAGTAGACAGCTTGCTTTGGAAGTCTTGGGTCAGACTTATGGACCACAACCCATGCCTGGATACTGAGGACATTGTCCTGTAAAGGGACACTGATTTTGGAACGCCTAGGATGCTAGTGGATTTGCAGAGGCATTACTGGTGACATTTCTCAAGGAGTTTGAGGTGTTTGTTGTATATTGTCTATGTTTCCAACATACACAGAAGGGCTGGTAACAATGCTGCCCTGCAGATCATGAGCTTGTTGTTCAGCTTGACTCTGTTATCAAACTCTGATCCTCAGACAGACGAAGGCTGTGCTAGAATACTGGTGGTGTCAGTGCTGACATCTGCTCTTGCTAAAATAGGTCTTCAAGATCTGGGAATTGATCCATATTGTCCAGTAGCACACAATGAACCCTGACAGTCAGAGGTGGTGCTGTGGTGGCAGAAGGCTGGTAGAGAACTTTTCTTTGCCAGATATTTATCCAAAGACACATTGTCTCATGCCTCAGCAAATACATCAACTGTAGATTGGAGATGGGCCTTGGAGTGTGCTCACTTGCAAGTAGAACAGAGAACATACAACAGTACAGGCCCTTCGGCCCATGATGTTGTGTCGAACTTTTACCCTAAACCTAAGGTCTATCTAACCTCTACCGCTACCTTATACTATCATCCATATGCCTATCTAATAGCCGCTTAAATGCCCCTAATGAGGCCGACTCCACTACCCTCTCCGGCAATGCATTCCATGCCCCTACCACGCTCTGAGTAAAGAACCTACCTCTGACGTCTCCCCGATATCTACCTTCACTCACTTTAAAACTATGTCCCATCGTAAAAGTTACCTCCACCCCAGGAAAAAGTCTCTGGCTGTCTACTCTATCTATACCTCTGATCATTTTGTACACCTCTATCAAGTCACCTCTCATCCTTCGTCGTTCTAAAGAGAAAAGCCCTAGCTCTCTCAACCTTTCCTCGTAAGACCTTCCCTCCATTCCAGGCAACATCCTGGTAAATCTCCTCTGCACCTTTTCCAACGCCTCCACATCTTTCCTGTAATGAGGTGACCAGAACTGGACACAATACTCCAGATGTGGCCGAACCAGGCTTTTGTATAGCTGGAGCATAACTTCACGGCTTTTGAATCAATCCCTCTATTAATGAGAGCTAACACACCATATGCCTTCTTAACAACTCTATCCACCTGGGTGGCAGCTTTCGGGGAACTGTGAACATGAACCCCAAGATCCCTCTGCTCCTCCACACTGCCAAGAATCTTTCCGTTAACCCTGTATTCTGCTTTCAAGTTTGTCCTTCCAAAATGAATCACCTCACACTTTTCAGGGTTAAACTCCATCTGCCACTTCTCAGCCAAGCTCTGCATTCTATCAATGTCACTTTGTAACCGAGAACAGCCCTCCGCACTGTCCACAACGTGACCCAACTTCGTATCGTCCGCGAACTTGCTAATCCAACCTTTCACTCCTTCATCCAAATCATTTACAAAAATCACAAATAGAAGAGGACCCAGAACAGATCCTTGTGGTACACCACTCGTAACTGAGCACCATGTTGAATATTTTCCATCCACTACCACCCTTTGTCTTCTAAGGGTCAGCCAATTCTGAATCCAATCTGCCACATTTCCCCCTATCCCATGCCTCCTTACCTTCTGCATGAGCCTACCATGGGGAACCTTATCAAACACCTTACTTAAATCCATGTATACCACATCCACTGCTCCACCTTCATCCACGTGTTTGGTCACCTCTGCAAAGAATTCAATAAGGTTTGTGAGGCATGATCTACCCCTCACAAATCCATGCTGACTATCACGAATCAAACTGTGCCTTTCCAAGTGATCATAAAAGTGTTATGTGCATTACTACAGCTCTGAGAGAGGGGTTGGGGTGGTCTTGGTTCTGGATTGGAAACAAAGCAAGAAGTTTCCTGTTTGTCTTGTAGTTTAGCTCCACACAAAAAGAAAACATCATGGATATGGGGTGAAGTATGTGGCAAGGAAGATAGAGGAAAGTTCTGGTGCTATGACACAGATCCTCCTTGGCATACGTTGGTTCTATGGTACATCCATTCTCACATGTTCTAGTTCAGCAAGCAGAGGATACTCATGAATTTTTGATACTCATTATAGTTGACCAGAGTTGAAAGCCTTTGTGAGATCAAAAAAGACTAAGCAGAGAGGTTGTTGCTCCTCTCCGCACTTCTCTTGAATTTGTTTTGCTGTGAACACTATGTCCATGCATCTCTTGATGGTCAGATCCACATTGTGGCCTTATTTGGATCTCTTTAGCCATTGGGAGGAAATGTTTGAGGAGGACTTTTGCAAGGACTTTCTTCACAGCAGACATCGTGTGGTTACTACAAATCGGCCTTATCTCCTTTCCTGACGATGACTACATTTAAAGCTTCTTGGATATCGCCTGGCATGCTCTCTTCTTTCCAGATGAGCCGAAAGTGCTCTCTGCTGTATGATCAATGCCCCTCGACATTCAATGGATTACCATCACTGAATTCCCCCATTTTATCCTGGAGGTTACCACTGACCAGAAACTGAACTGAACTAGCTACATATATACCATGGCTGGAAGAGCAGGTCAGAGACTAGGAATGCTGCAGTGACAAACTCACCTCTTCACCTCCAAAAGCCTGTCCTCCATCTACAAGGCACAAGTCAGGAGTGCAACGGAATACTCCCTTGTTTGGATGATTGCAACTCCAACAACACAAGAAGCTTTATATCATCCAGGACAAAGTAGTCCACTTGATCAGCACCACATCTACAAACATTCACTTCCTTTGCCATTGACGGTCAAGAGCAGCAATGTGTGCTACCTACAATACACACACTGCTGAAATTCTCCAAGGCTCCTTAGACAGCACCTTCCAAAGCCATGACCACTATCACCTAGGTGGTCAAGGGCAGAAGATACATGGTACAACCACCAACTGCAAGTTATTCTCCAAACCACTCATCATCCTGACTCAGAAATGTATCACAATATTTTCAGTGTCAATGGTTAAAAACTAGAACTTCCTCACTACAAGTATGGTGAGTGTACCAAAGCAAACGGACTGTAACAGTTCAAGAAAGAAGTTCACCACCACGTTCTCAACAGCACTTAAAGGAATGGCCAATTTTTATTGCCCTGTCATCAAACCCCACATCCCCTGAATTAATAAACAAGGAAGTAAGGAGGCAGACAGGGAACTGCACTTCATCTAGAAAATAGTGGAAACCATTAATAGGGAAGTGGTAACTGGGAATTTTGAAAATCATTATTATGCACAGTCAAGTGTGGTTTGTGAAAAGAAAATAGGTTTTGACAAATGGATTACTTTTGAGCATTTATTAGCAGATTGATGAAAACATAATATATACGGATTTTCAAAAGGCATTCATCAGGATATAATGCAAAGCCAATGCTTACGGTGTTGGGGGTGACATATTGATATCGAAAGTGGACGAGTCAAAAAACACAGTAGGAATAAATAAGTCATTTTCAGCTCGACAGGCTTTTATCAGGGTAGTGCAAGAATCAGTCATAGTGGTTTTTAAATTTGTATTAACCTATATTGGAGCTAGTCTAAGGGTTTTTGTGGTGCTGTGCAGAGCCAGGAGGCTTGGGTTCAAGTCCCACCTGCTCCAGAGGTGTGTAAAAACATCTATGAACAGGTTAATTAAAATATCTATAGGACCAAGCGTATGGGTTTCGGTTGTAGCATCCCTATCGCTGAGCCAAGAGGCCTGGGTTCAAGTCCCATTGGCTCCAAAGGTGTGCAATAACATTTCTGGAGTGGTAGATTTAGAAAATACCTATAGGATCAAGTACAATGTATCCAAGTTTTGTGACAAAATAAAGCTCAACACAAATAGAAGTTTTGAAGAAAATGCAAAAAGCTCGCAAAGGGACATAGACTTCTTAATTGAGTGGCAAGAAGGTGGCAGAAGGAATATAATGGAATAGGAGAAATTTCTTCATTTGGGGGATTATGAATTTTCAGAATTGTCCAGCCCATAGAACTGTGGAAGTTAAGCTGTTGAGTGCATTCAAGGCTGTGATCAATGGATATTTTAACTTTTTGGTACAAATAAGCTGAGCTTGCAGATCAGTCATGATCTTATTGATTGGATGATCAGACATGAAGGGCTGCGTAACTTAGTCATATTTCTCTTTCATCAGTTCTTATGCAAAATATGATCAATTGCAATTACAGTTGGTTTTAACATGTTAAAAATTGTGGCAGGGTTGAGGGAGTCCAATACAATTCTAGACCAAAAGATGCTCAATTTCTCTTACAAGGAGGGTTGGTGTGGATTCGACAGACCAAATGGCCCGCTTCCACATTGTAGGGATTCTATGATTCTATTCTAAACAGACTTTGCATTTGATCTCTGAACTGGCAGGTCTGTAAAACTTCAGGGCACATTTCATAATCATCGAGCTTGACTGGCTCACAGATAGATTTATCTATCCAGTTCTGTCACTGTAGGCTAGGCTACCCAGCTCCAGGTAATTCTGCAAACGAATATTACAATAAGTAGCACTTGCCAAACTGCACAATGGGAGGCTGCAACAACTTTGCTATTAAACTCCCGACACTTCTTCTGAATAAGGTTTCTTAACTTCAGTTCTGTGTCTGAATTCTCTGGACTTTGATAAGTGCAATGTACTCATACAAAGAAAGGTTATATGCACTCAAAGTTGAGCAAGGAGAACACGTAAAGATCTACATTCATCACATCCTGGCTAACCAAATGTACTTATATCTATTTCATTACTAACAGAACTTGATTCATATAATAAATGATTTAAAATATAGATATACTTGTAAATTTTTAATTTTCATTTCACCATTCTGTTTAAATGAACAATATTTAGGTTCCTGCATACCATCTATCATTTCCAAGTCAGGGTCTGCTCTGTGACCAGTTGAATAATGAGCATTTACTTATTTGAATCGACCATAGTAATTCACTTGAGCCAAAGACTTAGAACTTGGGATCAAAAAGTCCAACCCTCATTTAATACTAATTAAATGGAACAAAATAAAACAATCAAATCAATTCTGTCCCTTGTCCATAATAATAGCAAGGCACAACATAAAGACAATCTTGTTGAAGTTATACTTCATCATGAATCAATTCACCATCTCTAAAATTAAGAGAAGTAAGGCGAGCCTCTTTAATTTATATTCACACCACAGTATTGGGTAAAGCTTTGATACACAATTTAAAAGTGCATTTAAATTATGTTTAGCTGCAGTTTTGTCAAAATTATTCTCTGTTTATAACGTAGTGTTAACAATTTAACTGACCTGAAAAGGAAGCCTAAGGGCATCTTTCAATAAAGGATGAATATTATTCCAAGAAATATAGCTGCATGTTCCAAAATCCACAAAGAACACCTCATAACTCCTTTTGGAATCAACAACTGACAAGATCTTCACTCTACGCCACCTAAAATCAAAAGGAAATTTGTTAATTTTCCAAATTAAGGACAAGTTTGAAATGCTGCCATTCATAATCAACAAAATCTTCACTCTTTGGCATCTACATCCCATTACCATACCTTTGTGGATGCTTGTTTTTGTTAAGTTTTTGAGGACAACGTCAACTGGGAGGAACTGAGCTGTGCAGCCAATGAAATCTAGCAGATACAGCCTACCACCAGGGATCATGATGAACCTGCCAATACAAGGCAAGTACTCAGAAAGGGAAACTCCAATCAGGGGAGGGGCAGGGAAAAGTGAAGTTTGGAGAAACAGAGAATCAGTCAATTGTGGCTCTTGAATTGCTCCTCTTGCTCTGAATGGAAATTAAAAGTAATTGCAATACCTACGCTGTTGGGCTTCGTGCGGCCCTGACTTTCAAAAGATTCAGACTGGAGGGAAAACCATGGCAGCTCTCCCTTTCAGGTTGAGTTTAACTGCAGTTCAGGCCTCAATTATGTTCACATATATAAATTATGTACATTTACAGAGCACTTCACTCTGCCAACGACAGACTTAAGCATTCTCATCCTTGAATTTAAATGCCTCCAGGGCATTGTCACTTCATTCCTCTAATTTCGTCCAACTCTACAATCCTGCATTCACATTCTGATTTTTGGTCCATAGATTTTATGTTGTGAATGCAGCGATAGAGGTTGGGGTTAATGGGGTAGTCATAATGTCACTGGGCTACTAATGCAGAGGCTCAGATGATTGCTCTGGGGCTGAGAGTTGAAATCCCACCATCCCAAATTCAGTTCATAAAATCTGGAATTGAAAGCTTAGCCTTAGTCATAGCGGCAGCAACTGCCATTGATTGTCATGAAATCTCATCTGGTTCTACAATGTCCTTCTGGGAAGGAAAAATGGCCTCCTTACTCAGTCTGGTTTACGTAATTCTCGATCCATAGCAACATGATCAATTCTAAACTGTTCTTTGAAATAGTTTAGAAAGCTCATCAGTTTAAGGGCAATTAGGGATGGGTAGCAAATTCTAGTCTTGCCAGTGACACTCATGAATTTTACAGATGAATTTAAGATCCATGTTGATAGGGCATTTTAGAAGATGATGAAATTGAAAGCAATTCTAAAATTTACATTAAAAATCTCCCTGTGCCAAATGAGAGAGTGCAAATACATGTCCTAGCTATTCTTGGACTTCTCCATTCAGACAACCATTGTTTCATGTTGAAGGCAGGTGACTATGAGAGAAACAGCTCCCAGATGTGAATTTGAACAGTGTTGAGGAATGAAGAGAGAATATTTGGGAGTTGTTTTATAAAGCCAGAATAATGTGCTACAGTTTTATGGCCTAAGAACAGCACTACTGAGGAAAATGCCTAGTGCTACTGAAGTATTATGTTTCCTTTTGTTTTTTCTTTTCTGTTCCCCACTTTCCCCAACTTCCATTCTTAATTTCTTCATCAGGTAAATATGTGGCTTGTGCCATTCTTAAAATGACAGCAGGCATTCCAGCTTTCTTTTATTGGTTGTGACAGAGACACCTTTTTGTTTCCTGCTCTTGTTTCACAGGTCTCCATGCCATTATCCGCAAAACACCAAAATCTTTTGGTAAAACTTTCAGGTTTTCTTACAAAATCCATAAAGAACTAATCACAGGGTCTAAACTTCACCCTTGCAATTTTGCCGATAGTTTGGGTAATGCTAGTTTATTGTGTGCAATAATGATTGAAAAGTAAAAACAACATGAGACCCACTTTCTTGCTTGGCAAGAGACAAAAGAACAAGAACAGCACAAGATTTAGAATGAAGGCACTGATAGTTACCTCTTTTCTGTTTCACAGAATGCCAAGCACAAGTCACCAACAGTTGGCACGTAACTGTTGGAAATAAACATTTCCTTTTCCATAACCTTTTGGTTGATTTCATTTTCAAAAGCATAAAACCTGATGGCAGAGGAAAATAATCTTTAGCTTTTCATCTTTAGCCTTTCATTTTCTTTCAGATACAGTGGTGTGGGAGAGTGAGAGATATATAAATAGATGAAAATCTTTTTCAAATTCTTACTGATCTCAAATAATATAAAACACATTTACTCACGCGTCACGTGTTGCCACTAATCGCACATGAAATTTCTTTGGACTACAAAATTCAGAAATTACAACTGAATGGTAGTTTCCATCATTCTTGAGTGTGACATGTTCTAACTTGTTATCATAACGTAGTCTATAAAAGAAAGTTTGATTTCACAAATGCACTAATAGAAGTACACTAAGTAATCTAACAGATAATGCTGTATAGTCATAACAGGATGTCGTCTTTATCTTTTATTCCTCCTTTGTAATGACTTCCTGATCTTAATTGACTTGTTATAGAGAAACTTTCCCCAAATGCTGGGCATTTGGAAGGAACAAAAATGGATGAATCTATGCCACATTCATGTATATACTTGAAGCTGGTGCAAAAGTAGCACAAAGAAAGAACAGCCAACAAATTTTGTCTTTAAATGTGCTTTTTTGGTCAGAATACGGGTAATGTCTCACAGAATTTAAGAAAATAATTAACAAAAAAAAAATTGTGGACAAAAGTTTAGCAAGCCATCCTAACAAAAAAAAATCTTTAAAATAAAATGTACATAAAGAGATTTTTTTATTTCACCGAGTGACATATAAACTCTAAACACACTATGAATGATGGTTTAGATTGACAGATTCAGATTGCTTTATGATATGAGACACCAATGGCACTCTTTAGACTTTAACTGAGGCCTAACGAAAATCTTAGCACAGTTTGATTTAATAATTATCATGCTTCAATCACCTAGTCAATGATTCCGGAATAATATTTGACTCTCAAATCTAATGGGACATTATTTCATTCACAAATCTTCACTGTCAGTATTTAGCTCAGGGCACAAAGACAGTCAGAAAGAGGAATTAAGAAAGAAATCCAAAATAAAAGGCTTCATGTCTTGTGAAAGGAAAGACCACTCAACTTCCAGCTCAACATATGAGATCTTGAATATAAATAGGCTATTTAGTCCTCAGAATCCATTCTATTATTCAATAAGATCCCAGGTAGCTCCAATACATCAAGGAAGTACAAGAGGCTCCAGGTCCACAAAATGGGGCTGTGCACAGGACAGAAGTATTCCTATTCTAATGCGCAACAGAGGAGGGTGGTCAGTAAGAAGAAAACTTATCCAATCAATTCTCCAGTGGCCTTTTTGAGCTGTTCAGGCTGCTGGAGACTAGAAACAAAAAGTATGATTTGAGCTTACGTGATACCTGGCCTACCTTGCTTCTCCACACATTTTGCAAGAGTGTCATAATATAGGGGCAGGACCATCTGCATATCTAATTTGATCTTAAGATGATTTTAGGAAGTTCCAGGTCTGATGAAAATAAAAATGTTCAGAAATTTGTATGTGGAGAGAACCAAAAAAATAAAATGAATGCATGCCCAAAAAATATTTACTGAATGTGGTCTAAGGATATCAAGCTCACCACATAAATTGAGCTGGATGTTCCTTTTGCAGATGATGATGTTGAATGAAGAACAGAAATTCCCATGTTAAATTGAACAATTGCTATTTATTCTAAAATAGTTAAAAACAACTAGATTGATTGGAAAGACCCTTTCAATATTATAACAACTTACTGTTTCAGAGGAGAATGCTCATTGGGCAAACTAAGTCCGGCTACCCTGCAGAGATCCTTCAATCTTTCAATGTGCTCCGCATTATCAGTTCCAAATCCAGAATTCATGATTTGTGAACGAATGTTATACTCTAATATTGTGGTTTTCAGATCAGCCAATTTAGCCATACGCACCTTAAAAAGAAATATCACTAAACATAAATAACATGGCTGATTCACATAATTGGTCATATCAAAACTAAAATATGCATTTTGCAAAGTCACAGAACTACACCAGATTGTATCTGATGTGGTTTATTTCAGTGGCTAAGACATATCAGAAGAGGTTACATGTTGCACTGAACATATTTTAGAAACTCTCACATAAATATGAAAAAGACATTTTATGTCTGTCAAACTCTTCCAGTCTCAGACCTTCTCCACAATTTTTGAGGAACACTTCAACAAACACTATGGTTTGTAAATACGTATCATACGAGAAACAATTTCAGTAGTTCCCTATCAATATGTGCATACAGCCATTCAGAACTAAGTAGGTGACACCAGGATGCCAATTTCTGAGCTGTCTTCTTCCCACCCAACTTTATTCTACAATCAAACTTTTGTGTTCCTTTTTAATTGCTTTCCCTTTAACTTCCTGGTCCCCTACTGTGCAATTCTGCAGTCTTCTAATTGTTAGCTTCAGTTAGTCCCACGAATTCCTGATGTCTATTGCTGTAATTCAACAGTACAACATGATAATAACTGAAGATGAAAATTTTTTTTCAAGAGATGATTTCTGAAAATTTTGTTCAACTTCATTGGTTCTGTATAATTATCTGTTCCATTAAGCGTTTGAAGTAAAAATATTTGTGCATTTGTACAAATTAAGCAGGAATGAGAAAATTCCCTCAGCCAGCCACTTACAAAATTAAATAAACTTATATTTGGAACAATACACTTGGAAATGAGATTTTAATGTCATTAAACTTCTCATACTCACTACAGGATTCAGCCATAGAGTGTTACCAAGAGCAAGAGCAATTTTGGCTTCATGTGATTTATTGCTGATCTTTTGTTTAATATATCTGGAAACCTATTTTTAAAAAAATCAGAAAATTAAAGTTAAAAACTACACTGAAACACATGATTCTCTGCGCTATTTAATTTGTATGATAGGTAAACGTGTGCAAATTGTATCCAGACAAAGAAAACAAAATAAAATCTTCATCATGTTATCAAAATGCTTACAGTTGAACTGGGCTAATTCTTTAATTTCCGATTTTCCAAAATCAAAAAGAAAACTACTATTATAAAATAGGGTTGGTGGGACATATAAAAGAAGCACAAGTTTTCAAAATATGTCAAACAACTGGTGGCTAAAAACAAAGGGTAACCATGTTCAAGAATCATCTTTTATCACTAAAATCAGTATGAAGGAATGCTGTCAGGATCATCCTGGATTGCAAAGATAACCTTGGCTTCCTTTATCTCCTATAAATCATATTCTAAAAAAATCCTTCCCCACCTCCTCATGTGCACAGAGCTCATGGATTTGGTACCAAGCATAACATTATCCCATCAGTCACCTCTGCCTGAGTCTTTGCAGCACAGAATATGGCCTTTTAGACCATCAAATCCACACTAGTCATCCAAATATCCATCTATTCTAAGCCCATTTTCCAGCACTTAACCCACAAGCCTTGTATGCAATGGTGATTCAAGTGTTCATCTGAATAGTTCTCAAATGTCAGGAGGGTTCCCACCTCTACTACTCTTTTCGGCAATGAGTTCCAGATACCCACAACTCTCTGGGCGAAAAATGTTTCCTCAAATTCCCTCTAACCCTCCTTCTCCTTACCATAAAAATGCGCCACCTCATTACGGATTCCTCTACTAAGGGGAAAAGTGTCTCCCTATCCACCCGGCCCCTCAAAACTTAATATACCTCAATCAGATTCCCCCTCAGCTTTCTCTGCTCTAAGGAAAACAACCCCAGCATATCTACTCTCTCTTCAAAGCTGAATTGCTTCAGCCTAGGCAACGTCCTGGTCAATTACTTCTGCACTTTCTAATGCAATCACATCCTTCCTATAAATTGGCAACCAGAACTATACACAGTACTCCAGCTGAGGCCTGACTAACATCAGAACCTCCCTGCTCTTGTATTCAAAGCCTCAAATAACAAAGGCAAGTAATCCTTATGGCTCCTTAACAACCTTATCCATTTTTCTCACAAGGACATGCACACAAAGGTTCTTCTGATCTGCTTTACTCATAGGGTCCTACCATTCCGCGTCTATTTCCTTCCATTGTTAGTCTTACATCACCTCCCATTTTTCAGGATTAAATTGCATTTGCTACTTTCCCATGTCTAGATCATTAATGTACACAACAAATAGCAAGGAATCAATGCCGAACCTTGTGGTAAAATGCCTTTGGATTTTTCTTAATATGCTACCTACGTCTGATGTATGAGGAGATAGTGGCTATTGGGATTGTTTTCGCTACAGTTCAGATGAATGAGGGGGGGGAAAATCGCATAGAGACTTATAAAATTCTAACAGGACTGGACAGGGTAGATGCAGGGAGGATATTCCAAGTGATGGGTGTGTCCAGAACCAGGGGTCACAGTATGAGGATCCAGGGTAGACGATTTAGGATGGAGGTGAGGAGACATTTCTTTACCCAAAGAGTGGTGAGCCTGTGGAATTCATTACCACAGGAAGTAGTTGATGTCAAAACATTGAATGTATTCAAGAGGCGACTAGATATAGCATTTGGGCCAAATGAGATCAAAGGTTATGGGGAGAAAGCAGATTAGGCTATTCAATTGGATGATCAGCCATGATCGTGAAGAATGGCGGAGGAGGCTCGAAGGGTCGAATGGCCTCCACCTGCTCCTAAATTCTATGTTTCTATGTTAGCTACCAGTGATTTTTCATATCTGTTCTCCTAATTTCTTTTTGGAGCAACACTTTGTATTTTCCAAATTCCTCTATGGCATCCATTGTTTTAAGCTTATGGTACTCTATAATTTGATCTCCGCTTCCCAATCAGTCTGTAGTCTTTATCAGGCAGACTATTACACCTCCCCACCATCATCCACTTGGGTGGGACTGCATTTGCCTTATTCCATTCTTACCTAATCGCAGTTATAGAATCACCATAAATGACTCTCACTCCTTCAATATTACCTCAGATATCAGAAAGATATTTCCTCTCCTATTTCTCATTTTATACAGCCCCTTGGTAGCTAGCAAAATTGAAGTCAATGTAGACTGGGGAAAATGCTCCACTGGCCGGAGAAATTCCTAGTTCACACAGGAAAGTAGGTTGTGGTTGTTAGAGGTCAATCATCAAGAGCTCACCAGAGTAGTTTCCTAGGCCCAAATATTTCAACTAGCTGCTTATCAAAGTAGTCCCCTCCATCCTAAGACCAGAAGTAGGAATATTTGCTGACGACAGGACAATGTTGTGACCATTTGCAGCTCCTAAAGTATTGAAACAGTCTGTGTCCATACATGGCAATATTTGGAAAACATTCAGGTGTAGGCTATTGTTAAATGACAAGCAACATTTGAACCACATAACTGCCAGGCACTGACTATCATCAACAATGGCATTTCTATCACAGAAGCCCCTCACTATCACATCTTGGAGGTTACTAGTGACCAAAATGTGAACTGGAACAGCATCTCTTTTATTCTCTCATGGGAGGAGTGTGTCATTTATAAGCATTTGTTGACCATGCCCTAACTGTTCTTGAAACAAGTGGCTTGCTCGGCTATTTCTGAGAGTAATTAATAGTGAAGCATATTGCAGTGGTCTGGAGTCACATGTAGGCCAAACTGTGCAAAGAAGGGATATTAATAAACCAGACAGGTTTTTACAACATTTGATGATAGTTTCAGTGATTGTGACCATGAAACTAATTTTTAATTCCTGATTTCTTGATTAATTGAATATCAGCTAAGAAAAATTATTTCTATCAAGATTTTCTCAAAACATTTTGGAACATCACCTGAAAATGATGTCATTAAACAGACTTTCAAACTCCTTACCTGTGGATTCCAATCCATTTCATTGTCAATAGGTTTTACGCTACATACAATAAATTCGACAACTTGTGGTGGCAGAACCTGAAATTTGGCAGGAAGTTTGAGCAGCTGTTTCTGCATCACTAGTCCAGTGTGACCACTGTCGATGTACTTCACTCTTGCATTCCTGAGAACTGCACTTTCAGCTTTCTTTGGCAATGCTATTAACTGCACCCTTAAAGCATAACAGAACATATTACTGAAATGAAATACTTGTGCTGAATTTGAAAATGAACAGTTTTAATACATATATGTGTTTATTTGTCATATGAGAGGTTCAGTGACAGAGGAATGCCTTATATTTAATATATTGACAAGTGTTGAATGTCATGCATAATTCCAGTTCATACTTCCGTCACATTTTTGAATTTATACTTTGTATTAGAATGTTATAATGGCAAAATCCTCATTCAGCATCAAATAACAATATATCCAAAACACTGCAGTACAAAGTTTCAATCTCTCGGGTGACAAAATACCACTGGTTTGCTCGCCATTTTGTCACTTCATTTTTGTTCTTTTTTCTCAAATGTGTTCAAGTATTCTCAAGTCTAAATCTGCAGATGGTGCAAAGCAAGGAGACACAATAAGTTGTGTGGATGAAAACACCAAGTTGCAAAAGGGGTAGACAGACAAAGTGAGGTGTCAAAATTGTGGCAGAAAGAGAGACAAGGGAGAGATGTTAAAAATGAAATGAGAACACCTTTTCAAACAAAGCTACTGGGAAACCTGGGACTGTGGACACTCAGACTGAAAGAGAGTGATTGTTATTTAAGTGTTATCAAGGAAAAAAGTAAAGTCACGTAAATAGAGTTGAGGTGCAAATTTATTCATGATCTGAAGACAGCAGATAAAACTAAAGGGGTTGAATGGCAACACTGCTACGGACTCTGCCATGAATCACCAAAGTTCAGACCTTTTCACAATTCTTCCGCAATGCTTTTCTGTCATGGTGCTTCAATCACACAACTTCATTCATAGGTTTAAAACTTACCTCTTTTTGCTGACAAAATTCTTCAAGCTCTGTTCTTCTTCAGTCCTATTTTCACTCCAGCAGTCCTGAGCACCCAATTCTTTTCTTCTTACAACTTTCATCACACCCCCACCTGGAATATTGTCATCTTCCTCACTGCTCACTCCTCATATCCTTCCCGCATCAATTGGCTTGATCAATCTTTCTTGTCATTAAGCCCAATCTGTTCTTTATTGCATTATCAACCATAACCCACTAATCTGCTTTATGGTTCTTAAAAGAACATTAACAAGACAGTAAATATAGGATCACTGATAGTACTTTTGACTGAAAATGATATAATATCCATTTTTGTTAGAAACTGCAGATCATTGGCCATTGTTGTAAAGACATTTGTTTGATTTCTGTTGTCAATTTCTAAGTCATAACATTGTGTAAAGTTATAAAACATTAACAATTAGTCATATTTCATAAGCTAAAGTATACACCAGAAATTGTTTGAAATTAGCAATAGTTTTCCAATGATCCTAACACCAAATTAAAGAATATATTTAGATATCACAATTATTTCAATGCATCTTTGAAGCCATATCATATACTTGAGATACTTGCTATGGTAAAGCTTCAGTCTGAACAATTATTATGCTCTTGTTAGAGTGTTAATCTCGACTACAAGCAAAATTTCCCAACTTACCTACTGTAGCTTTTCTCCTCTAATCCATACAGAGCAGAAACTTCTAATTGTTCTACTGGTTTCCGGCAGTCATCTTCCAAGTAGTAATCAGCCATGTCTTTCAAAAGCATTAGATAGTCCTCTTCCATTGAAACTGGGGTATCCTCCCATTTATTCCTGTGATGTATTATTCTACCATAACAACTTGAAGCATCACTGACACATGTTGGAATAATCTAGAGAAGTTTAGTTATACTTGGGGTAAGTTGTTTCTTTCACCCAATACACAACAAAATGATACATTGATCTTTAATACAAAGAGATGACCACATACTTTACAAAAATATGATTAATGCAATATTTTCTCTCTTTGATGATCACAAAATTCAGAAGATAGTCTCATTAGTTTTCTGGCTATACAGGTACAGCATCTGGTTGAGAGTTTAGATAATTGGAAAAACTGATTTAGGGATCTGTACTTATGACTTTCTGGTCAAATGCATTTTGCGTAGTGCTCAGAAGCTAGCGCTGTGGTCTCATTTAAGGTTTCAGGATCTTGCAGAACTAAGTAAATGAATTGCAGGCACTGTTTCCCAGCTTTTGCACTAGGTGACAAAGCTGGTTTTGAATGAGATGGGGAGGCTCTTTAATATGGAGAGTGAACGTTAGGCTTTTTGGGATTCATGTTTTCACAAAAAAAAACACATTTTTGCATATTTTTCTCTTTACAGTGCATGTGGGATTTATTTTGGAATAATTTTTTTTGGGGAAATTTTCTAATAACTTATTATAGTTGATTTGAATATGCTATTAGATCCCAAGCCCATTTTTCTGCAACTCCAAGGTTAAACCTATTCAATCAGCTTTCTGCCCTGGTACAGCACTGATCTTAAAGTCACAAATTAATAGAGCATTATCATGGTGCACAATCCCTTCTCATCCTTCTTGGCCTATTTGCAGCTATTGACACAGTTGGCCAATCAATTCTTTCCAAAACCCATCTTCCATCATCTAGCCAGGTGATCCAACTGACCTTGTCTAGTTTCATTCTCATATATTCAATGGTAATCAGAGAAATCCCTGCAGCGGATTCTCTTTCCATTCTTGCACCATAATGTCCGGTGTCCAAACATCTGTCCTTAAGGCCCATTCTATGTCACATTTACATGTGTGACATTATACTTTGTGATTTCTCAAATAATTTGTCTGACATCCAGCACTTCAGCAGAAATTTGTTAAATAATTGGAAACTGAAAGCATTTTCTTGTTGCCCTGTAACAAACTAAATTTCTTTACCAACTCCATCTTCCTCCCTGGCTATTGTCTAGGACTAAAGCAGACTATATGTAACCTCAGAGTCCTTTGTTACCTTAAGTGGAGCTACTGACCTCATTTTCTAACACTAAGACAGCCTACATGAACATCGGGAACATCGTTGCTAGTTATCAATTGCTATGCTACTGTGATATTCAGACAGAAGAACATTGTAGAGATAACCGGTATATTCCTAAAGGATAGGTAAATAAATGTTAAACAAAATTGAAAACTACACAAAAAAGCAAAGTTTCATAACAGACTCACAAGGCAAGGCACAGAAATAAATCACAAGTAATTTTACCTCAATGTACCCTGTGGCAGGTAATATCTTTTCAGCTGTAAGATACCGCGGCTTGTCTGCATTGTGATGAAGTTTGTGACGACTTGGACATGTTTTATTATCCCTGAAATAGTTACAGAAACACTAAAATAAAAGTACTTACAGGATGAAATCAACTTGTTACATGTATATGCTCAGTTTCAGTGCCACATCAAGTAGCTACCCATGAAAAAAATCCTGGTACACATCACACTGCTGCATCAGCATGATGAATGCAATAGCAAGAAATCCTTTGGTGGGAGTTAAAAAGACATGGTGTGGACATGCGTACTTTGATGCAATTGTGTTAAGACGTGTTTACCAAAGAAACATCCATTTAGGAATAAATTAAGGATAGTACAGTAGTTCCTCTATTTGCTTTGTGGTATCAGTACTTGAAGTTATTTACATCAAAATCCATGTTATATCATAGTTTAATCACTTGTTTTTTTTATATACAAGTTTATACAATCAATATAAAAATCTATATTTAAATAAATTTATAGGTGAATTTATGAGAGCTATATAACTGATCTTGATATTTTTAGCTTTTATTTCCACATCAGGATTTACGTCAAGCCAACAAAATGAAAATTATAACACTTCAATAACTTAATTTCTGTACCAAGTATTTGACAGAAACTCTAGAGCTTTCCAGATTAGTCTGCTTACTGTTAGGTCATCTGAGGTAAACCAATTCATTTGTTGCTTTCACATCATAATAAAAGGATATTCCAGTTCAAATAGACATTTCTTTTTGAAGATTGACAGACTTACCTTGTTATTGTAACTCCATAGATTTTCCTCACTTTCTTCAAGACCACAAAGTAAACATTGCTAGGTGCTTACCTGCAAATTCCATATGCTTTAAGGTATTTACATAAGGCTCTGTCATAGCAAATGTCATCTGGGTTATTCATGTTCAAAATAAATTTAAATAATTCTTTGGGAATTTTAGCTTCTGTTCTCTCCAAGTAGTGCAGAATGGAAACTGTCTGTAGAACATCTTTTTCAGTAAGTAGTACGATTGACTGACCTTGACGAGTTGACCCCTAGCATTAAGGGAACATTTTGTGTCAAATAACTTTTAAAGAGTTGAATTTATGCTTAAGATCCAATGCATTATTCTTTTGTAAATTGAGTGCACTGGTACTGTAAAGAATACATTGTAGTTGTTTTAAGATAAATATTTCAAACCAACATAAAAAAGTAAACTCATAAGCACCTTTAGAACAGCAATGATAATGCTCAGACATGGGAATGAAAGTAAGTACAATAAAAATAATAGTGCAATGTTGCATTCAATTTAACACCACTTACCTCCAGAAAGAAAAGGATGGTATCAGATTGAAAGAAAAGATATAAAATGCTACAAGGTTTAGCAGTAGGCCAAAAGATTAGGGAAATTTTAGAAGCCAGCAAGCGATGACTAATACAAACTGCAAAATTAAATTATGAGACTAAACTAGCAGGAAACATAAGAGGCAGCAAGAGCTTCTACAAGGAAATAATAAGACTAGCTAAAGTAAAGGGGAACTAATAACAACGGGAAATAAGGCAATGAGAGAGAATTCAAGCAAATATTTTTTAAATGCCTACATGATAGAATACACAAAAAGCTTCCCAGTAATAGCAGAAAGGCAGGGCAAAATGCAAATAAAAAAGGTAAAACAGTCACTCTAGTTGACTTTCTAGGAAAACTGATCGCTTCTGTGGACCTGATGGTATGCATCCTAGGGACTCAATGCAAGCGGCTGTTGATATAATGAATCTATTGGTTGTACCTTCCAAAAATTACCTAGATTATGGAAAGGTCCCAGTGGGTTGAAAAACTGCAAGTGCAACAGATGTCTCTTGTCAGTAATGGGGGGAGAAAATAAGCAGGACACCACAGACCAGTCAGCTAATTGCATATCATTGGGAAAATACTGGAATCCATTATACAGTAGCAGGACATTCAGAAAATTAGGAAGTCATGTTAACTTTGCTTGATTGCATCAAAGGAAAATTGTGTTTGACAAACTTAGTCTTTTTGAGCATGTAACAACAAAGTGAATAAAGGGGAACCATCACAGAGACAGGAATATTTGGATTTCCAAAAGGCATTTAATAAGTTGCCACGAAAAAGATTACAACACAAAATAAGAGCCCATAGTGTTGGGTGTAGTCTATTTTGTCATGATCTTGTACCAAGCCAGCAACATTGTGTTAGACAAAAGATGAGATCCAAGGGATTTATCAAAATAATAAATCCACAAGATTTGAACAAACAGCTCTTTTACTGAGAACAGTAATGTATTCTGCAATACATATACAATCAAGAATTATCATGTGGTAAACATAGGCAACATACTGTGATCAAATAAGCCACAGCAAATAGCCAGTGAGTTAAAGACAGATCCCTAGGATTTCTCAGCAACTCCTCTCCTCCCCCCGCCCCACAAACCTCCAACATTTGTTAAACATATGGTGGGTCATCCAATCTCATTCAGCCTCCTAATTCTTCACTTTTGTCATTCCATCTTTAAATCTCACTCTCAAAAGTGGTTCCATAATGGCCTCAGTGATTGCTCCTGTTTTGTCATGCTCATTTTGTATTCTGAAAACTGGATTTTAGCACTTACTCACAGGCACAACTACAGCTTTTTACTTGTAACTAACTTCAAGCACCAACTATTTCTGGGTTGTCCCCGAGTTCTAACTTCGCTGAGTTGCATCAAGTAGACACTGCTTGTGAATTTTCTAATCACCGCTCCCTCAGTTGCAATGAAGTATTAACACTGGAGTTTTTCCTGAACTCCTCACAGCTTCCTCAAACACAGACAGCGACCAAACCACTTGTGCAGCTTTGCAGGACTTCTTCAGAACTCTGATCCCAACTCTCATTCACTCACTAATTCGTAGAACTTCTCCCCAAGTTTGTCAACATCACAGAGTCACCCAACTGTTCTGGACTCCTTCCCTGCAGGTAGCTAAAACTTAGCGCTCCCAGCGTAAGTCAGTACCTATTTCTTTCTCCAATTTGTGTGTCCCTAGAAGTGCTTTGCATTAACTCCCAAACTGTCCTCAGTGACCTATTAAAACCCTGGCACTAAGCCCAAACTCTATTGTAAGACAAAATTCAATGTTGGCACCAAATACTCCTGGAGCTCTCTGTACAGCTAAATGAGACAATGGTGCCATTTTCACAGAATGCTGGTTTTCAGCACCAAGAATGCTTATGAAAAGGAGGATTCATCACAATTTCCACAGACAAAGCACTGACCAACCACAGAAGACAAAGGGTTGGGGAAAAACTGGCCATTTCAAGTTGGCAAATGATAAATTGCAAAACATAAAAGGGATGAATGCTTTTGCTTCAACAGTTTCGAATTTATATTAAAAACTTGGATGATGCTATCAGGTGTATCATATCCAAATTTATAACCAACACAGAGGTAAGTAGAAAAGTGAGCTGTGAGAAGAACACAAATGATTCTGGAAAAGGGATATGGATAGGTTTGCTAAGTAGACAAAAAAATTTGGCTGATGGAGTATAATGTGTGAAAATGAGAGGTTATCTACATTAGTAGGAAGAAAGGAGAAACAAATTAATATATAAATAGAGAGATTGCGAAGTATTATCGTAGAACACGGTCTGTGTATCCTCGGACATAAATCACAAAAAAAAAAAATCAGCACGAAGGCAATTTTGAGAAGGTTCACTAAGTTGATTCCTGGGTTGAAGAGACTGCCTAATGAGGAAAGTTTTGGTCTATGATCATTGGAATTTGGAATTTTAAGTGATTTTACCGAAGCACAAAATTCTGACAGAACTTGACTAGACAGATGCAATGCTTCCCTTCGGAGGGAGCTTAGGACTATGGGACAGAATTTAAAATAAAAGGTCACCCAATTAAGGATAAGAAGGAATTTCTTATTTTAGAGGGTCGTTAACTTTTGGAATTCAATACTCCAGCAAAGATGAGTCATGATCAGAGGAGCAGGGCTTGAGGGCTTGCTCTGCCCCAATTTCTTATGGTTTTAATGCATCAGACAAGTCTGATATCACAAAGCTGTGTAATGAGCAGAAGTGCCTGGTATTGCTTTCATCTGCAAATAGATTTGTGGGCAATTAGCAAGTTGAATAATGGAGCAGGTGCAACTTTTTACTGAATAATTATTTCAAAATTGCAGAACTTCTTTTGGTCATTAAGGCAAGAAATATTTTGAGAAATGGAATGCATAAGCACATTTCACATTTCATTCAGCTCTGTTTCTGCATCAAAACTGTAGGGCAGATACACTGTGTCAAGTTAAGGAGCAAAGCTACTTTTGATAAACCCTCATCCAGCTGATGGATAGCAAGAGATCTGGCATAATGATGATACCAAAGTTGGTAGTTGTGCATGAGTAGTATAGCATACTTATAAAGTCAGTTTCTGTAATATATAGGGGTCTTCAAGTGCTGATCCCTATTTGGAAAGGGATTACCTCTATTGCAACTTTGAAATTCTTCTTAATGTACCTATTACAAAAAAAAAAAAAAAAAAAAAAAAAAAGTTCAACAAGAACAAAAAACACAAAAAGAATTACCTGAGCCTAGGACTTTTTTAAAATGGCTATTAAAGTGATATGTGCCACAAAAGAGGAAAGGACACTAAAGGTGTAATTTGGATAGGAACCTTACATGGAATGTTACGGGGACACAACGTTTAAGATTTGATGACTGCGCACAATAGTTGTAAGCATTTTAATTTTTCTACATTTTAAATTATATTTTTTCTAACATTTCATTGTACCTCCATTGTCAGATTATCAAAATTGTCAACCATGCAACATAGACGAGTTCCAAATATCTCACAAGATGAGGGAAAACCATAATGAATTACACAGGTAGCATCTGTAATCCTCAATGCTTTCACGCAGTTATCAGTTGTAACTGTTAGAAAAATAAATATTCAAAACAAACTGTTATTCACAATTTATCCATTATAAAATGTGTGATGCATTACCATTCAAGAAGTTGCATGAACTTCAACTCTGGACAAGTAATACGCATGAAGACTTCTGAAGATAGAATCCATAGAATCTTTAGTGTGGAAACAGATCATTCGGCCCAACAAGTTTACACTGACCCTCCAAAGGGCATCCTACCCAGACCCACTCCCCCACCCTGTCCCTGCAACTCTGCACTTCCCATGGTGAACCTGCACAGGTCTAGACACTATGGGCAATTTAGCTTGGCCAATCCACCTAATTTACACATCTTTGGACCATGGGAGGAAACTAGAGCACCTGGAGGAAACCCATGCAGACACGGGGAGAATGCGCAAACTCCACACAGACGGTTGCCTGAGGCTGGAATTGTACCCGCGTCCCTGGCGCTAAGTCAAAAGTGCTAACCGCTGAGTCACCATGTTGCCTTATTTAGAAACAATTTCTTGGGAATTACTAATCTCAGGAAATGTTTGATATTCCAGTTGGGTCAGTGGTATCTTATTTGCCTTTAAGTCAGATAGTTTGAGGATTTAAGCCCCAGACATGAACACATTATCTAGGTAAACATTTCCATAGATTAATAATGTGACCTAATAACCAAATATTGCCAATATTACTACATACCATTTTCACTTTCATCATGCTAAGTACCAAATAAAAAAATATATTATTCAGGTTTCATTGTGTTTTTAAAAAGGCAGTGTGTAATGCATTTGAACTTGCTGAAGATACAAAAATTAAAACGTGGGCACAAGAGTGATGAGGATGCCAGGAACCTGCAAGGGGATTTACACAGGTTTGAGAGAACAGACAAAAATATGACAGATGGAGTTTAATGTAGTGAAGTGTGATGCTATGTACTTTGGTAGGTAGAATCAAAAGACAGATTATTATTTAAAAAGGAGAGACTCCTTAAAATAAAAAGTGCAATACAAAGGGATCAGATTGCCCTAGTACATTAAATTCTATAAGTTAACATGCACGTGTAGCAAGCAATTAATAAAACAAATGGATTATTGGCCTTTACTGCTATGGGTGTGGAGTTTAAAAATTGGGAAGTCCTGTTACAGCTGTGCAGGGAAGTGGGAGGTCACACACAGAGTACTGTGCAGAGTGTTTTGGTCCCAGTATTTAAGGCAAGATATACTGGCATTGGAGGCAGTTCAAAAGAGATTCACTGGGCTGATTCCTGGGATGAAGAGATTAACTCATCAAGTGCAGCTAGTCAGGTTAGGCCTTTATTCACAGCTTAGAAGAATGAGGGGAGATCTTATTGGAACATACAAGATTCTGAGAAAGTTTGGCAGGGTAGACGCCGAGAAGGTACTTCCACCAGAGGGGAAATGTTGAAGTTGGGCATATAGTTAAAGAATAAGTAAAGGAATTTCTTCTCCCAGAGGATAGTAGAGGTCTAGAATTCTCTATCCAAGAGTCTTGTGGAGGCTAAATCACTGCAAGAATTTAAAAAGTAGATTGTCTTTTGAGGGGCATGAGGAGCTGGCATGAAAGAGGAGTGGAGATCGGAGGTAGAGCAACCATGATCTTACGGAATGATGGGGCAAGTCTGAAGAACGAATGGCCAACTTTTATTCCTATTTCTTACGTCTTTATGTTCTTGAGAATCTCTACCAAACTATGCATTTGTCTCAACAATCAAGATGCAGGTTATTTCATAGATACAAATGACACTGCCTAGTTAGACATAATTACAAAGATTATCAGAATATAGAAATGACATATCCGATGCATCAGGATCTCGGGCTGGACTACCAAATTCTCCAGGTAGGACTGAGATGCCATCAGATTGGGTGGAACACAGTGTAATCTCCAACCTTTATCTCTAATCTCAGGACCTTTACCTTAACAAAGTCAAAGTCAAAGATTCTTTCAGAAACACATGGGATGTTTTGCACATTTAAATGGCAACCACTGATTTGGGGCATGTGTACTCTGGTATGTTGAAACGGACAAGCAGATGATAATTTTTCCTACAACAATTTTGCAAAACATAAAACATTTCCGCAACTGCAATTCATAAGAATGCATACATTTTCAGTACATTTCAAAAATTCAGCATTTAAAATTCTCACCTAATATCACATGTGTGCCAGGGTTGAATTTCTTACTCCACTCATCCATTGTATTGCTGACCTGCAAGCTCATTCCTTCATGGACCTTCATGCAGAAATGTGAATTACTGCCTAAAGCCTAGAAGAGAGTTGCAACCAAAAGGTACTCAAGCACCGCTATACTATTAAGAAACCAACAGTTTTAAAATTAACCAACAGCACAGAAGTTTACTTATAGTTACAAGTCTCAGCCAAACCACGCCTTTAAAGTTTTACATGTTTTCAGCTAGAGTATAGATGAGTTTTTAGCCACATGCTGTACTCATTTAGAGACATTTTTGCTATATTCTGAAAATCGACACTCATTATATATTTTTTAAAAATGCACCAAAAAACTGCAAATCAAAACTGGAAGAAAAATGAAACAGAGAAAAGAAAAAAAAAGGTAAAAGGAAACAAAGACAAAGAAGAAATAAAGCTCACAGAACAATAACAGATCATTTTGACAGGAGCTTCATCCCAATGTACTTTATCTAATATCCCTTCTTTGTGTTATTAGATTCCACTTAACTAATATGTTAACTATAAAATCTGTTTATGTATTTTATGATTTTGAGTAGATTTCATTAAAAAATGCCTTCCATGTTATCAGAATGTCCAAAAGCATTTCAGTTAAAGAACTGCACTGTATAGGTAGTTAATATCATGTAGGAAAATCTAGAAACTAACTTGCTCTCATAAAACTCCACAATAGAAATAACGATCAATGATCACTTAATCTGCTTGCATTGACTAAACCATGAGTGTTGGTGAAATGTCCAATCTTTTAGATATACCAAAATCTTAATTTAAAATGCACAAAAGATTTGGGGCCCTAAGTGATTCAAAAGCCAACTCAAGAAAACAACTGCACCCTAGGTCATCTTACTTTTCCATTTGCCCATTGATTCCAAAACAGAGTACACATGCGCAGTTGTAGTGTACTTGTGTGTAATGTTCTTTCCTGTTAAAGACCCTCACATCAGTAAGTCTTGGAGCCCCCTTTTTCACAGAGTCACTTAAGCCACTCGCTACATGTGTGTTTGCAGTCATTTTATCCCTCTATTATGCACTTTTGATTTCCAGCACAACGGAGGGCAACTCTTCGGTCAGTGGTTTTCAGCCTCCATTTCTGCATACCAGTGAGTCCTGAACATCCTGACGGCCCTTCTTACTTCCCAACAGACAGACTCTTAATGTTGCTGCCTTACCATCTGTCATTTGCAGTTCTCTCCAGCCTGCAGCCACCCGATCCTGAAGAACAGTCTGCCTAGTCTTCTTCACGCAGGGTGGCCAGGGGCTGCTGCTGGTTTTTCCCCCCTCTGGATTCTCCCACAGAAACAACAGACTGACTGTAGCTCAGCCCCATTAGCAACAGGACAGCCTCAGTCAAGAAGTGCCTAGACCCATAACTGGTGGCTCTACATCACCCAACCACATGGACCCTATACCCTGGACTGGTCGCTACAAAGCTCAAGGATAATTATGACCTATTCCTTGACTGCAGAGACATGACGCCTTAATCAAGAACACCTGACTGGTTGTTTGATTGTGGCCAATCCCCTGTGACTGGTATTGGAGGTTGATGATCATAGTATCATGATTATAGAATCCCTACAGTGTGGAAACAGGCCCTTTGGCCCATCAAGTCCACACCGACTCTCAGGCATCCCACCTAGACCCATCCCCCTATAACTCACCTAACCTACACATCCCTGAACACTATGGGCAATTTAGCATGGCCAATCCACCTATCCTGCACATCTTTGGACTGTGGGAGGAAACCAGAGCACCCGGAGGAAACCCACGCAGACACGGGGAGAATGTGCAAACTCCACACAGGCAGTTGCCTGAGGGTGGAATCGAACCCAGGTTGCTGGTGGTGAGGCAGCAGTGCTAACCACTGAGCCACCGTGCCACCCTCACGGTTGTGCACCACTTACTGTGCTAGGACCCCCTGACTGATGGGTACCGCCATGGAATACTCCCTTAAGACTTTGAGATATATCTGCCTCCTTGCTGCATGTGCAGTGTGTTTGCTGTGGATGCTACTGGCACATAGTACGGGTGTGAGGTAAATGTAGCAAACTGCTATACAACAAGATATCTGCTCCTTTAACAGAGGCAAGCTGCCTGATTGTTTGACTGCAGTGAGGCATGGATGATGTGAACTTGCAGACAGGGTCTCAGTGAGACAGTGTGCAAGACAGCAGCTATGAAATGTAGGCTGGCCCAATTCCTGAGGTGGGTACCTATGTACAGTGACCCCTCATTGCATAAGAGCAGGATTCCGTCATATTAACAAAGATAGTGAATATTCATCATAACTCAAACTTTCGAAGAGATAAAAGCGAATTTAACTATAATACCTACCTTAAACACATGATCGACTTCTTCAGCACAATTAGCAAAGATAATAGTCTTCTGCAAAATTTCAGAGGTGAAGTCCAACATCGTAATCAAAAATGATGTTTTCTCACAGTCTAGGCAAACCTTCACAATCTAATGATGACGAAATTCCATTTATTGCAAAAATAATTCTGAAAAATTCTGCTGTTGGATATACAGCAGAACACATAATATAACAAACAGATAAGGTCAGCTCTGAAATAGTTCCAGCTATATTGCCCATGTCAGACCACAAGGAAACACTGGATTCATAATTCATCAACTCAATATCTTTCTCTCATCTTGCAATATCTTTCTTCGACTTCCAGCGGAAAGGGGAATAGATCGTTGATTTGACCAGGGTTACTATGATTAGCAAGCCTTCCTGATCAAAAGAGGAGTCATTACATTGCTCAACATAACAATCCTTTGTAAAATAATATGGGTATTACCTGAGAATACTTGAAATCTCAAATTAAATTTCTTTCAAATGTGAGCTATTACAAAATTATTTCAAAACAGAATATCAAACCGAAAAAAGGCTGTCAGAAGCTAACATCACATGCTTTAAACACAAAACTAGCATAATTCTCAAAGAAATACAATTAAATTCAATTAAATCTTACCCATCATAAATCAAGCATGGGGAAGAAAGATTAGCCCATTTTCCCCATGCTCAATCCAGGCTTGGAAGTGAATCAGTGAGATTATTGAGTAAACTTCCATTTGACTAAAGCCTAAAGCAAGGTTAAAAAAAGTTTTTTAAAAATAAAAGCAGATTCAAGTCATTTTAGGCAGAAGTCATCTGAATGTTTACAATAATACAGGAAAACCATTACAAGATACAGAAACGAATGGGCAAAAGAAGCTCTTGAATCTAATGGACAAGTTGCTTCAAGTCGTTATTACAGTGGGTTAAGGAATCCTTTCAATTTCAAAAAACACACTATGAATCAAGCTTCTGTAATCCTGATCATTAAGAATTTTTAATGAATTAGTTAGTTAAGCAAGAAGTCATTTAGTTACACTCTCAACACTCAAGAAGCGCAACATCATCCAGGACAAAATCAGCTTGATTGGCTCTCATCCACTCCAGAACACATCATTTACAAGATATGCCGGAGTAACTGAAGACTTTTTCAACAGCACCTTCTAAACCCATAGCCTCCAACACCCAGAAGAATGAGAACAACAGTCAACATCTGCATTTTGTATTCCAAGTCACTCCTGATCCTGAATAGACTATTGGTATTTTTTCACTGCTTCTGGGTCAAAATTCTAAAACACAGTGCAGTCAGGGTTTCCGCGTCGTAACAATAACAAATTGTAGTGGTGCGATGTGCAGGTTCCCCGTTAACTTCTCAAGGCCAATGATCTTTCTTGACACACCCTCATCCCTTGGGCCCATGTCTAAACAAAAATAACAATCTGAAGGGAAGAATGCAGATTAGATCAAGCTTTCTGAAGAAGGGTCTAGGCCCGAAACGTCAGCCTTCCTGCTCCTATGATGCTGCTTGGCCTACTGTGTTCATCCAGTTCTACGCCTTGTTGTCTCAGATCAAGCTTGTATGTGGCTTAACATATTTTGAGGGGGTAATGTATGATGAAAGGTACATATCATGTGAAAAATTCCAAAAGGTCAAACTATTTTCTCTAGTGATACTTTGATAGGCAAATCACAATGTTGCAATCCACAATAACAACTCAATTGACAGAAGTCAGGTGAACCAAGCATAACAAACCATCATGCCATACCTCATGAATACGAACCTGATGGACATTCCCATATAGGGCAGCTTCCTCCATGACAGTTATAACGACATAAGGATCACTTTGATTTTCTTTCAGTAAACTGTCCATTTTTTTTGACCAATGCTGTCCAACAGCAATGAGCTGTTGTGGGGTTGAGCCTCTTTCTGGAACATTGGTGGCTTCCCTGAAGCATTGCAAGATAGTATTCATCTACATTTAAAATAGATAAAGGTTATATTTTCATTACATAGATATAGAAAATAATTTTCTAGCTATGTTTCTATATTCACTATATTTTCTACATCCAATGGCCATTTAGAAATCCGAAACAAAATAAATAAACAAGGTGCAAAACAAATAACTGAATGACATTGCACAACTACAAGAGAGAAACTATTAAAACACAAGCATTTCAAAACATAAAAGCCATGGTACCTTGCTGGTATAGTGGACAATAGAAAAGTGGGACATGTAGGTAACTTGAGAGATACAAATTACTTATATTTCATAGAAAACCATTGCTCTATAACTACAGATACAATAACTGAAAAATACTTGGTAATGCTAATATGCATGTTGTTTGTGGTTTATAGAGAAACAAGTCATGGATTGCACTTTTAGGACAAAAACGGGGATGGGGTCACTGAATACTTTTAAGGTAGAGGTAATGAGATTTTTGTAGGGCACGGGAATCCATTATTATCAGGGGTATATAGGAATGTAGATTTCAAAACACAAACAGTTCATCAATGTTCTTATTGAACGGTCAGGGGCCGAAATACTTCTGCTCTTAATTTGTATTTTTACATATTTTACACATAAACCTTAAAGACACAGAGATGTCCACAAAAAACGCCTAACTGAAGTGAGAACTTCTAAATGAATCTAAAATTTAAACAGGTAGCTGGTCAAGTAGGTTGTCACAAAAGTCATCAACTAGCATCAACACACTGTCGAGAGGAACAGGAGAAGATCTTTCAACCCTTCTAGCCAATTCTACTATTCAAATAACCTTCTAGGGTTTGTCTTAACAAAGCAGATCTGGAATGATGTACAGTGGTTTTTGTTGAGATTTATCCCAAGCCACTTTTTAATGCAGGATTTTCATGGCTGTTCCAGAGATACGCACTGATGAAAACCAGCTCCCACTGGATAATAAAGTTGATGAAAAACATTCTTTTGGTGTAGTCAAAACATTTGCTAGATTCCAATGTAAGCAGCAAGTGATGCAAATTGGCACATTCTAAAGTTAAGAATTATGTGTTGAGCAATGGACTAAACCTTGAGGTAACTGTCATGAGGACTCATCCACCACTGTATACCAAAAGGCTGGAAACAGTGTAAAAATTTCAGACCGCATGGCTTACATGTACATCTAGGGTGTGATATTACTCTTGCATAAGCAACAATGTATCAAACCAGCATCCAAATGGAGAATAGCAAGAAGCACACTTAGTGAAGCTCCAGCATTTTGAGTGTAAAAGTGTGGTTATTTGGAAACCACATTGCTCACAGCTCATGTTGGGATGATGATGTCATCGTAAAGGCATTTTTAGTAGTTTCAAAAAAATGTAAACTGAAATGCAATACATTTATAAATGGCACTAGAAAAGAGAAACGGCTCAGCTGCATCCTTTCGTAAATAGGAGTAGAAAGATTACATTTATTTAATTCAGCACACACCTCTAACCAAAGTCAAATCACTGGATTCAGTGATATGAATTTCAAAGCCTGAGGCAGGAACCAGGTGAATCTCATGATGATTTCCAAACAAGACTGAAAAATGCAGCCAGAAAATGTATTGTCAAGGAAACATTTGATTGGAAAGAACAAGTTCACTGTATAACAGGCTGTAAATCCTGCCAGAGCACACAAAACTGCAGTAGACAAAGTCAATGCCAACAATTATGATCCAGAGAAGATAGCCAACTTTATGTTATGATCCTGGATGAGATCACCAAATTAGGTTATGGACTAGTTAGGGTACACTAACCATTTATTTCCAAAGTATACAAAAAGGTGAGAATAACATGTAGTAACCATGGGTAATATTCCGTGATTGAAGAAGTCACAGAGCACATCAAATAATAAAAGTGATCAAGGTAGATCCCATGGATTCCTCAATAACTCTCTCCAGACGTCAATGACATGGTGTGTCATGAAATCTCATTGAAAACTTCGCAAAGCAATACAATTCTTCGCATTAGCTGAACTGGCCTTTAAAATTGCTTTTCAAGAGCTACTCAATCATAAAGTACCTCAAATGACAGCTCTGGTTGATCACCTTCCTTTCCAGGATTTACATTTTCCTGGGCTCCAGAAATTGCATTCCAGTACCCGTGCTGAGGCACAACTTCAACTTTTTACCAATAGCTAGTTAGATCTTTCCTTGTATTTTTTCCCCCAGAGTTCCCATTTTGCTCAGCTGCAGCACGCAGGCACTGTTCATGGTTTTTCAACCATTATTCTCAGCTATACTGAACCTAAGTGCCTTCCTGCTTGTGAGCCATCCCCAACCTCCTAAGCCCTGACTGTAACACCTAGCTGCCTAATAACTCCTAAAATGTGGCGTGAATTCTGACAGCATTGAGACATCCAACTGCTCATGGAACTTAACTGTCACCTATACAAAGCTTGTGCAGTTCACCTGCCTGCCCTGAAGAACAACTAAATCAGCACTTGTGGCATTGATTCTACCCGTTTTCTTTGCAAGCTTACTGACCTTCTATTCTCACCTGTCTCCACTGAACTCCTGTGTAATGATAACTCAGCTGTCCTCAGTGACCAACTGAAAACCATGCTACACACCCCACCCTAATGTAGGGCAGAATTCAACAGTGTCACCTAACAACTTTAGGAATTGCTTGTTTTGAATGTTGCCAGTCAGTCAGAGGTGCTGGCTTGCGCAGTACAAAAGAGAGAGAGAACCGAAAGAACTGCAGATGCTGCGTATCAGGAATAAAAACAACATTGCTGGAAAAGCTCAGCAGGTCTGGCAGCATCTGTGAAGAAAAGCATCAGAGTTAACGTTTTGGGTCCTTTGACCCGTCAGTTTCATCACAACTGTAGATTCTCAGTGACTGAGGCAGACAATCCTGCTATTCTGGGGTTGAGAACTTGCAAAGAATTGCAGCTCATCCCAAGTAAACCATGAGGTGAATGAGATACATTGAATAGCAAAGATAGTGAACCCATCGAAAAGCGTTCTCTAAATGTGAAGCAAGGAATGGCTGGTACAAATGTATCCAGACGGGTGTTTGTGAGAGACAGTTGGATGCTTTTAAGTATCACTACTCAAAATCCAAATCTGGAAGAGATCACACAAACAGAGGTTAAAAAGTTTTCAGCAAACTTAATACCAAAAGTGGCTACTGGACATGAGGTTTGAAGAGGAATCTTTGCTGTTGACAACATTCAACACTCCTTTTGGCCAATATAAATTCCTTTTGGTCTGAAAAGTGAGCCAGAATGTGTTCCAGCAGAAAGTAGACAAGACAGAGATACTTTGGAGCAGTCAGCATAACTGATGATATCTACATCTATGATGCAGATGGAAAAGATCATGACTACCATCCATGTGAAGCTTATGGCCAGAAAATACCACAATACAATCGTACGAATTAACAGCAGGATAGATCTTCGGCACTTCAAATCTTCTCTGCCATTCCATAAGGTCATGGGTGATCAGCTTGTGGCCTCAACTCAACTTCATGATTCTGCCTCCATTGATCTCTGGGGAACAAATTCCACACAGACTCACGACCCTCAGGAGAAAAGAAAAATGTTCTGCTCATCTCTGTCTTTAAATGGAGACTGCTTACGTTTAAAACTGTCCCCACAGATCTAGTTTTTTTTTCATAAAAATGTTAGAAAAATCATCATAAAAGAAATGTACGCATTTAGTTTCAATGAGCCTCCATGCTTCAACAGTAATCAAATGGTCAGAAATATCCACAATGAAACTTGTGCCAGTTAAGAGGATAAACACAGGAAGAATATAGGAAGAATTCTACAATTGCTTTCCTTCATTTCGAAAAGGTGTTTAATGTTCCATTAACACCACCACACAGAAGAGAGGACATAACTCGAAGTGCAATTATGTTGGAGATTGAGAGTCAAAGATATCAAGCAACATTCCTGTTGCTCCATGGTTTCCCACATTAGTCTTTTACTTGGTTTAGTTTTTAATATGCATCTTTCAACTCAATATCCTTAGAAATTGAACCCCACACTGCTCAATTCAAGTCCTTTGTGGGTGTACAAGGAAATTCTGAAATCTAAACCTACATAAATGTAAACAATAATCAAATTTCACATGAAAATATTTTGACTACTAATTTTTCAGTACAACTATACTCACTTCATCCATTGCTTCATCAAAAAGTACATCAACTCTATCCAATACCAAATGGCTGAGTCTAATGAAAAATAGACAGTGTATTTGAAGGACACGTGCCAAACTGTGTGGAGTAGTAACAACTACATCACCTGCAAGTAAAGTTAATGACTCATTATTGCTTAAAAATCAAATACTATTCCATGAATTATTGCTGTTATGAGGAAAGAGCGTTCAAACAAATTAATACTTTGTAAGCACAAAAATTCAATTCAGCAAGAAAACACTGAACTGGTCAAAATTTATTAAATAGATTGCTGATTTTACCGTTTGCAAATCAGCAATCTAACCAATGCAATTCAAATGTTTTACACATCCAAATGTTTTACACAAGTACTTGGAAAACATCCATCACAAAATTAAAGCAATATTCTACATTCCAAATTTTTTTACCATTAGAAATGTGCATATTAAAAAATTGCCAAAAAATCTATGAGCAATTAAGTTGTACTTTAATACCCATCCAAATACTTGGTTTTAAAAAAAAAAACACCTCTTGCATATTCAGGATCCAAGAATCATTTTCATTTTTCTATTGTTTTAGCACCATGCCTGTAAACTTCAAACTGAGGTTATACAATTCTTCAACTGTTTTCTTAGCAAGGTTTTCATCTGTTAGGTTCCATCTAAATACATGTCAAGTATATAAATTCTGCTGCTAGATGTAGCTACTCCTACCAGGAGATCTGCTGTCATGGTATGTCATGTTTGTTTGACTTGTAAATCGCTGTAGCTCATCAGCAACTACTCAGTCATATAGTCACAGAGTCACACAACACGGAAACAGACCCTTCGGTCCAACTTGTCTGCACCAACCAGACATCCCAATCTGACCTAGTCCCACTTACCAGCATTTGGCCCATATCCCTCTAAACCCTTCCTATTCATATACCAATCCAGGTGCCTTTTAAATATTGTTATTGTACCAGCCTCCACCACTTCCTCTGGAAGCTCACTCCATACATGCACCACCCATTGTGAGAAAAAAATTGCCCCTCAGGACCTTTTTAAATCTTTCCCCTCTCACCTTAAACCTATGCCCTCTAGTTTTGTACACCCCCACCCTAGGAAAAAGAACTTGGCTATTCGTCCTATCCATATCGCTCATGAGTTTTTAAACCTCTAAGGTCACCCCTCAGCCTCCAATGCTCCAAGGAAAAAAGCTCCAGCTTATTCAGCCTCTTACTATAACTCAAATCCTCCTGCCCCGGCAACATCATTGTAAATTTTTTCTGCACCCATTCACTTTTAACAACATCCTTCCTATACAAGGGCGATCAGAGCCATACACAGTATTCTAAAAGTGGCCTCACCAATGTCCTGTACAGCTGCAACACGATGGCACAACTCTTACACTCAATGTTCTGACCAATGAAGGCAAGAGTGCCAAATGCCTTCTTCAGCAACACTGCCCAGGGCCCTACTATGAACTGTATAAGTCCTGCCCTTATCTGCCTTACCAAAATGCAACACCTCACATTTAGCTAAATTAAACTCCATTTGCCATTCCTCTGCCCATTGGCCCATCTGATCAAGGTACCACTGTACTTAGATAATCTTCTTCACTGTCCAGTACACCAACCATTTTGGTGTCATCTGCAAACTTAGTAACCATTCCTCCTATACGCATATCCAAATCATTCATATAAATGACGAAAAGCAGTGGACCCAGCACCGACTTTTGCGGCACACCACTGGCCACCAGGCCGAAAAGCAACCCTCCACCACCACCCTCTATTTCCTACCTTCAAGCTAATTTTGTATCCAATTGGCTAGTTCTCCTTGGATCCTGTCTGAGCTAACCTTGCTAACCAGTCTACCACGTGGAACCTTGTTGAACACTTTACTGAAGTCCATGTAGAAAATGTCTACCGCTCTGCCTCAATCTTCTTCATCACCTCTTCAAAACACTCAATTAAGTTAATGAGGCACAATTTCCCACGCAAAAGGCAATATTAAAGATCTAAAAGCAACTAAACCTAATCAGTCCTTGCCTTTCCAAATGCATTTAAATCTTGTCCCTCAGAGTCCCCTGACAACTTATCCACCACTGACATCAGGCTCACCAGTCTATGGTTCCCTGGCTTCTCCTTACAGCCTTTCTTAAATAATGGCACCACGTTAGCCCATCTCATCTCATAGTCTGCCGGCATCTCATCTGTGGCTGTCAATGATGCAAATAGCTTAGCAAGGGGTCCAGCAATTTTTTCCCTAGGTTCCCACAAAGTTTTGGGAAACACCTGATCAAGGTCTAGGGATTTATCTATCTTTATGCATTTCAAGGCCTCCAGTACCTCCCCTTTTGTGGTATGAACTCTTTTCAAGACATCACTATTTATTTCCCCAAGTTCCTTAGCTTCCATGTGCTTCTGCACAGTAATTACTGACACAAAATACTCATTTAGTATCGCACCCATCTACTGTGGTTCGACGCGTCGATGGCCATGTTGCTCTTTAAGGAGCCCTATTCTCTCCCAGTTACTCTCTTTCCCTTATTTTTCTTAAAGAATCTCTTTGGATTCTCCTTAACTCTATTCGCCAAAGCTCTCTCACATCCCCTTTTTGCAGTCCTGATTTCCCTCGAGTGTTGTCCTACTGCCCATATACTCCTCCAGGGATTCACTCAATCCCAGCTGTCTATACCTCGCATATGTCTCCTTCTTTTCTTGACCAAAGCCTCAATTTCTCTCGTCATCCAGCATTCCCTACACCTACCAGCCTTGCCCTTCACTCTAACAGGAACATACTGTCTCTGAACTCTCATTATCTCATTTTTAAAGGCCTCCCATTTCCCAACTGTCTCTTTACCTGCGAATAGCCTTCCCCAATTTCCTGTTTAATAGTGACAAAATTGGCCTGACTTCAATTTGGATCTTTTAACTTTTTGATCAGTTCTATCCTTTTCCATAATTCTATTAGTTTTAAAATAGTTATGATCACTTGCCCTAAGTGTTCCCCCACTGACACCTCAGTCACTTGCCTCAACAACATCCTTCATTCAACTATACCTAGGTGACCACTGTTTCTGTTGTTCTCCACTTTGCCTGCTAAAAGAGATTTCCAACTATTTAGCTTTGACCAAAAATATAATGATGTTCATCAAAATAACTGCAGATATGGATCAGGACTTTTAACTTCACAAAAAAAAGAGCAAACCACAGAATATTGGATAATTCACAGAAGTAAAAATATTCAAATATATGTGGGTAATTTTAATCTCTAAACATCAGTGGGCTTAGGATAGGTTGAAAGTAAAGATTCTAAAATTTTGAAACAGGTGTTCAACTGGCTTTGAATGTACACGTCAGTTTTAAAACAGAGGCAAGGCAAAGGATGGATGAGCAGCATGCTACTTTAGTGGAGAGAGATTGCAGAACTCTGTGGAACAGAAAATTCGTGTGTCCTGGTATATCAATTGCAAAAGGCCAATATTCAGGTATTGAGTGTGATTGGCAAAAGAAATGGATTATTACTTATTAAAAAGGGAATGGAACATTGAAGTAAGGACATTTTTCTACAGCTTAAAGATGTAGATGAGACCACAGCTGGAAAACTACATACAGCTTTGGTCTTCTTACTGAAGAAGAGATGTAACTGTATTAGAAACAGCATGGACCAGGTTCACGCGACTGATTCCTGGGAACAAGGAAAGGTTGGATGGGAGTTAGCTAGGTATTGACAGAAGAATGAGAGGTGATTATTGTAACACACAATATCCTGAGGGGATTTAACAGAGTGGATGCTGAAAGGTGCCCCTTATGGGAGAGACTAGACTAGGGCGCAGAATTTAAAAATAAGGAGCATCTGATTAAAGACAGATACTAGAACATTTTATTCTCAGCAGGTTTTTAGTATGTGCGATTTCTCTTCTCTAGAGAGCAGTGGAGGCAAAGTCATTGAATATTTTTAAGCCTGCATTAGATTGACTCTTGTCTGTCAAAGATCTGAGTATGCAAGGTAGACAAGCAACAAGAGTTTATTTTACAATCAGATCAGCTACAATCTTATCAAATAGTAGACTAGACTGAAGGGACTAATGGCATATGTTTAACTAATCCACTCCCATGAGTGAGATTGGTCACTAAAACCTTTAGGAAGGCTGCCTCATTGAAATGTAATTGTATTTCTATTTTTAACCACAGTCATGCTGAAGAGATGCCATTAAAAAGGTCAACTTTGATGAAATTATTCACTCAATGACAGAAGTTGGTGCACATTAGATTTTTCATAGTATTCTCTGTCAACAAAAAACAAAGACCAGTATTTCCTCAGAGGCCAATCTACTTGCAACTATAAAGGGTACACTTACATCCTTTGGTAAATTTTGTTTTCTTGGTTTCTTCTGGATCTTGTCCAACCAAAACCAAGGATAGAGAAAGAGGTCGGGAAGTTCTTGTTAAGTCCATTAACATCTGACATACAAAGTGGGCCTTCTGTCGTCCCGGGCAAACAATTATTGCTAAAGGCTGATATTTAAGAGAGAAGTAAAGACTGTTTTATTAACCTTATTTGCATAAAATTAGATTGTTCAAAAAACACAAAATGCAAATTTAATGCTTTACTCCAGTGTCAAAACTCATCTGTCTTAAATCGTTCTTAATCTTTGCAGTGATGAAAACCCCAAAATTAACACTGATATATTAATGTTAAAAACACGGATTACATATGTGTTCATAAACCTGTGGAACACTGAAGAGCTTGCCTAAATAACTGGTAAATATTTCCTCCTCCTTCTTTCCTACACATTTTGATCTCTTATTTGCCAGCCTGCATTGCTCATCCTGTCCTTCTGAATGTCTGGTGCAGTCACAATGCATGTTATAAAATGAAATGCCGGTAAGAAAACCACAAAGCTTATGACAGTTTTTTAGTATAATTCTGGAGAAAGCTTTTGATTTAGACCATAACCAAAATCTGTCAGATCAATTAGGTAATATCAATAGAAAAACACACTGAAGTAATTTAGCAGTGTTTTGATCTCTGCAATAGCTAATACAAGTAAGAAAATTAAACCTTGCTCAAAAGTGTACTTTTAAAATCCTTGCCGATTTAATGTCAGCTGGGATTGAGGAACTCTATGATCAGAAACTAAGCTGGGGGTCAAATATGATACCAAAGTTTTGAACAAAGTTGTTCTGCTAAATGCAGTGGTTAAAGGGTTGAGATAGTGATAAGTATATTCCTTTCAATGGCAGGAGTGAAAGTCGGCAGCTTCGAAGAAACTGCTGCTCATGCAATGGGTACTCATATACTAGCAACTCACAAAACCATGGGCTCCCAAAGTGACACTAACCTGCAAGACAGGATTGCAGCTGGACAGCTAACTCACCAGTGAACCAGATGAATTTTTCAATAATTAAGTGATGAGAGAGATATTGAGAGAGCTGTTTCCAATTCCAGATTTATCAATGAAATTAAACTTTAATTCCACCAGTAACAGTGGGATTTGAACCTATCTCCACAAAGCATTATGGCCTGGGCTTCAGGATTACTAAGTCTAATGCGCAATGATTTAGTGATGGCTGATCTGATTTTAACCTCAATTTTACATTCCTGTATACCCCTGATAATCTTTCATCTACTTGGTAATCAAGAATTTATTTATTTCTGCCTTAAAAACATTTAAAGATAGTGCATCCAGTACCTTTGCAGGGAGGGAATTCCAAAGACACTCAACTCTCTGAGAGAAACCATTCTTTTCTCTATGTCTTAAATGGGCAACCCCTTATTTTTAAACTATGGCCCCTCGTTCAAAATTCGCTAGCTTAAATCCCCTCAGGATTTTATAATGTTTTCAGAAGAAACAGTTGATTACTACCAGTAAAATGTTCTTGAAATTTATGTGGAAGGGGATATTTCAGTCTTCGTGCTCAGGGTGAAATTCTTTTGTTCTACACCTAGAAGACAATTACATTTCATTTAACCAACAGCACTAATTCAAACAACGGTCCAGGGATTCATACGGATCGTAACAGTCATATTCAAACCCAGAACAAAGCGAGAATTCACTTGCAACATGTTCCTTGGATACCAGTGACAGGTGCTTAAACTGAAAATCAAAGCAGCAGTGTCATGTGACTTCGCAATCTATTTCTGCGGCCTCACCTATGGGACTGCAGAAAAATATGCGTTAAATTTTAAGTGTTCCATCAGAGATACCTGGTCAGAAACTGTTTTCCGGGGAGAAACTGACCAGTTTGGGTACGCTTGAATGAAATATTTGGTCCTAACTTTATTATTGATACGAACTGTAGGCCACCAGGTTAGGGAGTTAAACCAGGAGGTAATACTCTGTCCACAAACTTAATGGTATTAGACTCTGTACATGAGAAGGATGGATGTTTAATTAACCAATTATAATGTACAGCAGAGAACTATTGAGTGGGATCAAATTGAAGGCTAAATGATGGATATTAATTCTGTAACATAGAATAAAACAAGGAAGATTAACTTAACATGAGGTCTAGTAAATAACCTTAGGTGTGTAATCAGATCTCCATCAGAACATCTAAAGCCTGAATCTAATAGTTAGCTTCAAATTGATTAGCTTCATTTGTTAAATTAGATTTGATAAGATAACTTAGATATTGACAGTAGTCAAATCATAATTGGTGAGACACTGAAGTGTGGTCAGATAGGTAATTCCATTATATATTGAAAAAAAGAATCTGAGATTTCTCAGAAGGGTCACATGAACCAAAATGTTAACTCCATTTCTCTTTACAGATGCTGCCAGACCTGTTGAACTTTTCCAGTAATTTCTGCTTTTGTTTCCGATTTACAGCATCTACAGTTCTTTTGGTTTTTATTGGAAATACTCATATCGGGCAGCATTAGTAAAATGATTAAAACTAGTTATAACATGTTCATTGTATTTGTCACCATGGCCACAACTTCATAACATGCAGTTTCTCTCCAGATGCTGACTGACCCACTATGTTATTTTCCAGATTTTGTGTTTTTACTGTTGATGAAAATGGAAAACGTGAATGAAGGAAGCATCCAAAACCTGTAAATTCAATTATATTCCATGGGAGGCAGTTAATGGAAAATTCATCAAACCAGGTCTAGACCCTGATCTGGAAAATATACTGTCCACAAATCACTGATGGCAAAGAATAAAACAGATAAAGTGTTGACCACTTCAAAAAGTGAAGGTTATCTTCTGCTGCCTCAGAGCTGCTCTTGGTATGCAGAATACAAAGGTAGTGTTGAGGCCTTTCAGTTATTGGAAAATTCCTACCATCATAATTTGAAAACTTGACTATCAACTGATTATTGATATCAATAGAGTTTTTTTTAAAAGCAAAATAAATGAGGCTTCTTTTGTGTTTTAAATAAACCTCTTGGCAACGAGGAACAATGACATGATATTTTTGGATTTTTCAGACGCCTTTGATAAAATGTCAATGATAGGCTTTGATACAAGATTTAGGTTCACAGCTTGGAGGTAATAGATTAGCACGTATTGAAGACTAGATAATGGACAGAAATCAAAGTAATTTTCAGGTTAGCTGGTTCCAATTGGAGTAATGGGGAGGCAATGGCCTAGTGGTATTATCGCTGGACCGTTAATCCAGATACCCAGGTTCCAATCCCGCCACGGCAGATGGTGGAATGTGAATTCAATAAATATCTGGAATTAAGAATCCATTGTCGATTGTCAGAGAAAAAAAACCCATCTGGCTCACTAACGTCCTTTAGGGAAGGAAACTGCCATCCTTACCTGGTCTGGCCTACATGTAACTCCAGACCCACAGCAATGTAGTTGGCTCTGAACTGCCCTCTTGGCAATTAAGGATTAGCAATAAATGCTGCCTTGCCAGTGACATCCTCAGCCCGTGAATGATTAAAGAAAAAAATTGGAGTGGGCTCAGCTATTTATAATTTATATTACTGTCTAAAAAGGAGGTGACTAAGTAAAGTCCATATAAAGTACTGATGAAACAAAGCTAAATGGCAAAGTTATCTGTGAGAAGGACACAAGAAGGCTGAAGAGAAATATGGATAACTCTGGTGATTTGGCAAGAAAATGCTGATGGAACAGAATGTGAGAAAAATGAGAAAATATCCACCTTGGTTGGATTAGGAAAACAGATCTTTATTTTTAGGAGGTGAGATTATTAAATATTGAGATTCAAAAGAATTGGATAAAGTTAACATGCAGGTATAGCAATAAGATATGTTAGTATTTATTGCATAGGAATTACAACAGTTAGGAAATATGGCTACAATTATACAGGGCAATGGCGAGAGCATACCTGGTGTATAGCTGTGGTTTCCTTAACCAAAAAAGGATATATCTCTCTTGGAAGTGGTGCAACAAAGGTTTACTAGATTTATTCCTGGGACAAAATGAGTAAAATGTGCCTGTAATCTCTGGAGTCATCTCACAGAAACGTGCAAATTCTTTTGAAACTGGAACAGGATTGACAGGCTGGATAGTCTGAAACTGTCATAGCTTCAGGTTAAAGGGGTCAGACATTTAGGACTACTCACTGGGTTGGGAAACCTTGAAATTCTATTCTCCAGACAGCTGTGGATGCTCAGTCATTGAGCATACTTAAAAATGAAGTCAACAGCTTTTTGATTTCTCAGGGATCAGAAGGATATGGGGGCAAAGCAGGGAAGTGAGCTAAGGTAGGAGATCAGCCTTAATTTTATTCAATCGGTGGAACAGGTACACAGGGCCATACAGCCAACCCGAAACACTGTTTCTATGTGATACTTCATTTATAAAAGGGAAGTCAAGACTGCACTGAATCAACATAAACTGTGTTGGCAGAAAAGTTAGAAAGATGACAGATGTTCATCTTGCATAAGGTAGGTTACATGCAGCCACTAAAGCCAAATGTATACAAATGTTTTAAAAATCCAGAAATGGATTAACACAAAACAGAAAATTTTCAGCTACGAGAAAAGGAGTATTAGAGAATGCAGCAAAAGTGAGATTGCTTATTAATCCCTGCTAAACATCGCCTAGTTTAACTTCTGGAAAAAAATCAGTATTTGATTTCAAGTTTTAACACAGGGGTATTATTGATTTATCAATATACTTAAAATTTAATCAGTGTTTCTGGACATGATGCCAAATGGATTGGAAGCACTAACAGTAAAGAGATGACTAAACACAATTCACCAAGGTCCTTACCAAATTTCGCCTGGGCTGATAGCTATACACGGATGGTAATTGTAAAAATGTCAACAATGGAGGGAGGTAGAGAAGAGGATCATCTCCTTTCTGCGATATTGCAATCAAGTCACAACCACGGCCTATAGCAGGCCAACAGTAAGCTTGCACAACATTTGGACTAACAATTTTTTTCTTCCACAGTTCCTAAGAGAAAACAGACCAGATAAATGTGTAAAAAAGCTATATGCCATGATTTGACATTTTAGCCTAAATAACATCAGTAATACTGCAAATAACCTGTGAATTCACCCTGCAGCTACATAATCTCACTCACCACAGCCAAGCCATTTTCTAACAAGTACATGGTAGAAAGCAGTAGGGTGGCACACATTTATTTTAGTTAACTGATGTGGACAGCACAAAGGGAAGAAGGGCAGTTCAGATCAAGCGCAAGAAATACATTGTTCAGTAACTTTTGTTTAAAACGTAAAAGATATCTCTGTTTTTTGACACACATTGGGAATGGGATGCCACTTAGCTGAATGAGTCGGTTGTATATGCAATACCGGTGGTGCCTGGGAGAACTCAACTGGTCACTGCCACAAGATCAATGTGCGTTTTAAAAAAATATATGAGTGGCCAGGACTACATGGTATACATGGCTGTTTCTGCCTTTATCGATAACAAAAGTCATGAACTAGCTTTACTAAAGCATCTAGCCTATTATTCCATTCCATTAACTAACATTATCCAGATTCCAAGCATCTGAAATTCCCCTTTTGAATTTTCAGTGCCAAATGTATGAGAATGTCAAACGCTTGGGATCTGGATAACAAAGACTTTACTGTATAAAATATAAAAAGTTAGTTTCTTTAAAAATCATACAAGATATGAAGTTCTCTCATTTAGTTTTAACAACAATTGAATGTTTTTGATCATTAAATTCCTTCTGCTCAAGGCAAATATTTTTGAAAATCATCAAACTGCAAGAAATTCAATATGTCCATAATGGAGTGCATAAATACATTTCTGTTGAGTCATTGTATAACCAAGGCAATGAAGGAAAACAATTATACAGTCCTATTTAAAAAAAGAAACATCTCAAGTCACTTCAAGGGAGTGCAAAGAAATAAAGACAGAAACTTTGTTGGTGATATAACAAACCAGGTTAAAAAGGCACACATTTTCAGAAGGTAGTGACAGTGACAGAGATGGGGAGCAGATGTGGAGGAGGTCATAAAAAATACGTTTACAATTCTTCCAAAAAAAAAGCAGTGCAAACTAGGAATACACAGAAGACCAGAGTCAGAGAATCAGAAAAAGTCACCTGTAGAAAAGTTTACTGAGATACTGCTGAATGAAATGGAGGGATAATCGAGAGGAGAACTTTAAAAGCGGGGAAAACGAGTAACCGAAAAAGGTTGGTAAACACGCAAGGTGATAATTGAGCAGGGTTTAACACAGGACAGAATGCAGACTCTGAACAACTGAAACAAAGCCATAGAAAAGTTGTGGAAGAAAAATTTTACATCGCAAGGGGAGATGGGAATTTAGGCCAGGACAGAAAAGGCAGCCATGGGAGAAACTGATGACTTAGAGAAAGAATTTTAATTAGTTTAGCATGTGGGATTTTAACAAGCTTAGCAGAAGTCAGGAGGTAGTTGCTCAGACTGTGCTATCACTATGTGTATGTTATCTTAGCTAGAGTTGGAGAAGGATCTTTTGACGTATTGTCACCATACCAAGGTTTTAGGCTGAAGTAGATATGTTCTTTGTATCCCTGTAGAGCCTAGTTACTGATAAGCTAGACTTTCAATTACACTGTAAATCACTCCCTATGCTAGCTGCATGCCGAAGGTCATTTGAAGTAATAATTATTAAGGCATCTGTAAGACAGTATTCCTGTTATCTCAAGCAGCGTCTGTTTTCTTTAAACTTACAATGAATGAATCAAACACAAGACATCACGGGAACACCCTGCTCTGAAGTTAATGGTATAAAGGAGATTGTTATACTCTGTATTGAGAGAGTCGGGTGCCAGTGGAGATCGACACTCACTCTCCTTGGTAGCAAGTAAGAAAATAAACTGCTTTGAACGGGAGCTGCAGTCTAGTCTCATTATTAGTTAAGCAGAAATAAAAATTTCTACAACAAAAGTTGAGACACAGAAAGAGGCCATTCAGTTCATCATGTCTGTGCCAGGTTTTGTGAAGGATGGATGTCTAGCCATGACAAAAAGTAGTTACAGTTTAGGTAGTGGTGAAGGGAAAACAGAAGCAGAAGTGAACAATGTTGAGAAGGTCAAAATAAATCAATTTTGCAACAGATGGAAAAATTTGTTTGAAGCTGAAACTTGAGCCAAACAGAATGCCAACAGTTGTTGTAGCCTATGGACTAAGCAGATCAAGCCTATTCTACATGTAAACATTGGGAATAAGTCATGGTTTCTGAAATAAATACAAATTGCTGATGCAGACACAAATCCTTGATTTAAATTGGGATGGACCAAAAAGCCAGTGATCCAGTGATCCAATCTGATACCACAAAATCAATAGTTCTGTTTTACGTTCGGCCATGAAAATAACCCAAATTAATTGTTAAATCTGAAAAATTCAAATAATCGTACATTTGCAGAAAACAGTTGCCAACTTGCCAGGCTAAAAATTTCCAAAAACAAAAGGGAATAAAAGCAGGATGCAAGATATATATTCTTTTACCGCAGCGTGAAAAGGAAATGAGCTTGTTCATTGTGGGCCCTGTGTTGAGGTCCTATGTTGAGTTCCTTCTTATACAAGTAAACCAAGTTTTGAATTTATTCCAACCTTTAATTTAAGATAACTTCTGTAAAACTGTGCAGGCAATTAGTGATATAAAAGAACTATACCTTCTTTAAATCCAGAGAAATAGGTGACATTTCCATGCTCCTACAAGGTCTCAGTTTGATTAGTGAATGCACCAAGACTCCGTTCCAGGGGTCAAAAGCCATTTTGTAGGATGGCTAAAAAAGAATAACCAAAAGAATAAAACCTTCCACACTCCTGAAAGACAACTACCAGTTTACCTGCTCGACAACGCAATTGATTTGACGCTTGGTCTACTGTCAGCCTGTGCTGTTCCGAGAGCCACAAAACTCACCTTTTTATATTGAACTTTTTTTTTGTTTTTTTTAGAAAGATAAACAGTTGAGCTAAAATTTTAAAATTTGTAATTCAACCTAGGTGACAGTTCAGCTAAAGTTAGTTAACACAAGAAATCACATACTAGACTAAAGAATGTAATTCAGATAAATACCGGACACTAGGAACAACTGAGTTTATATCATAAAGAAATCCATGATGCATCACTGATAACATTCATAAGTCATCAACATTCTACAGTTATACATGTTGACCAGGATGATACACTAACAATTTGAAGCATCTTTTCTATGAAATACAACTGAGACTAATTTACAACACTTTCGCAGAAATTACCCTCTACAAGTGCGAAAAAGATTCTTTCTACTGATTCTTACTGGCTTTTGTACAGTAATGTAATACAGCTCAATGGCAGCAGAGTTAGTATGCTCTGGCCTACCTGGATTTCCATTTGTGGCACCAGTTTTAATGGCAGCCCTGTGCCAACCCTATACCATCAGTTACATGTTTATCCAAGCCTGTCAGGTCACAGATTTGACCACATACTTCAAACTTCAGTAAGCAGTAGTCTTCCCTGGTCATACGTCTGTGTGTAGAGTTAGCAAGTCACAAGTTTATCATTTAAATTGTTGTGGAGATTTTATGAATTCTCTCTCTCTATATTTTATATATACACATACACACACACCCCTGTAAGCCTATATGTTATCCAGTTTTTGTCGTTCTGTTCAAGGTATACATGCTATTCATGAAATTTAACCTCAGTATCAGTGCAATGATTGAAGGATGGGTAGATCAAGGATACTTCATTACAGTTATTAATGAAAGGTCATAGGGAATGCTTATTTATCTGGTGACCTTTCATTAGAAAAGACTTGAAATGTCAATTTCCGATTCCCTTCCACAGTCCCAACCTGACCTAAAGAGTATGTCCTGCATTTTCCGTTAAATATCTTGCTTTACGATTACTGTTTAATTCCCTTCCCTTTCCGGTCCAGGAATGTCCTCCTCGAAGTTCTGTTCTCCTCTTTTTTTCTTTCCACTGGTGTTACTTGATCTAAGTATTTTATCTTTGTTTTGTTTTAATACACTTTCTTGGTTCTGTAATATCCATGCGCTGTGATGAGCTAAGTTTTACCAATCTTTGAGGTTGTAGACTTGATTGCCGAGCCAGCGTGTTTGATTACAGACGTTTCGTCACCCTGCTAGGTAACATTGTCAGTGCGCCTCCGGTGAAGCATTGGTGTTCTGTCCCACTTGTTATTTATATGCCTCAGTTTGCTGGGGTGTTTGGCATTCACTTCTGGTTCTGCTTTTCAGTGGTTTGTATATCAGGTCCAGTTCAATGCGTTTGTTGATGGAGTTCCGGTTGGAATGCCAGGCCTCCAGGAATTCCCTGGCATACCTGTGTTTGGCTTATGCTATTATGGATATGTTGTCCCAGTCGAATTTGTGTCCTTCTTTGTCCGTGTAGTGAGACCAGTGAGAATTGGTCATGTCTCTTGGTGGCTAGTTGGTGTTCGTGTATCCTTACTGTCAGTTTTCTTCCAGTTTGACCTATGTAATGTTTCTCACAGTCCTTGCATGGTATTTTGTATACTACATTAGTTTTATTGGTTAGGGGTATGGAATCCTTTACATTCGTCAGCAACTATTGCAGGGTAGTTGTTGGTTTGTGGGCTATCCTGATACCTAGGGGTCTGAGTAGTTGTTTGTTCATCTTTGATATGTCTCTGATTTACCGCAGGGTGACTAGTACGTCAGGCCATGTTGTCTTCTTGTTGAGGTCTGTCGCGGAGGTAACGGTGGATTGTGTTTTTTGGGTATCAATTCCTTTTAAAAACTCCAAGTGCTCCTGTTCTACTTTGCGCAATTCTGGCTTGCTGCAAGGTGTTGTGGCTCGTTTTAATAATGTCCTGATGCAGCTCTGTTTATGGGTGTTGGGGTGGTTGCTGGTGTAATTAAGTATCTTTTCCATGTGTGTGATCTTCCTGTATAAGGGTGTTGGGCATAGCTGGGAAGATCAGCAATTTGTATCCCATCCTGAACTGTACGTGAAACACAGTGCCTTGCCAGGCCATCTCAGAGAGCAGTTAAGAATCAGGGATGGGGGGCTCTGATGGTGGTGGTGGTGGAGGCAGGGTGGGAGGGGGCATACGTAGCCTTGCAATGCAAAAGGATACAGGTAGCTGTGCTATAGCGTGTGCTTCATTAACGCGAATTGGCTGTAACGCAATTGATAAATAGCGGATGCTGTTTGTGTAACACAAACTCACTGCTGTACAGGTATAGCGATTTCCCTATAACGCGATTTTCTACGGTGATTTTCTATAGCGCGAGTTCACACAAGAACACAACTATCGTGTTATAGGAGAACTACCTGCATGTGGCATTGCAGGACCACTATTTAGGTAATGATACTCAGAGAGGGACTTTTTTTTTTTACAAAGCATCAAATAGGATCAAATGAGAGAAAATGGTTAAAAATGCAAAAATTCATTAAAAAAAAACTAAATCCTCTGGATTACCACCCATCTTTGCAATAACCTAAGTTTATTTCTTCCAATTTGATACCATTCCTAACTTCATTGGTTAACCGTGTCCCCTTTCCTAGACTCCGTCTTCCTCACTGGGATGTATTACTGCTGGGAGCCATGAACTACTTTCTTAAATGTCTGCCTTTTTACTGAATGCACCTTAGAATTTGAAACAAAATACATGAATTAATGGCACAAAAAGGTTAACAAGTACAATTACACAGACATGGTTATAGATGAGATCAAAGCTGGGCGTCGCTTTTTGAAAGGAAGGCAGGAAAGAAAGGGTGGTGAGGTAGGTTTGATAGAATGAAATGGAATAAATATGAAGCAGGAAATGGAGTTGGACAGGAAAAACTTAAAATAGTTATAGAATATAGAAGAGTACAGCACATTACAGGCCCTTCAGAGCACGATGTTGTGCCGAATTTTTACCCTAAACCTAAGGTCTATCTAACCTCCACCCCTACCTTATACTATTATCCATATGCCTAACTAATAGCCACCTAAATGCCCCTCTCCGGCAATGCATTCCACGCCCCGACCATTCTCTGAGTAAAGAACCACCTACCTCTGACGTTTCCGCTATATCCACCTTCACTCACTTTAAACTATGCCCCCTTGTAATAGCTACCTCCACCTTAGGAAAAAGTCTCTGGCTGTCCACTATCTACACCTCTGATCATTCTGTACACCTCTATCAAGTCACCTCTCATCCTTCGTCGTTCTAAAGAGAAAAGCCCTAGCTCTCTCAACCTTTCCTCGTAAGACCTTCCCTCCATTCCAGGCAATATCCTGGTAAAAATGATATGGGTGGAGATAAGAAATAACAAGGGGAAGATGATACTGGTGGGAGTAGTCTTTTGGTATTCTTAACTGTGATTTGCCCAAAAGAATGTTAGCAGCATGTATTAGAGGATCAAAAAAGCAATACGTCCTGCAGTAAAAATCAGCCTTAATTAACAAGAAAAGTGGGGAGATCATCTTAGGATGTGATGGATGCCAATATATTGAATAAATTTAAGGAAAAGGTAGATTTTTAAAGTCAGCGATAGGCTGAAGGGTTATGGAGAGGGAGCAGGAAAGTGGAGTTGAGGCCAAAATGAAGTCAGCCAAAGTCATATATTTAATATGAGTGAATTGCCAAATCCTCCTCCTAATTCTTATATATCACTGATTGCAATAAGCAGATAGTAATATGCACGGACTATTACCTCGAGTTGTACTTTAGTGTGAACACTGAAGCAGGATGCACTAGCCACCACAGAATGCTTGCCTGTCAAACTAGGGCTAAATATTAAACTCAGTGGAGGAGCTCTCCAGGTATTGAAGTGATCCGTCAAGTACAAAATGAGCATCCCTGCAGCATCAGAGCTCAAGAACTTATCAGCCGACAGCTCCATCAGTTTGCCAGTACTGTTTCCTTAATAACTGATAGTCAGCCAAATGTCACTCTACTTTTTACCTCCCGATTTATAGCTACTATTTAAGTGTTTCTTGTATTCTCTATGTTAAAGTCAGAAGCAAAATATTTAATCATTTCACTCACCATTTCCTTATTATTCACTACGAACTCCCTCTAATATTCACTCTCCTGAACAGCAGCACTCATTTTCTTTTCTGTTCGTTTATAAACTCTCATTATTCACATCTCTGCAGAGTTCCTCAGGGTGGTGTCCTCGGTCCAATCATCCTCAGCTGCTTTGATGACCTTCCTTCCATCAACAGATCAGGAGTGGGAATGTTTATTGATGATCACAGAATTTTCAGCACCATATGGAACTCCTCAGGTATTACAGCAGTTTATGCCCAAATACTGCAAGACCCTGGATAGCATCCAAATTTATCCAAATCTAATCATCACCCCTTCACATTCAATAGTATAACCATCCACGAAATTTTTCACTATCAACATCCAGGGGGTTAACACTGACAAGAAACTGAACTGGACTAGCCAAATACATATCATGGTTAGAACAGCAGGTCACAGGCTAGGAATCCTGCAGTGAGTAACTCATCAACTGAATAACCCAAAGCCTGTCCAACATTTACTAAATGCAAATCAGCAGTGATGGAATACTCGGCACTTAAAACTTAACACCATCCAGGACAAAGCAGCCTGCTTAAATGGCACCACATCCACAAACATACATTCCTCCACCACCCATTCTCAGTCACACAGCGTGTATCATCTATGAGTTGCACCGCAGAAATTCACCAAGGCTCCTTCAGCAGCACCTTCAAAGGATAAGGGAAACAGTTTTGTGTGAACACCAACACATGCAAGTTCCCCTCCAAGCCACTCACCATCCTGTGTGGAAATATCTGTGTGTCAATATCCTCAAATTCCCTCCCTAAATGCACTGTGGATCTACTACAGCAAATGAAATGCAGTGGTGCAAAAAAGCAGCTCACCGCCAACTTCTCACAGGCAACAGAGGATGGACAATAAATGCCGACTGAATCTGCAACACCCACATCCCATGAATGAATTTTTTCAAAAAGTAGCTTCTCCTAGCTCTAATTTCTTTCTCCTGATCCATTTTTTGTCATTTTCTGATATTCTTGGTATTTTGTCCAATCATGTGACCCAACACTCATCTTTGTGCAATTATGTTCTTTTTCCTCAAGTTTGATACTGGGTCCTCTTATCAGAATTTTTCTTTCTAGTAAGAATCAAGTTATTTTCAGTATTCTGAAATATCCCTTGAAATGTATGCACTGCTTCTTTATTGATTTATCTCCTAGCCTAATATTCCAATTCACTTCAACTAGTTGAATTTACACTTCAGACACTAGCCTTAGATCTATGCTTCTCCATTTCAAACTGACAGTAAAATTCAATTGTTTGTGGTGATTGCAACCTAGGGACGTTTTTACACCAAGGGTCATTAATTGATCTTGTCACATTACATAATACCAAGTCTAATATTAACTGTTCTCTGGCTGGTTCCAGAAAAAATTTTTGGAGAAACACAATCTCTGAAGCAGTCTAGGAACTCCTCATCCAGTCAATGGCAGTCAATTTCATTTTCTAGTACACATGACATTAAAATCACCCATGATTATTGCTACCCCTTTATCACAAGCACAAAAATACTACTTCTTCTATATTTTGCCCAACACTGTATGTTGTTGTTAGGGAGTCTGTAGACCACCCTGACTAGTGACTTGATTCATGCACCAATCCTCATCTCCAACAACTGATTCTTTATCCTAACCTCTTTACTTAGATTCCTATTTTTCTGAATATTATATACCCCTTAATATTCTGGATCCAATCCTGGTCATCCTGCAACCATTTTTCTGTAATGGCCATCAGACCATACTTACTTACTTCAGTGTGTGCTATTAGTTTGTTGACTTTGTTATGAATGCTATCTGTCTGCATTCAGATACACAGCCTTTAGTTTTATCTTTTGGCAATATTTGTAACATCTGATCTTAACTGTTGGTATAGTCTTGCGTGTACTCTCTGTCCCTTTCTGCCATTATTCATTTCCGATTTTACTGATTTTCTCTTGTCTTGAAACTACCTCTTGATTTGCTACATCTACCCAAGCTTGATCTCGGATTCCCGTATGTTGTCTAGGTTCGTCCCATTGCCTTCATTGATCTCACCCAAGCACTTGATTATGTGATTAGAAACAGTCTGTTCAAACTGCAGAAAATTGGCACCCCTAAACTGGCTCAACATGATTGCCTATTGCCATGGCAGGCAAGGTCACAGAGACAAGGCAACGTTGGAACTCAGATGCACCATGGAGCCAAACGGTGTATACTGCGAGTAATATTCTGTGACATATTCTTCACGGTGTTGCTGTCATATGGCTTAAAGTCATCCACAGTGGGTATCTACTCTTATGCTGGAACTGATGGAAAATGGTTTAACTCTATTTGCCTATTACTCAAATCTAAGGTACATCAAATCCTAAGAAAGTTGCTCTGCACTGACTATACTGTACTAGCAACCCACACAAACGATCAATTTCAGTGACAAGTGAACAGGCTCACACACATTTGTAAGAGTTTGGCTCAGCCATCAATATGAAACATTACGCACTAAAGTATTGTTTATATTGCCATGTATCAGCAATGACAATCAGTCCCTGAAAGTTTTTGATAGGGTCACATATATAAAGCTTCACAGTCGGCAGCAATTGATCACAAGGTGCAAAAACAGGAAAGCGGCCGTGCTCTCAATCCAGCAAGACAGTCGGTGGTGGTTTAACCAGAGGATCACCACACCTCAGGCAACGGGAGAGTTTGAGAAGGAGAATCTTTATGGCAAGGTCAGCTGGTACAGAAATTTAACCCATGCTGTTGGTGTCACTCGCCAGCTGTCCAGCCAACCGACCACTGCTAAAAGTCAATGGAGACATTGCAAAAGTTGCAGCCTTATGGCTGAAGAGGAGTGTGTGGAATAACAGCAATCTTAGCGAGAACATCCACAAGTCTACTAAACCTGCATTCTTGGCATACTCCTTCAATGGTGGTTAGATCTTCCAGCAAATGTTAGGCAGGGCCAAAGATTCACTGTCTCCAGTGTATCCTTGGCAGTTCTCAGCAGGTCAAAGCATTCAACTCAGACGCTCTTTCTTCCCACTGCATTGGGCTCTCAGCTTCATTTAATCTATTGAAATGAACATTGATCATTATCTTTGAGGGTTTCATTTTTGGGACATTTTGTACAGATCTGCAAAGCCTGTGATTGTTGCATGAATACTGGTGTCTGGCCACTATTCCACTTTCATTTGATGCTCTTGATCTGCAGTCATCATTCTAAAAGGCACAATGCATTTATTATCTTTAGACTTGATAATGCCAACCTGTTGTTTGATGTAGAGTTATCTGGTGCAAAGTGATCAGAATCATTGGTCAACATCTCTCCAGTGGCCTCCAATTTATCGGCTTGCTTTACTTAGTTTTAGCTAACACTTGCATATACAATTCAGTTTCTTGCTGTTAAAGCACCGCTTTCCCGTGCCAAACATGCTTTCTTTTCTTTCGTGTGATGCCATCTGTAATACTCACTTCTTGTACACTGGCTTTGATCTTGCTGCTGGCTGTTCTGCAAACATTTCTTACGTTCTTCTTCGAAGATGGTGTTTTCATTCAGCCTTCGATGTCTCTGATTCTTGATTCTGTTTCTCTCTACAGATGCTACCAGGCCATTGTAAGGCATGAAAAAATACCTTTCGCTTGCTTATTGATGTACTGTGTTTTCCTCTGGCATTTGAATCAATTGCTTTTGACCTTGTAGGCGTATTAGGTTATGGAGAAGCATTTATGAGGCCCCTTAGCTATCACAAAACTTCACTGAGCAGTAATTTGTAGGCAGATCCCATGGGATTTGTCTCAGTGACTACTGTACGAAATATTTCTTCTACCAACAATACTTCTCATTTCTGGCATTATTATGATACAAGGTTAATTTTTAATCTGCAGCACATTTGTTAGATGGTGGGAAAAGTGCCCACACCTCCATTTATAGCTGTTGGGCTTCCTTTATCTGAAAGGAAATTGCCTACATTAATCAGTCTGCTCACTGACTGCCTCAACTGTCAAGCTATCAGGAGGACAGCACCTCACTGAACTAAATGGCAGCTTGATCAAAAAACCTGATTTCTCCAAAGCAGAACATTGATCGAGATAGGCAAAAGGTGCTTGGCAGTGCAGGCTGAACAGGTCAAAGCCAGCACTGCAGCTCCTAGAACTTGGCTAAATACTGGAATGAATGTAACTCCTCTTCAGATCTTTTCAATCGCTACACGGTGCTAAATGGAAAACCAGCTGAAAGTAAGTATACCATTGGATATCCAATTACAAAGAAACGGTTACTTCAACTTGCATGGTGTAAAAGGAAAGATCAAATAGTTCTACGGTTTTAACAGAGAGAAGAAAGCAAAGATATTTTGAGTGTTGCTGAAAAAAATTACACATTTTGTTGAAGCTTTTCATTTTGCACTCATCAGGACAGTTCACAAGAATTACCAAAAGTAAAAGGAAAAACAACAATTACCCTGTATGAAAGGAACTGGTAGAGGTGCTGCTATTGAGGATGTACCAGTTAACAATGACTGATGGTTAAGTGGAAAGCTTGATTTAAAATTTTAAACAAGACAGATTGTCTCTGATTGGTCAGGGAATTGTCCTGAGAAAATTAAATCAGAAACTGGCTGTCATCAAATCTTGTTGAGTTGAAACAAGCAGTGTATACAAGTTATTTCTGTCTGCTAAAAAAAGGCCCGATTTATTAGAATTTGAAATAAATTTTGTACATCCCTTGTAATTACATAATATCAAATAAGCATGAATTAAGTGAGAGAATACGAACACATACCTATGTTTTAAACAAACGTTTCATGGCCTAAAATAAATGGCAAGAACTACACTCTATTTCACAGGTAACATCCTGAAATGACAAAAAGAGGGGCAGGGGAGAAAGGTCACAAGTTTCTACATGAAATAATAACTACTTTTCAGTACACAGCTGTGGATCATAAACTTTCCACAATTAAAAATCATTCTTCTTGAATAATAAAAAAATTGATAATGAAAATGGTACATGAAACAAACCACTGTACTGACCAATCACCTCAATAAATTGTTTGAATAAGCTTGTGAATAATTTATTAAAAATTACCTGTTGTAAATTAAATTCAAGTTCACTTTTTGCGTTCAATGGATCTGGATTTAGAAACTGTAGGAGTCTGGAAAGTAATTGTACAAATGATTACAATGGATACACTTAACTTAGCAATGATCCATACTTTATACATATTTTTATAATATTAAAAAAATATAAATATAAAATATACACACACACACACATATATACATTTATAAAAATATAAACAAATATGTGTGTATATATAAAACATAAAATTTTATGCCAACCCCCCATTCATCTTTAGATAGCAAAAATGCAAGAAATGTATTTAATCTTCAGCACAGTTATCCATTTGCATGAATATACAATTAACATTATCTTCTCAGTTTTGCAGCTACAAAAAAAAATGCCATTAACAAAGAAGATCACTCTAAATCGCTTCAATCTCAACATGGCATTTGAACACATGAACAGATGCACTGTATTCAAGCTACTGGAGAAAACTGGCTACGCACCAAAGCTGCTCAATATGATCTTCACTTTCCACAATGAGATGAGGAGTAGGGTTGGCAGTAATGGAGTAACATTGGAACCCTTTGGAATCAGCAGTCGAATTAAATAACATTATGATCTGGCATGGACCTGGCATTTTTATCACCCGAGTACTTCAGGTCATCTCCAGAGGTTAGACACCAGAACTAACGGGAAGCTGTCAAAATCTTACATGTCTGAGCTTCAAAACTGAAGTGTGCCAAGTCCGCACCAGAGATTTTCACTGCACTGATGCTGTCACATTCCATACCAAAGAACACCTTCAGCAGCAAATGAAGAAAATTCCTCATGTCTGTAACGAGTTTGGTTTGACTCTATTGGTATCTAGAAAACCAGATGAGCCAGGACGTTGCCATACCTCCAGCTATCAGCACCGACAATGTGGCCCTGTAACATCAAAGTCTAAATCCTCAGCACATTCCAACAGTTGAGAGTTCTGAATAAAGGTCAATAATCTGAAATATTAACGGTTTTCTCCACAGATACTGCCTGACCTGAATTTTTCCAGCACTTTTGTTCCCAGGTCTACAGTAGTGAGACATGCCAACATATGACAGACAAGAGAACAGACTGGATATTATAGACTTCCAAACATTAATAACTGTTCATGGATCAAATAAATCAATGAAAGATAAACTTATACTTAGAAAGCAGCAGCAATAACTCTGTCTGGAATAAACTATTAAGGGACAAAGACTGTCACAAAGATTCAAAGCAATTAGTCATGAATGAGAAATTAAGAAGTTGAAATTATGTAAGCAAATTTCAGGAGGTCAGCAAACAGTGCCCCTTCTCAGCCCTCTGTCTGTGACTGCAGCAAAGTTGGAATAGAGATGGCCACACCAGACAGAGGTTTGAGCCACACAGGCAATGCTTAGCCCAAAATAGGTCAGGTCACAGGACTATCTAATGAGATGAAGGCAGCCACACACTCAATATTTTAGAATTTCTATTATTTTCTGTGGAGCAATGCTTGCTTGTGAAAAAAGGCATTTTGCCCTTTCTTTCTCAAAATGTATTGTTTGTTTTCCAAGAACATGGATTCCCTGTCAAGTTTGCATCTCACACATGTTGGAACCTGCCTTACTTTACCTACATGGTTATCATTCATATGTTCTGACAGAAGTGTTGCCAGGCTACTTAAACACAGCATAGTAGAACTGATTCTCTCAACCAACACATGCACATGATCAACACGATATGCTGTATAGCTTACAGAAGCAAAAAACCCAGCCAATTTTATTCATCCTAAACTCACTGCACTGAAACCAATTAAAGCAGCTTTTATATGTTTTCAGTCTGTTCAAAGTAGTACAAGGATCAGATTAAGAATTGTTCATGACTCAGTTGTTCCATGGAAAAACTTCCTTGGTAATTCTAGAAGCAGATAACAAATTTCAAATGAAGGAAAACTTTACTCTCATAGAATAGAATTCTATTCCACTTATAGTACAAATAAGTATAAAATTCTATAGAATAATATAATTGGGATTTTACCAAGTACTAATCCTGGAAAATGGCATTTTAGTGTGCAAATATTTATTTAATTGTTAATAAATGGAATAAATACATAACTTCTAGCAGCTGGTATTTCATCACATTCCTGCATCACTGGGGAGGACTCCCTGTCCATCCCCATTTCATCATGAAGGTAAAACCTAAGTTTAAAAAAAAATCATTTTAATTCTCATCAGAGGACCGGTAAACAAGACATGGCAGGAGATTCACCTAAATTCATACCCTGACAAGTAGAAATGGAGATAAATGGATGTTGAAGACGACATTAAATAACATCAAGATGACAAGGAGCATGGTACATTAGGCAGGTCAGCATTGGATTGAAAACATGATTAAATTTTTTGAATCAATCCATTTTGGGGGAACCTTACAGAGTATGTATACATTAAAAGACGGAACTTTAAATGAAGAAGAGAGAGATACTTTGGAATATGTTTAAGGGGAAACATGACAGAACAAAGCTGTAATGGTCAGTCTATATGAGTCAACAGTTAAGTGGTGTTAGGTACTATGCAAGGTAAGTGTATCGGGTGCTGTAGCAGGGGTGTTTTGGGTACAATACAAAAGCTGTTTTTTCCCTTTTCAATTTATGAAGGAGTGTTGTGGAACTAATAGAAACATACTTTTACTACATGTTTAAAAATCTTTCAGAATCATAGAATCCCTACAGTGTGGAAACAGGCCCTTCGGCCCAACAAGTCCACACCGAACCTCAGGCCATCCCACCCAGACCCATTCCCCTGTAACCGACCTAATCTACACATCCCTGAACAATATGGGCAATTTAGCATGGACAATATACCTAAGCTGCACATCTCTGGACTGTGGGAGGAAACCCACACAGACACAGGAAGAATGTGCAAACTCCACACAGACAGTCGCCCGAGGGTGGAATCGAACCCAGGTTGCTGGCGCTGCGAGGCAGCAGTGCTAACCACTGATCCACCGTGCCGCCCCGTTTGAATTTATGCACTAAGTGTATAGTTTGGTTTATTCTTTTTATCTTCATTGCTTATCTTAATAAACTTCTGTTTTATTTTTAAAGCATAATCTACAGCATTGCGTGTTTATGTTTCAGGCAAGGACCACTTTGTATCTCATTTTGTTTTGGCATTGACAATCTATCAAGCCAGGTTTCAGTCCGGGACCAACGTTGGCCGGTAATAACATCAGTCATGATTAACATATAGTAAGATACAACCTGAACAGATTGTGTGTAAATGATTTTCATATATCTAAATTTCAGTTGCAAAAGTTTCACTCATGCTGAATATAATCAAAAGGGTTCGAGCGAAGTGACATATAGACAGAGTTAGGTGCCATCAACGTTTCTAGTAGCTGAAAACATACCATTTAACTCATTCTGAACAGATGTGCAATAGCAATAACTTTTTAAAAAAGCATGCAAATCAATTTCCATTACTTCATACTGATGTTAATTTATCAACGTTTTACACTATTTTCAAATGTGAAGTACAACTATATAATAAAGCTCAGAAACAGATATTATCCCTGTCCTTTTTCTTCCGTTTTAACAGAACTGGATGAACAAAACACATTTCCAACAGGCTCATAGCTGTTAAATAATTATCCTTCACAGCAAGAAAGCTGAATTGAATGAAACATATACATACCTTGCTCTCTTGCAATTTAATTCTTTTTCCAAAGAACAAAGAGAAAAGGTTGCGAGTGACTCAGTTGATTTTCTATTGGACAACGATACAGCTGTCTCACTGTATTGTTTGCTCATACTTTTACTGGATATGCTTTCTTGGGATTGTAGACATTGAGCAACTGGCTCTTGGTCAGCAGGACCTATAGAGACAGGTCAGAAGTTCGAATATAGCTAAGTAACAATAAGTAAACAGAACACAGAACCCCAAAACCAAAAATAAAGACTTGCAATTACTTAGTGTCCTCAATCACAAGATTATAAGCACTTTATTAGCAAGAAATATTGACCAGAACACCAGGAACAATTCCCCTGCATTCATATTATGAAGGCATATTCAAATATTAGGAGGGTGTGGGGACATAGGTATTGGAATACAGGCTAAAATTCCAAAATTTGTCAAAGCCACAACTCAAAGTTGGCAGAAGTGAGAATGATAGGAAATCAATTGCAAAAAGACATAGATAGAACAAAGGGCTGACATGTGGCAGAAAATAGTTGATACAGAAAAGTGTGAGGCAGAAGGGATAAGCAGAGCAATACAGACTTAATGGCACAATTCCAAGAAAGTGTACAGAGATGGAGGGATCCAAAGGTTAATGTGCATACAATTTGAAAGTGTAAATGAATAAGGCATTTGAGATTTTGGGCTTCTTTAATAAAGATACTGAGACAAAAAGGACTTAAGTTGAATCTTTCTAGATCTAACCAGACCTTTGCTTAGGCTACAATTATAGAGTATTGCATCCAATTCTGGTCACCACATTTTAAGAAGGATGTGTGTCCAGAGGCGACTTACCAGAATGGTTCCACAGATGAAGGGGGTTTTTAACCATAAGGTTACACTGGAGAGGCTGAAGTTATTCTTCTTGGAATAAAGGAAAATGAGGGGAGATATGATCAGAAGTATACTCAATTCTGACAGATTCAGAGAATACGGAGAAAGAATAGGACATCTCATCAGCAGATGGTTTAAGAACAAAAAGTTGAGGTTTTGGACAAGTGATACAGTGAGAGGTGGGGAGAAAATATGGGGAACTTTTGTTTTTAAACTCAGTGGTATGAATTGGAAGTGGTTCACATTAACAGGTCAAATTTAAATACAAAAGTAATCAGTGAAGGAAATTTGATCATAAGTGAAGGCGTGTAACCAAGTAGTATATAGTCTTAAAACAGATGCAAGACTTTGAGAAAAACTGCATTTACAAATGCCTTATACTAATTAAATATGAAAATAATTTCAAACTTTTAGAATGAAGACAGAAGGTTTGTAAATCAACAATGTAACAGACTAGTCAACAGCCATATCTTACCTTGCTTTAATACTGTAAGAGCACTTCCTTGCACTGTCTCAGACCAAAGAGCTAATGCTGCATGGCCTACATTCTTCTTAGCTGGCACTTCCTTCTTTTGGTATAGTGCTGAAGAGATTGCTGATGCAGAATTCGGACTTTTCACCATGTCTTTCGGTGAAACGTAACACGCAAAGAATTTTGCTACCAAATCATCATTCAGACACACCTATAAAAAGAAAGATTAACAGCTTATCCAAAAAGACTTAAGTCTCCATTTAAATAATATTGAGCACCTCGATTCTTCCTGCCAAAGTGCCTAACATCACATTTTACACATTATATTTCATCTGCCAAGTTTTTGCCCACTCGCTCACCTGTTTATATCCCTCTGCAGACTCTGCCACACACAATGCTTGCCTTCCCATCTATTTTTATGTCATCCACAAACCTGGCAATAATACATTCACTTTCCTCATCTAAATCATTGATATATGTTGTAAATAATTGTGGCACTAGCATTAACCCCTGTGACACTTCACTAGTTACAATTTGGCATCTTGAAAATGTCCTTGAATCCCAACTCTCTCATTAGTATTTTCCAATCAACACCAATTATCATGATGCATTTGTTACCCTCTAGTAGAACTGGACTACCTCAATCTTGATTTCTAACTCCATTTCCACGAATAATGCCACGTGGCAACATTGCCTCAACTATCTCTCTGTTCTCAAAAGTAAATCTAATATCATATTTTAAGTTATATCAATAAAATTTTTTTAAGAAATAAATTCAGGGAGTTGTGGTGAAGCCAGCACTCTTAAGGAATATAGTTTGCATGCTGTTGTGAAATTATGTACTGCTTAATATAAAAATATAAAAAATTAAATTGAACTCCAGTGTTTAACTATCTGACATTTATTTTGAGAAAATAAGCATCAGTGCATTTACGATTGGTTAACTGCAAGCCTAATTCCAGAATGATTTGTTTTCACAATATACCAGACAGACTCATCAACATTCACCCTCATGTCACCTACCAAACTATGGGCAGTTTTAAGCTGCAGTCATTAAATCCTAATTGAGGCAGCATCATTTAATTAGTTTAGGACCCTTACACTTGGCTTTTCAGGTCAATAGCCGAGGTTGTCCAGAAATAATAGGTTTTCCAATTCTGTGAAATGTTTCACCCAAATTGTATGGATTTTGTAACTTTCCCTTTCCTAATCCCAATGGATTCCAAGAGTGAAAGTATCTATTTTAAGTCTATTTATGTAAATTCTAGCATATTTAAAACCAAATCTAAAACATCCTATAGTCACTGATGAAATAAAACAGTGTACAAACACTATGTTGGATTAGCCTCGTCAGTTGAGATGTAACTCTTAACATTTAAACAGTCCGGATACTCACTCTGGATAGCTCACTCTGTCAGCATCAACAATTCACCACCTCAATAGGTGCCAATGACAAAAGGTGCTGCTTAAAACATTTAAAGAATGGCAACCTGTTTGAAGGGTAAAAGCACAAAATCCCTTTTGCCGGAGCTGTTTGCTTCTTTTTAAAAATTGAGTTTCCCAATTAAAAACTTCATAATTCTTGGTGACTGTTCCAGACTGAAATATGCAACATCAATGACATCTGCAGTTTTCTCTTTGGATCATTCAAACTCCTACAATCCCTTTTGAAGCCCCTGCTCCTTTTAAGAGAAGATAAATGAATTTTCTTGTCCCTATCCCACTGACTGCCATATGCAGAATCGCAATCATCATGTTTTCAAGAGCATGGTCCCCATTTTACACAGTCTTTGGACTGGCATACCTGTTGAGTTTCTCACTTACAATGTACCCTGCACATAGCGAGTAAATTATATTGATATCAACAGACCAGATATAAACAGACAGGATTATAATCACAAGAGCAATCTCATTGCATCAATTCAACAAAAGAAACCAAACAAAAATATTCTAATGATTAAAACAGAGGTAATAAACTGGTCTTTTTTTCAAAATGCAAAACCATTTGCATTAAAAAAAGTTACCTTTTCATCATTCAGAGAGAGGTATAATTGAACTGCAAAGGTATCCCCAGTCACACCTTGTAATTTTGCTTCAGCTACTTCAGATTCTGTTATAGACAATAAATAAATTCCCACATGTAAGGCAACAATCATATTTTAAACTATTTACACTGTACATTGCATCACAGTTGTAAAACCAAAAGCTTTAAAACTACATTTACTACCACACTCAGGGCCTTTGGGCTTCTTAGTAAGATGCTGACTATCATAGATTCAAAAGTTAAAAAAAAAATCTTGTTTTGTGGACAAAGCTATGGATATCTGGTGAAAAGGACATTCCATATTAACTGCTTAAAACACAATGCAAATACAAATCACCAGCTTGAATCTGAATACTCAGTTACAATACTAGTTCGATTCATTCAAGACTGTTCACGCACAATCAAAGTTTTGGAAATGAAAGTTGCCTGCTCGAGAGTACCATAGGCTGCTCTCTCGTTACTCTAGTGGTGAATTTAATTAGAGAGTCACTATACCTCAGGTGAGGGGAAAGGTTAAGACGACAGGGAGGTAATCTTCACTGGCATGGGAATTGAACCCACATCGTTGCAGTTACTCTGCATTGAAAACCAGCTGTAACGAAAAGGAGGTAACCTTACCTAGGGACATTTTTTGGAAATACTGTATTGCGGCACTGTCCCATCTTACTGCTGGGCTGTAAAGTCACAAAAGAAATGCAATTTGCATATTTAGTAATAGAACAAGATTATAAATCAAAATACAGAGAGAGGAAAAAGTTAAGAAAATATTTTAAAGCCATTTCCAAAATTCAGTGTTACTATATGGTATGTTTTTCAGAAATAATGTAAAACATTTGTGAAAACATTTCAGTAACAAGTGTACATCAGCATATAGATTCTTGAGAAGGTTCAGAACATTTTAGAGATTATTCTGGAGTATTGGAAGATACGTAATTTCAAGAACTGCTGTCTCCCACAAATGTCAAATACATACCATAAGAGCATTCAACAGTCATCAAATTATGGCAGCATGTGTTTTAAAAACTGGAATTTAGTCCCACTTATGGTAGATCCACTATAAACTTTTGGAAAAGGAAAACAATTCCTTTTATGGACTGAATTCTGGCAAAAGCCATCAAAATCAGAACTCTACCTCACTTCCAAGGAACTTGTTGGAACTGCTTGGAACTTGTTTTCCCACTGCTTCCTAAGTGACTAAAGCATGTAGTTTACTCCTAAATTGCACAATACCTTGGCTTTTCAATTCCATTCTTTAAAGGAAGGATGGATCTATATCCTGAATAGAGGTGGCATTGGGAGGAAATTCTTTTGATCACAGACTGTCACCATTGCTACTATATTTATAAGTACATGTGTCTGTAAGTCAGACGTTTGTAAATGGGGGGCCCCCTTGTAAACACTTTTCTTTATGGATTCTGAGCAGTGACCTTAAGGCCCCAAGCCAAGTTAACCATTAACAATATTAACCATCTTCCAGAACCTACAGACAGCCCATGAAGAAAATCATGAGAGCTAAGCTAAATAAAATAAAGCATTAATATATACAGGTTAGGACCATCTTTTGATATTGATCATTGGTGTTGGCTTTTAAAAAAAAACTTACCAAATGCATTCATTAACTGGTTATTACAATTGATTTGCAACACCTGTGGTTTTTGGGTGTGGATTTTACTGTAATATCAAAATGTATATAAAGATGTATAGGTTAATTGACATTTTTCAATATTGACACATACCCAATTTTTGCTTTCTCTTCACAAACATCAATGTGCAAGGTCAATGGCTGTATGCCAAACAATGTAAACTTTTTAGCACGGTATGGCAGCTTCCAAAAGGCATCAACTGCTCTTCGTACACTGAAGAAAAACATGTGTGTTGATCAGCATTTTTTCAAAAAGTCACACAAGTAACACTAAATCAAAACAAGTTATGGTTAGTATAAAGTTTACACTGGTAAAGAGGCAATGCACTAAAGAACTATATATACAGTCATAAACATGGTTCTATCTAGCTATACAAAATTAGTGACCATCTTAAACACTACTTCTACTGTGTCTAAACCTAACAGATAGTCATTGGTGCATGCAAATTTGAAAAATATTGCAAGAAATTTATTTGCAGTTAACATAGCAATAGTTTTAGCAGCCATAAGAAATTATACAGCACTTTCATTTATTAAAAATGGTGATAGAGACAGAACAAAATTGCCCGTTAAGCCCATTCAGTTTCTTTGGTTATATCTTATACAGTTAGGGCAAAATATTTAATAGCAAAGTCACAAGACTAATGCTTTAAAAAAATGTTTTGTTCCAAGCCTTTTGCTCCATATACAAAAGATCACATACTTGTCATAGACTCACAGCATGGAAACAGACACTTCGGATGACGTTGAAAGAGCTAGGGCTTTTCTCTTTAAAATGACCAAGGATGAGAGGTGACTTGATAGAGGTGTACAAAATGATCAGAGGTATAGATAGAGTAGACAGCCAGAGACTTTTTCCTAGGGTGGAGGTAGCTATTACGAGGGGACATAGTTTTAAAGTGAGTGGAGGTAGATATAGGGGAGACATCAGAGGTAGGTTCTTTAATTAGAGAGTGGTCAGGGCATGGAATGCATTGCCGGAGAGGGTAGTGGAGTCGGCCTCGTTAGGGGCATTTAAGCGGCTATTAGATAGGCATATGGATGATAGTATAAGGTAGCGGTAGAGGTTAGATAGACCTTAGGATTAGGGTAAAAGTTCGGCACAACATCGTGGGCCGACGGGCCTGTACTGTGCTGTACTGTTCTATGTTCTATAAACCAGTCCATGCCAACCAATATCCTAAATTGTGTTTCATCTCTTGGATCAAAAGATCAGTGCTGACGGTTCAGCAGATTTCATTGTTACGCTGATGTAGGCAGAACTTCTGTGTCAACCTACAAGTTGCCTCTTGGATGATTCTTTTACTTGCAGAACCATAAATGATTTGGTTATGGCGTACTTTGGGTACTTCAATTTAGTGACATCTTCAGAGCATTAGAAACAAGTTAGGTAAAAATGTAGAAATATTCCATATTAGAATTATTAAGGCATCTGAAAATATGCAAGGATGAAACGGAAAGCACAAGTTTTCAGAAAATGTATTCAAGTGATCCTGAATTTGTTCAATGTGAACAGCTGTGGTCTTTTAAGCTTTGTGCCCATTTTTTATACATACACTTGCTTCCACTTGACCTAATCAACTGCTGTTATTTCCATTTTTGGCATTTCACAGTTAGTTCTCCCCACTTCAGTAACCCTTCATTTAATTCTTCTGTATACAAGTTTCTGATTTCGATGACAATTCATCATACATTTTCATCCTTCTCTCCTATCAACCCATCATAATCAAGTTTTAATCTGTGTATCTCTCAGCATTTTCCATTATATCCACAACAGCACGCAAAGCTGCCAGGAATATTAGTATCAACTCTCCTATCCCCCAAGGATGGTGAGTGAGATAGTTGTCAAAAGTGAAGATTAATCTCTGTTCTGTCCTGTCCTGTCCTATCCAATCCATCCTGCTCCCTGTCCTATTGCACTCACCAACCCATTATTACCAACGCATATTTCTCCCCAGAATATTTACAAACTCAAACTGGATCCTTGTCAGCTATAATCTCATCATGCCTGACAGTATCAGCATCCTGACATTAACAGTAACACATCTTAATGACATTGGACTCCTTCCTCCTTAAACAAGTCACCCTGGCAGATCAGGGACTGCTTGATCTAATCCCTATCAATATTTAAAATATTAGCTTGATAAATACCAACTTATAAAAAAAAAATTGTGAATGTTTTGTTAACAGTCCATTGTTATAACAAAATATCTTTTTCATCAAACTCAACAATACAAACAAATTGTGGATGATTAATACTTACTCCTTTGCTTTCACCAGTATGTGTTTTGCATAGTCAACTAGGAAACACTCTGCAAGATAACTACTTCCACTTGATACAAGAGATTCTAGTATTGCCCTGCACCAGCATCGTAGCTCATGACAGTAAATAGCACAAATCTGCAAAAAGAGAAAGTCATTGGACAATCAGAAGAGATACAAGCCCCATCATTGTGCATGGATTACTCACATTGCTATACATTTGGCTGCAGCTCTATGATGATGAATTTTAAACACAGGTAAGGGTTCAAGACACTCTTCAGCATTTACTCACCAGAACAGATGAAATGTAGCTCAGTTCATTAGGAAGTTCTTTTCAAAATGCTCTATTATACAATCAGTTAGAATGCATGTAACTATAAAAAGATTCATTTGAAAAGTAAAAAAACAATTTGTATTCATATTGTATTTTGTCACATTCTCTGACTTTCAAAGAATTTTTTCTTAGAAGTCAGTCACCGTTAAATGGGCACATAGCAGTCAGGTTATATTGCTCAACAAACAGTAAAGAAAATGAATAACTGGATAAATCAGTTTTAGTGGTATTAAAGATTTTGACGAGGGCTCTGTACTTTAAATAATGCCATGAAATCTATAACATCAAGTTGAGCAGGGAAAGCCTCATCTTCACACCTTATCTGAAAACCTGAATTATAGCACCCTATCAGAAGTGCACTTCAGTATTTCAGCAGTGTCAGCATAGATCATCCAGCAGATGAGTTACTGGTGTGAAAATCAAGTCATTGATTTTTACATGCTAGAAATTTTCTCAGAATACAAAAACCAATCTACCTGCCCTTGTTCTAGAACAGGAAGTTTAATTTCCTCTAAATCTTCATGGCTCCTGTTGTAGAATTGATTCATCTTCTCCTCCAATCTTTGATATTGATTTGCATTTTCAACCAGATCACAGAAGCCATTTGTTATTCTCCCCCAGAAACAGCTAGGGTCTTCCACCTAGGCACACACAAGTAATAAAATATCATTCAGACTACGCGAGTACCAGACAATGACCATTCCTCTTTATGTTTAACTGCACTACCATCACGAAATCCTCCACCATTACCACTCTGGGGATTGCCACTGACTGGAAAAAGAATTTCAATAGCCATATAAAAACATTGCTTACAAGAGCAGGTCAAGAGATCAAGGACAACAAGGTGCAGGGCTGGATGAACAACACAGGCCAAGCAGCATCTATGATGCTGCTTGGCCTGCTGTGTTCATCCAGCCCTGCACCTTGTTGTCTCGGATTCTCCAGCATCTGCAGTTCCTACTATCTCTCAAGAGATCAAGGAATTGTGTTAAGTAACTCAACAACTTCCCCAAAGTCTGCATACAATTTTAAGGCATAAGTCAGGAGTGTGATGGAAAACTCTTCATTTGCTTAGATTGCATATAGTTGCAACACCAGAAAAAGCTCAACAACATCCAGACTTGAATGTTGGATGGAGATGAGGGAGGTGGTGTAGGGGCAGGTGTGGCACTTCTTGCGGTTACAGGGAAAGGTGCCAGGTGTGGTGGGGTTAGTGGGGAGTGTGGAGCGGATTAGGGAGTAACGCAGTGAGCAGTCCCTACAAAAAGCAGATAGGGGTGGGGAGGGAAATATCTCTTTGGTTGTGGGGTTGGATTGCAAGTGGCGGAAGTGGCAGAGAATGATACGCTGGATGCGGAGGTTGTTGGGGTAGTTATGCGAGGAACAGGGTCATTCTGTCTTTATTTTTGTTGGGTGAGGGTGTTTGAGGACAGAAGCACAGGAAATGCAAAAGATGTGATTGAGGGCATTTCAATCACCCGAAGCATCCAGGAGTGGAACACTCCACCTTGAGAGCAGATGTGGCAGAGGCAGAGGAGTCGGGAGTGAGGGATCGCATTCTTGCAGGAAGGTGGGTGAGAGGAGGTGTAGTCCAGGTAGCTATGGGAGTCGGTAGGCTTGAAATAGATGTTGGTGTTGAGGCAGTTACCAGAGATGGAGACAGTCCAGATGAATTTGAGGTTGGGGTGAAAGGTGTTACTAACGTTGATGAATTGTGCAAGCTCCTTGTGGAAGTACAAGGTAGTGCTGCCACGGTCATCGATGTAGCAGAGAAAGAGGTGAGGGATGGTGCCAGTGTAACAGCAGAAAAGGGACTGTTCCACATACCATATGAGCAGGCAGGCATAGCTCGAACCCATGCGAGTGCCCATGGCCACCCTCTTGATTTGTAGGAAGTGGGAGGAGTTAAAGGAGAAGTTGATCAGGGTAAGGAGAAGCTCTGTTAAGCAGATGAGGGGGTTGGTGGAGGGGGACTGGTTGAGCCTACGGGAAAGGAAGAAGCGGAGGGCTTTTAGACCATCCGCATGGGGGATACAAGTGTACAGGGATTGGATGTCCATAGTGAAGATGAGGTGTTGGGGGCTAGGGAATTTGAAGTCTCGGGGGAGGTGGGCGGTGTGGGGTGGTGTACTGGACATAGGTGATGAGTTCCTGGACGGGGGGAAAAACAGATTCAAGGCAAGCGTAGATAAGTTCAGTGAGGCAAGAGCAGGCAGAGACAATGGGTGGGCCAGGGCAGTCAGGTTTGTGGATTTTGGGAAGGAGATAGAAACTTGCGGTGCGGGGTTGGGGAACAACGAGGTTGGAGGCTGTTGGAGGAAGGTCACCTGAGGTGAGGAGGTTACGAATGCTCTGAGAGACAATGGTTTGGTGGTCAGGATTGGGGTCATAATTGGGGTGGTAGGAGGAGATGTCAGAGAGTTGGTGCCTGGCCTCTGTGATGTAGAGGTCAGTGCGCCATACCACGACTGCACACCCCCCCCCCCAAATATTTACAAGTTTGATGACAAAGTGAAGGTGAACTTCCACCGCTGATGCCGTCACTCCTGCCACCGACGCTGTCACTTCTGCTGCCGATGCTGTCACTTCCGCTCCTGAGACAGTCTCCACCCCCACTCCCAGCTCCAGCTCTACACCCAACCCCAGCCCAAAGCCCTGCCGGGTCTTCACCATCCCCCCAGACCTCCCCTTCACCGAGGACAAATGGTCAGTCCTCGGCAAAAGACTCACCTTCATTTCAGTGTCCACACATCAACGAATTCCATTCACTTCTGGATGTCAAACTCTTCTTACACCACCTCCGCGTCTATTTCTTCGACCAGGAATCTAACCCACCCTCTGCCGACCCCTTCTCCTGCCTCCAACAAATTGCATCTTCCTGGACACCGCCCCCTTGACCTATTCATTACCAAATGCCATTGTGACATTGATTGCCTTAATCTCTCTACACCTCATTACTCCGACCCCTCCCCCACAGAACACGCAGCCCTCCACTCCAACCCTAACCTCACCATCAAATTTGCAAATTCGTGGGGGCGGGTCCGGTAGTGGTATGGCGGACTGACCTCTACCGCCTGTTTCTATCTCCTTCCCAAAATCCACAAACCTGACTGCTCCAGCTGACCCACCTGCTCCTGCCCCACTGAACTTACCTCCGCTTACCCTGACTCTCTTTTCTCTCCCCCAGTCCAGGAACTCCCCACCTACGTCTGGGACACCACCCATGCCCTCCACTCCTCAAGACTTCCAATTCCCTGGCCGCCAACACTTCATTCTCACTATAAACATCGCTGTACACTTGTATCCCCCAAGCAAATCGCCTAAAAGCCCTCCACCTCTTCCTCTCCCACAAGCCCAACCAGGCTCCCTCCACCAACACCCACATCCGCTTGACAGAACCTGTCCTTACCCTGAACAACTTCTCCTTCAACTCCTCCCACTTCCTACAGACTAAGCGGATGGCCATGGGAACCCGCATGGGCCAAAGCTATGCCTACCTCTTTGTAGGATATGTGGAACAGTCCCTCTTCTGCTGCTACACTGGCACCATCCCCCATCTCTTCCTCCGCTACATTGATGACTGTATCAGCGCTGCCTCGTGCTCCTACAAGGAGCTTGAACAGTTCATCAACTTTACTAACACCTTTCACCCCGACCTCAAATTTACCTGGATCATCTCCAATACATTCCTCTCCTTCCCGGACCTCTCTGTCTCCATCTCTGGAAACTGCCGCAACACCGACATCTATTTCAAGCCTACCAACTCCAATAGCTACCTGGACTACACCTCATCTCACCCACCCTCCTGCAAGAATGAGATCCCTTACTCCTAATTCCTCTGCCACATCTGCTCCCAAGATGGGCCGTTACACTCCCGGACATCCCAGACGTCCTCCTATTTCAAGGACCACAACACCACCATCCCCCGCCCATCCCCAACCAAAGAGATATTTCCCTCCCCACCCCTATCTGCCTTTCGTAGGGACCGCTCACTTTGTGACTCCCTCGTCTGCTCCACACTCCTCACTAACCCCACCACATCCAGCACCTTTCCCTACAACTGCAGGAAGTGCTACACCTGCCCCTACACCTCCCCCTCATCTCCATCGAAGGCCTAAAGCAAACCTTTCATATCCTACAGGGGTTCACCTGTATATCCTTCAACTTGGTCTACTGTATTCACTGCACCCGATGTGGCCTCCTCTACATCGGTGAGAACAAGCATAGACTTGGGGACCGTTTAGTGGAGCATCTGTGCTCTCTACGCGACAAACATCACCACCTTCCAGTCGCCAACCATTTTAACTCCACCTCCCACTCCGAGTGACGTGTCCATCCTGGGCCTCCTCCAGTGCCACAATGACACCACACGCAAACCGGAGGAGCAACACCTCATATTTCACCTCGGGAGCCTACTGCCCAATGGCCTTAACATGGAATTCACCAGTTTTAAAATCTCCCTGCCCCCAGCCTCACCCCACGTCCAAACATCCCTCTCACCCCCACATCCTTGATCTGACACAACCTGTCCATCTTCTTCCCCCTCCTATCCGCCCTACCGTTCCTACCAATCACCACGATCCCCTACCTGCATCCAACCTATCACTCCACCTACCTTTTCCCAGCCCCACCCATCCTCCCTCCCGCCTCCTTGACCCGACACAACCTGTCAAATCTTCTCTCCCATGTATTTGTCCCACACATCCCCTTGACCAATCCCCACCACTCCCTACCTGCATTCACCTACCACCATCCCATTTACCTTTCCCAGCCCCACCCCCTCCTCTCTCTATTTATTTCCCAGCTCCCTTCCCTCTCCCCCATTTCTGAAGAAGGGTCCCAACCGAAAACGGCAACTTTCCTGCTCCTCTGATGCTGCCTGGCCTGCTTTGTTCCTCCAGCTCCACAATGTGTTGCCTCCATCATCAACCTTTGCCTCCTATTTGTAAGCCAATTTTGGATTCAGTTTGCAAACTTGCCTTGGATCTCACGGGCTTTTACCTTTTGGACCAGCTTCCAGGTGGGACCTTGTCAAAGGCCTTACTGAAGTCTGTGTAAACCATATCAACTGCACTACCCTCAATATACTTAGTCACATTTCCAAAAACACAATTCAATTAGTTAGACAGGATCTCCCTCTAACAAATCCATACTGCCTATCCTAGCCTTTCCAAGTATTGATTAATTCTGTCCTTGAGAGAATTTTTTTCAATAATTTCCCTACCATTAACATCAGATAAACTTGTCTGTAATTACTGGCCTTTCCTTGCTGCCCTTCTTGAACAAAGAAACCATAATAGCTATCCTCCAGTCAACTGGCACTTCATGTGTGGCCAGCAAAGGATTAAATATATCCCTCAGGACCCTTGCACCCTCCCCACCACCCCCACCCCCCAACACACACACAGCACCCTAGGGATTTATGCACTGCATACCTGCTAAAACACCTAAAACCTTCTCCTTATTAATCTTAACATGCCCTAGAACCTCACCATCTCAAGTGAAATTGCTAGCTACTATGTCTCTCACCTCTGGTAATACGGATGAGAAATATTCATTCAAGACCTCACCTATGACCACTGGCTCCACGCACAGGTTGCCTCTTTGGTCTCTGTAAGGTCCCACTCTTTCCCTGGTAATCCTTTACTCTTAATATATTTATAAAAAGCCAGAGGTTTTCCATGACCCCATTTGCCAAAAATATTTCATGACCCCTCTTTTCCCTCCTAATTTTCTTTTTAAACAACCTCCTATACTCACTGTACTTTTGAAGGGCCTCCCCTTCTTCAAAACAAAGTACTGCGCTTGACATATGCTTCCTCCTTTTTTCTTTATCAACCTCTCAATACTCTTTAATAGCCCATCCAGGGTTCCCTGTACTTACTTGCCCTGAATTCTCACTATACTACGTTACTACAACCCTCACTTTCCAAACGTACTTACTTGCAAGTAACTGATCCCAGTCTATGTTTGACAGTTCCTTTGTAATGATATTGAAATCCTTTCTCCAATTATGACACTTAATTTCACCTCTTTCCATAATGACTTTGAAACTTACAGGGATATGGTCACTATCACCAAAATGTTCACTCACTGAAACTTCAATGACTTGACAGTTCTGCTTCCTAGGATTAGGTCTGGTACTACCCCATCTCTATTAAGGCTATCTATGTACTGTGGGGAAAAAAATATACTGGATGCACTTTAAAAATTCCATCCATTATGTTCAGCATTGGTTGGATTGAAGGGTCTGTTTCTGTGCTGTATAACTCTATGACAAGAGAGGCAGTCCAGAAGCAGCATCCTTTAAGGTCCAAACATTAAGACCCGAAACATTATCTCGGATTTCTCTTCCCAGATGCTGCCAGACCTGCTGAGCTTTTCCAGCAATTTCTGTTTTTGTTTCTGATTTGTAGCATCAGCAGTCCTTTTGGTTTTGATCCTTTAGGATCCAATCACTTTAAACTAGTGCTGCTAGGTGGGAGATTCTGTTCATATACCTGACACCTGAGTCCTGAAGCAATTGGTCAGTGCAGAACTGGGTCATAACAGAAGACTCCCAGAAAGAGAAGACCACAAAGCCACCTTGAAGAGATCAAACTTCCTTTCCATTTCATGGCAGCCCTTGGCTTGTGGTTAACAGAAATAAACAGTAACATAAAAAGATAAAGTTGCCATAGTCCCAGAAGTCTATGGGGCTGCTCTCACATTAGGGAGGGAAGCAGGCATAGGGAGGGAGGTGCAGGGAGATGGCTGGTGGTGGTTTAAACTGGGAGACACACAACTCGGGAAAGAATGAGGTCAAGGTGGATCCTTGACAGTGACCTTAGCCGGTACATGAATTGAACTCATACTGTCGGTATCACAAATCATCCATCCAAACAACTAAGCTAACAATGCAAAGTTGAGGCAAAGTGTCTGCACCTCCAAATATGTAATGACCCTTCCAGCATCACCTACTCTGAACATGACAAACTGCAGATAGCACTTTGAACTTCACAGCCATCTCCGAACGAAGTGACCCAAAAACGAAAGGAAAACAACCTCCATCCTACATGAGATTAAAAGCAGACGTAGGCCATTCAGCCCATAAACTCCAAGCCACCAATTTTTTGTAATCCTCAATTCTACTTTCCCAACTTTTCCCTATAACCCTTGATTCCCCTACTGTCTATCTTAACCTTGAATATACTTAATGACCCAGCTTTGACTGACTTGAATGGCAAAGAATTCCACAGATTCACTATCCTCAGAGAATGAATTCATCCATCTTAGTCTTAACTGGCCATCCATCCTGTCAAGCCCCCGTCAAGATTCCTATACTCACACAGCGGGTGGTGGCTGGCCTCACAATCAGACCCTTATTGATTTGTCTTTTGGAAATCCAAACATATTTAATCAACTTGTTCTCCTTTATCTATCCTGATTACCTCAAAAGAATTCTGATACGTTTGTCAGGCATAATTTCCTATTCATGAAGCTATGCTTACTCTCTTTGATCATACAACATATTTCGAAAGTTGTCCTGTCTTCGGACTTCTTATTGTGTACCAAACCACTAAATGCCACCACTTATTAATACTTGCTCGTGACTATCCCCTATGCATGATCAAACATCCTGAACTGTATCTGGCTTGACAATGCATTAACAGCATATGATCAATCTCAGATTGGTTGGGTAGTGCGTGTCCAGTTCCCAATTGCTTTCTTTGAAAGTGATCATCTTATTGATATGACTTCCGACTATCTCCTGATTTGTTCCTCAAAATGCCAATTTCTCTTTTATAACAGGCTAATGTCCCTACTAGCTTAATAACTTAATAAATCTCTACCAAGATAATGCGACACCAGCACAGTAACTTGTCTGGTTGGATTATGGAGTGTCAGCTCCAAATGATTTAATATCATCCCAAAATGTCCCCAGAAATATATCAAAGAATTCTCAAAAATTCCAAAGCTTACCAACATCCTTCAGTTAAAAGAACCACATGCGTCTCCACAAGGACTGATGATTCATAAAACAATTTGACTAAAATTACTTTCAAAACAGCATGCTGGCTTTTGACCTCCAAGAACCTGCCTTATAAATTATCTGCTTATTAAAACGGAATTTACAAAATACATTGCAAGATACATTAAAATACACAAAGCTCAAAAATAACCATACAAAAGTAATAATTACAAACCATTACAGAGTCAGATTTATACAGCACGGAAACAGACCCTCCAGTCCAACCCATCCACACTGACCAGATATCCTAAATTAATCTAGTCCCCCATTTGTCAGCATTTGGCCCATTTCCCTCTAAACCCTTTATATTCGTATACCCATCCAGATGCCTTTTAAGTGTTGTAATTATACCAGCCTCCGTCACTTCCTTTAGCAGCTCATTCCATACTCTCACCATCCTCTGCGTGAAAAAGTTGCCCCTTAAGTCCCTTTAAATCTTTACCCTCTCATCTTAAACCTATGGACTCTAGTTTTTGGTTCCCCCACCCGAGGGGAAAGACCTTGTCTATTTACCCTCTCCATGCACCTCATGATTTTATAAACCTCTAAAAGGTCACGCCTCAGCCTCCAATGCTCCAAGGAAAATAGCCCCAGTCTATTCAGCCTCTCCCTCTGGCTCAAACCCTCCAACCTTGGCAACATCCTTGTAATTCTTTTCCGAATCCTTTCAAGTTTCACAACATCCTTCCTATAGGAGGGCAACCAGAACTGCATGCAGTATTCCAAATGTAGCCTAAACAATGTCCTGTACAACTGCTATAAAACATAGCTATCTTTGAGTAATAGCAGTAGCTTGAGCCATAAAAACACAAATCAATTACCTTAATTTGGACCTGGGCCATACAACTTTTCTTCTTTATGAAAAGTATTTTGTAACTAACCCCAATTACACGAAATGTGACTTAATTCCTTACTTGCTTAATCAAATCATATTTATTGAAAAAACCAATCTGGCCATCTCAGTCAGGACAGGAGATCATTCTAGATGGGAGAACAAAGACATCCATCTAAATAACATTGCTCATTCAAACAAGTTGATGAAATCACCTTCAGTGATCATAATGTAAATTTCACAAATGAAGTGGAATTACATGAAGTGCACAATTTTTATATGCACTTAAAAAGAAACTGCAGTCTGATCAAATCAGCAAAAATCATGCATCAGTTTTTTATACAAGGAGATGTAGACACAACATATGCTATTATGATTACCTTTATGATGAAAATTTCAAACATTTTCTGTGCGATGGTATACAATTTCAAATGTGAGCAAATTCTCCTGTTTTGAAAGCAAAGAAATTTGTCATTTGTTTATCATAATTGTTTTACTCCTTGAAACATCAGAAATATAGTTTAACAAACCAAATAATAAACCAGATAAAGTTGCAGCTGTGATCAGAGATATTTTGTTTAATTTGGGTAAATCATCTACTTACAACTTTGGACTTGGCAAACAGAAATTTACAATTAGTGAGGTTGTTGACTTGCTCGCCGAGCTGGCTTGATTTCATTCAGATGTTTCATCACCATGCTAGGTAACATCATCAGTGAGGCTGCTGATGAAGCGAGGTTGTTCTACTCTGCTTGGAATTTATACTGTCCGGTCCGTTATGGTGAGTAGTGTCGTTTCTGGTTTGGTATATGGGATCCAATTCTGTGTGTTTGTTGATTGCATTATGGGTTGAGAACCATGTCTCTAGGAATTCCTGTGCTTGCCTATGTTTGGCTTGGGCTACTATGGTTACATTGTACAAGTTAAACTCACGGCCTTCACTGTCCGAGTGTGCTGATATTAGGGAAGGTTTGTCGTGTTGTTTTGCTACTAGCTGACGTTCATGTATTCTGATGGCTAGCTTCCTTCCGGTCTGTCCGATGTAATGCTTGTGGTGGTCGTTGCATGGTATTTTGTAAACTACGCTGGTTCTGCATGTTGTGGGAATGGGGTCTTTAATCCTTGTGAGTGTTTGTCGTAGTGTGGCTCCGGGCTTGTGCATTACCATGATTCCTAGTGATCGTAGGAGTCTTGTTGTCAATTCTGATATGTTCTAGATATAGGGCAGCGTGGCCAATGTGTTAGGGCGTACTGTGTCCTCTGTGTTGTTGTCTATTCAGTAGGCACCTGTGGATGAAGTTGCGAGGCTATCCGTTCATAGTGAAGATTTTGTATAGGTGATCTTCCGTTTTCCTGCATAGTTCTGGTGTGTTGCAGTGAGTGGGGTGGCCCGTTTAAATAGTGCCCTAACGCAGCTTTGTTTGTGGACATTGGGGTGGTTGCTGTGGAAGTTGAGGATTTGGTCAGTTGCATTGCTTCCCTGTATACCAAGGTTGATTTCCAAGTATAGTATATTTAATAGTATCACTATTAAATCTCTCTTATTAGTCTCTGTTCCAAGGAAATCTTTTTGAGTGTCTCCACATAACTGGTACTAATGTAATAATTTGTGCCGTTAACACACAAAGGAGGTACACAAGTCTACAAGTTCAGTGTTATGATGAAAGATTAACAACAAAAATCAGCAGAGGGAAGTCACAGTTAAACTCAGGAGGTATATATTAGATATCAATGTGGAAATATAAATCCAGAGAATTAATTTAACTTATAAATATAGGAACCTTTCCACAGAAAAAGCGATCAATACATGGAACAAACTCCCAGCATGCAGCAGTGGCTGGAAAATCTTGGAATATTTTAAAAACCAATTAAATGCTGCAATCACAAGACTTCAGAATCATTCTAGATTGATGAACGAAGACAGACCAAATACCTTTTGTGACACAATTTTATTATGAAATCAACTTCACAACAGTCAAAATGCAATACTCTATTTACAAAAGAAGTGGGATTTGGTGAAGTATACAACATTAAATGTGGAAGTAAATGAACTTTAAATAATTAAAAGCACACAAAACAAGCTTCCAAAGTACCCATTCACTAAAAATATCCCTATCTCCAAAAACATTCTAATACTGCCTCACTGTTTGCTTGTGCAATCTCATCCAAAGCTATTTTATCTACAAATAGATATTTACAAAAAGATATTGACCCATTTTTCAGTAATAACAACAGAAAACCTCCTGGCTTCACCATTTTACTGTGTTATGTAAATACAAGGACAGAATATAGGACAAAATATGGTAGACAGTAGCATAGCAGTAATACTATTGAACTCACAATCCACAGGCCAGACTAATGCTCCAAAGACACGAGTTCAAATGTCACCAGTGAAAACTAAATTCAATTAATTAAGAAAATAAATTTGGAATGAAAAGACAGTCTCAGTGATGACATGAAACTACTGAGATATCTGCTTCACTAACGCTCTTCAGGAAAGAAAATCTGCTCTTCTTATCAAGTCAGGCCTGTGACTTGAAATTAACCAGAATGCAATTTGACTCTCAACAGCCCTCTAAAGTAGCACAGTAAGTCACTCAGATGTACCATACTGTTTTGGAAAAGTCAAATACAAATAAAACTGAATAGACAACCCAGCCATCCACAGAAATAAAAAGAGGTACACCCTCTCTAATCAACTCCGCAAATTCCTCCAAATATCTGGGGGCTTACATGAAGGTTAGGAGAGCCATCCTAAAGCCTAGTCAAGCAGTACCCTGACACGATTATGCAAGTATGAGTATACCTTACAACAAATATCTTGTACATCTCTATCACCTGCCATAGACAAGTGGCAGCACAGTGGTATATAGTTAGGAAGGAGTAAGTCTGGGAATTTTCAACATGGACCCCATATCAATTAAGCTTCATGGCTTCGGATCCAACATGGGCAAGAAACCATGCTGATGATTAGCACTGACCAATCTCCTTGAGCTGATTAATCAGTACTCCCCCATGCTGAACACCATTTAGGGGGAAAAAAAAAATTGAGAACAGTAAGGGTAAAGAAATACACTCCATGCAAGGTCTTCAATATTAAATCACAACGATTGGCTCTGACTGGGCTGGACAAATTCTGACAGAAACCTGCTGGTCTGGGCAAGTGATATTGAATCAACAGGGAAAAGACTACTGACCTCAACCTCACTAATCTGCTTATTGAAGTTGCATCTTTCCATTAGAGTATTGATAGCAATAACTACCTATAAGTTCTTGTGGAGAAGTTCTTTCTTCACAGAGAACATCCTCCATTATGTTTTGTAGCACTATCAGTGCTTAACAGAACAGATCTAAAACAGATGTGGCAGCTCAAAACTGCTCATTCATGAGATGCTGTAAGCCATCAGCAACAGAATTGCATTCTCTCACATTCTATAACTTCATGGAAATGTGTTGGTGACAGGTTCAATTGAGGCATTCTAGAGGGTGTTGAATGTTTCTTTGGATAGTAGTTTGTATGGATATAGGGAAAAGGCAGGATATTGACATTAGACAAGGGTGTCAGACTATATAATAGGGCCAATGCAGGCATGGTGGACCAAATGCACTGCAATAATTCTGCGATTCATAGCTCAGCATATCCCTCAGTATGTCCCATTAAACCAGGGGACAACCTTGGTTCTGCATGGGAACAAAAGAGAGGTATACTTAAAATGAAGTATCATACACATCAAGTTCCAACACATGACTTACATGCAACGTCAAACAGCAGAAGCAGCATGTTATAGAGATTAGTAATTCTGCAACCAACATATCAGATCTGTGGTACTTCTTCATCCAGTTTTGAATGGTACAGGCAATTAAATAATTAACTGAAAAAAGTGCCTCCGTGAATATCCCCATTCTTAATGCAGATGGACCCCAAAATATCAGTGCAGAAGATAAAGACAGAAACATTTACAACACAGAGATAACAAGGTGTAGAGCTGGATGAACACAGCAGGCCAAGCAGCATCAGAGGAGCAGGAAGGCTGATGTTTCGGGCCTAGACCCTTCCTCAGAAAACATTCAGTTTATGTGCTGAATGGAAGATTCATTGTGATCTCCTTAAGCTCGTAACATCACAATGCCAGTTTCCAATTTACTTCAGTCCGCATTATATCAAGAAACAGATGAACACAATGGATGCAGCAAAACGTATGGGCTCTGACAACATTCTGGTATCAAAACTGAAGATTTGTAACCCTAACCATGCCTTTGCCATGCTGTTCTAGTACAACCACATCACCAGCATCTATCCAACAATGTTGCCCTACCCCCTAAAAGAACAAGACAAATACAACTGAGCAATTACTATCCGATCTGTCCACCCAAAGAAATGTAAGTTGTAGTCATTGGCAGTATTAAGGGATACTTGAACAACAACCTGATCACCACTACACAGTCTGGATTCTGCAGAAGGCCACTCAGCTCCAGACCTCATTACAGACTTGGTCTCAAAAATGAACAAAAAAAGAGCAACTGCCAGATGAGAGTGCCTGCTTTTGACATTTTGGCAGCATTTGATCTAGAATGGCAACAAGAAACCCCGAGTAAAAAGAGAATTTAACAGGAACTGGGGAGAAAACCTTTTGCTGGCTTGAGTCATACTCGGCACAAAGGAAGGTGGTTGCGTTTGTTGGAATCTAATCACTTCAGCCCAGGACACCATTACAGCAGTTCTGTAGGGTAGTGTCTTAAGCAAAACCATCTTCTCTTGCTTAAATAACTTTCCCTCTTTCATAAAAATCAGAAATACAGATTTTTTTTTAAAAAAATTATTCTTTCACGGGATGTGGGCTACACTTCTATTTATTGTCAGTGCCTAATTGCCTTCAAGAAGGTAGTGGTCAACCACCTTCATGAACTGCTACAGACAATGTACATAAGGTAGATTCCACAGTTCTCTAGGGAAGAGAGTTCCAGGATTTAAGCTAAGTAATAATGAATGAACAGTGAAATGGTTGCAAATCAGGATGGTGTGTGGCTGAGGGGAACTTGTGAATATCAGTACCTAAGTGAGTCTGCTAACCTTATCCTTCTAGGTGGTAAAGGCTGAGAGTTTGGATGGTTTGTTGAAGGAGTTTTGATGACCTGCTGGAGCACATCTTGGAGATGGTAGACAAGGCTGTCACTGCACATTGGTGATGAAGGAAATGGTATTTAAAGGGATGGTAGGGAGTGCTGATCAAGTAAGCCTCTTTTTTCTGGATGGCATTGAATTACTTGAGCGCTGTTGGAGCTGTACTCATCCAGACAAGTAGAGAGTATCCCAATCTGACTTGTGCTTTGCAGATACAGGAGTCATGAGGAACTACTCACCACAGAACCCCTGAGCTCTAACTTGCTCTTATAGTCAGGGTACTTACATGGCCAACGGTACAGATTTCACTTCTGTAAATCCTCAGACACAGAGGGAGAGCATGCTTGTATAAAGCAAGACCTAGGCACTATTTAGGCTTGGGTTGATAAGTGGAAAGTAGCATTCACACCACTGAAGTGCCAGGTAATGAACATCAAAAGAGAGAATCCAATCATCTTCCCTGAACTTTCAATACAATACTGACATCAACATCAGATATTGGACTGGAGCAGCTGCACAATTACTTTGGTGAAAGAACAGTGAATAACTCACATCTTGACTAACCAGAGCCTTTCAACCATCTACAATGCAGCAGTGTAATGTGTTATAACAATCTCTACTCGCCTGCATAAGTGCAGTTCTACAACACTATAGGGGCTCAACAAAATGAAGGGTGAAGCAGCCTGATGATCCATATTTTGCTCACCACCTTAAACATTCATTCTTCCCACCACCAAAGCAGTGGCAGCAGTACAGACCATCTACAGATTGCACTACATTCATTAATAAAGCCACCTTAAGCATTACCTTCTAAACCTACAAACTTTACCACCTAGAAGAACAAGAGCAACACGTATGTAGGAACACCACACCGGCATGTTTTCCCCCCAAATCAACACTATCCTTACTTGGAGCTATATAACTGTTCCTTGCCTATCATTGGATTGAAATCCTGAAATTTCCTCCCTGACAGCATTTATGAGTGTAACTATGCCACATAAACTGCAGTAGTTCAAGAAAATGGCTTTCCACCACCTTTCCAGGGAAATTTGGGATCACATTAAACGCTGGTCTTATTAGTGGCACACGGATCTCATTAATAAAAAAAATGTAAATACAGTTTAAAATGTAAAACACATATCAAGGGCTTTTAACTACAGGGATGGATTGAAAAAGCCAAAGTTGTTCTCCTTTGCACAGGGAAAGCTAAACAGAAATTTGATTAATATGTTCAATATCAAGGATTTAAAGAAAAAAAAAGAGTTGAAAGGAATTGTTGCTATTGACAAAAGATGCAATAACTACAGATCAGCGATTTAAGGTGATTGGCAAAAGAAAAAAAACCTTTTCTTTTGTACTGCGAGTAGATACTGTCTGGAATGCACTGGAAAGATGGTGTAATCAAATTATGGTCCCGACCCGAAACGTCGGCTTTCCCGTTCTCCGATGCTGCCTGGCCTGCTGTGTTCCTCCAGCTCCACACTTTGTTACCGTAACCAAATTAAGTTGTGCCTTTCAAAAGGGAACTGGATAAGCACCTAGAGGAGATAAATACAAGACTGTGGTGAAAGGACAGGGTGTGAGACTTACTAAATTGCTCTTCCAATGACCTTCTCCAAGCCATCCTATCATTGTGCACCCTGGGTCAATTATTCTCACCCGTTAACCTTAAAGACTTGCACTTGTACTGGAAGCTCACTGGTCCCTTCTTACAAAAAAATGGAAGTTTTCATATTTCACGATTTTGCATTCTCACCGAAAAGGAAAACGTTGGCATTTTACATTTCACCCACAAGAAGTTCATCGTTTAGCACAGAATCTGAGAATTATACCCATTCATCAACACGTGAAGTAAAAACAGTGTTCTTTATTCTTTCTAAATCATGCATGTGACAAACTCGTTGAAATACTGAAACAAACATAAACTGCTGGAGAAACTCAGTCCCGTGACCTTTCTTCAGAACACAGAGTTTCAGATTTCTAGCATCCGCGGTTCTTTCTTTCATTTTATTCGCTGAAATATTGCCCGATTCGTCAAAAGCAAAAAGAATTAATTATGTTATCTGCCAAATAGTGGCTCTTCTCTCTATACCGTCTTGGTCTTTCTTTCTTTCCTTCCATGACTGACTTTACAAACTCGAGCAAGATAAGTTGACAATAAAATCGCCACTGAGAACTGAAAATGAAAGGGTTTTTTTAATTGCACTGGCCTAAAATTTTAAATTCGCCTCAAATTCAAACTTACCACAACGAGAGCGTCGGTCAACCCGCCAAAGCGGCGTGCGCGAGTTCCGCTCCCAACACGCCTGCGCTCTTCTCGGATGTTCCACCAGGTTTTGAGGCCTACCAGGTTCGGTCTGGTGTGAGAGGCGGTGAGTGGGAACCTGTGTCTTTGCCCTAGCTGTCACCAGTTGTAGCATTTCTTTCCACAAATTAAAATAACGCCCACTGCCCCACTGGAATTCTCCATCCTCTTCCGAAAACAACAAATGCTGGATCTTCCAGCTCTGAACTGGATTATCTCAGATTCTGCAGCATCTGCAGTTCCTACTATCTCTAATGCTGGAGATCAGAATGTCTCCGACAGCGAGAGAGAGCTAACGTTTCGGGTCTAGATGACAGCATTTATGCTATAGTTTGCTGGGGGGAGTGGGTGTAGGGTGCTGGGTGGAGAAAAGATGTTGATAGTTCACATAAAGTGATCGGAATGTGAGAATGGTGGAACAATGTTGTGTCTAACTGCCAGACTTGAAAGGACAGACAGTCCCACTGGGATGGGGGGAATGGAGAGAGGACATGGTGACAGAAAGTATCATGTAAGGCTTCACAATTTGAAGGTGTTGAACTCAGCATTAAGTCCAGAAGGTTGTGGAGTGCCTAGTCTGAAGGTGAGGTGTTGTTCCTGTAGTTTGTGCTGTGATTCACTGGAACACTGCAGCATGCTGAGGACAGACACGCGGCAATGCGAACAGGATGCTGTGTTAAAATGACCGGCTATAGGAAGGTCGGGGTCATGCTTGCACACTGACTGGAGGTGTTCCAGCGGTCATCCAGTCTATGCTTGGTTTCACCAATGTAGAGTAGGCCACACTGGGTACTCCAATACAATGAACAAAATTGGGGGAGGTACAGGTGAAATGCTGCTTCACCTAAACATTCTTTCCAGGTCGTGCACAAGCATGATCCTGAACTTTCCTTAGCCGGTCATTTTAACACAACCTGATCGCATGCCCACATGTTTGTCATCAGCATGCTGCAGTGTTCCAACATCTTTTCTCCACCAGCACCCTACAACCCCACAACACCCCTCAACTGTAGCATAATAGTGCCCCCTCCACACTTCATTTCAACTCTAATGAAGAGTCATCGGGACTTGAAATGTTAGCTTGCTGTCTTTCCGTGGATGCTGTCTGACCCGCTGTGATCTCCAGCATTTGTTGTCTTAAGTACAGATTCCAGCATCTGCAGTACTTTGCTTCCCCATCCTCTTCACTGTCTTATATCCGGCAGCCTGTCTCCCAGCACGTGTGGATATTGAAGTGTGACGTTATGGCTTTATACTTTTATGTTTAAATTTGGGTTTCTGCGGCTTTGGATCGGCCGGGGCAAAAACAGAATTCGTGGAAATACAAGACAGTAACCATGCTCTGTAATACTTGGGAGAATTGAATTTCTGAGAAAAAAATAAAAATCTGTAAAATTGTACATGCACCACATGTGCCACAATTTACTGCTTGAGTGATGTAGTTTTCGATATCAAGGCTCCAATGATGTGAGGGTGCCACTTTCTAAATAGATCCAACAAATCAACAGCCCAGCCAAGTACTGTACTTTTCCCACACTTTAATTTTAAAATAAAACATATTGCTGCCTCAGACTCTTGGATATTTACTCCACTGAGGATGCCCCATTCGGCCCATCGTGTTCATGCCTGTCAGCCATATATTAGAATCCCTACAGTGTGGAAACAGGCCCTTTGGCCCAACAAGTCCACACCAAAAACCCCAGAGCATCCCACCCAGACCCATCCCCCTATAACCCACCTAATCTACACATCCCTGAACACTGTGGGCAATTTAGCATGGCCAATCCACTTAGCCCGCACATCTTTGGACTGTGGGAGGAAATCGGAGCACCCGGAGGAAACGCACACAGACACGGGGAGAATTGCAAACTCCACACAGACAGTCGCCCGAGGGTGGAATCAAACCTGGGTCCCTGGCCATATCCACCTTTCAATGTTGTTTCCCTACAGTTTCTTTATAACACTTGATTACCTTACTGATTGAAAATCTGTGTGTCTCAGGCTTGAATATACATAGCAATTCAGCCTCAACAGCTCTCTGTGATAAGGTGTTCCATAGATACACTACCCTTTGAGAACTGTTATGGGACATAATATTCTCATGCTACATCAGGTAAAACATGTTGGAAACAAATTCACACCAACCACCCGTTACTGTGCAAGATGATTGCAGGACTACACTATGAACCAGGAGCCCATATGGCTCTTGTGTACATTTGAAAAATCATGAATGTTTCACTGAAGGCATGTTGAATCATTTTCTTGATTCCAATAATTCACAACCACTGTATCTTAAAAGAAACTAAGTCCCAAAAGGAACTGAATCAGCTTATATGTTTGATCTCTCACTGAAGAGATGTTATTGAAACTAATCCCTTTAGTATCATCTGTAAAGATTGAAAGTTCCCAGCACCCACATGGAAATCAAACCAAAACTATGCATGTAAATCGCATTTGGCCCAGCACACCTTCCTCAATACAAGATGACCCAAACGGCATTACAATAATCAATGCCACAATCTTAGATGATGTCCATGATAAAATTTACAAAATTTGCATTACAGCTATAAAATGAAAATTAAAATTCATTTGGAAAATAAATTGTTTAGTCAATTGGCAATATGGGCTCCAACTTGAAGCTGTAATTTGGTGTGCAAACGTGAGCTTGCAGGGAATTTTCTAATGCAGCAGCAACGACTAATTTAATAACCAATTTGTTTGTACTTGCTACAGAATTTAGTGCAAATAAATTATAAGATATCAATTATAAAATAAAAAGAAAATACTTGCAAAAATATAAGATCCTTTGGCATCCATAAATGAAGTAAAGATAGTGTTTCATATGGATACTTTACTTGGTTGTAAATTATCTCTAGCAACAAAGTGAACATCAAAGGATATTCAATCTTAAGAAAGGACAGGCAAAATAGACAATGAGGCGGTGTATTGTTGTGAAAGTTAAATACAGTGCAAAAGTGAGAAAGAGCATGGTATTGGAAATCGTGAAGAGAAAGCAAAGTTAATGTTTTAGGTCTAGTGACCCTTCTTCAGAGTTCTAAAGAAGGGTTACTGGGCTTGAAATGTTAACTCTGCTTTCTCTCCACAGATGCTGCCAGATCTGCTTAGTTTCTCCAGCAATTTCCGATTTTGTTAGTAATCTAGATATCTGTATTAATGATTCAGAGACATGAGCTCAAATTCTACAAAGGCAATAGGGGAATTTAAATTCACTTAACTAAATAAACTGGGAGTAAAAAGCTAGTTTCAGGAATGATAATCAGACCATCAGATTGACTTGTGAGTTATTCCATCTATTTCTGTTTTTGTATCAGAACTTCAGCATTCACAGTTCTTTGTTTATCTGGATTGCTAGTCCTTCAAGATATTAAGCTTACCATACGTTTTTGCTGACTTACAGCTTTAGAATTAATGGCCTGACATGGCGAGAGGTGGGAGGATCAGCTGGCTCTGGAGCACAAATCTTCAATGCTATTGTGGAGTGAATCAAATTGGTTGAAAACTGGCATCTGTAATGATGGGCATCTCAAGGAGACCAAGGTAAGCTATCCATTTTGCATTATTGGGTGAATATGGTTGTAAACATTTCAATATGTCTTTTGCACACGGGTGCTGGGATCTACCATAATTAATGATGTAGATATCCACGGAATCTGTTCCTCCTATTAAATGTTTTAATGTCCACCACCATTCAAAGCTGGATGTGGCATGACTGCAGACCACTGTTTATTGCATGCAGCATCCATTGTTTAGCAAGTGTGCAATCCTGTGTTGTAGCTTCACCAGATTGGCACTTCTTTTTTAAGTATACATGGTGGTGCTTTTTTACACTCTTTATTGAATGAGTGTTGAAACTTTTTAATAAGAATAATGGTGGACTGAAGAATATGCTGTGCCATATGTAGTTACAGATTGTAGCAGCATACAATTTTATTGCTGCTAAAATCAGACAGCATCTCATGGATTCCCTGTATTGAGCTGCTAGATCCTTTCTGAATTTACCCCAAGTGGCAAAATTGTAGTACATGACAAGTGTTCTTATTGTAAAGACTGGATTTCGTCTCGACAAAGACTTTGTGGTGATCACTCCAACTGTCATGTACTGAGACATCTTCTTTTGCTCAGCAACATTCATCTATCTTTGTCTTAAAAAATATTTAATGACCGTACCTCCTCTATCTTCTGAGCAGTGTTTCAAAGTCACATGACCCTCTGAAAGAAAACAATTTCTCCTCATCTCTGTCCTAAAAGTGTGACACCTAGTTTGGGACTATCTCACCCGAGGAAGCACCCTTTCCATGTTCACCTTGTCAAGATCATTCATGATCTTATACATTTAAATCAAATTGCCTGATGCTCTTCCAAATCCCAGTGGAAATAAGTCCACCTTGTCCAACCTTCCTCATAAGAAAACCGACTCATTCCAGGTAGCTATCTAATAAACCTGCTTTGAACTGCCAGCAATGCGTTTAAATCCTTTCGTGCATAAGAAAACCAAACTTGCACACAGTATTCAAGATGTGATCTCACCAATGCATTGTATAACTAAAGCCCAACATCTTCCTACTATCTCTGATTCATCTTTAATGTTCAATTCATTTTGAAATAAAGAATGGCATCCATTAGTCTTCTTGAAGATGTGGTGTGGCTGGATGATAACCTTTAGTGAATTGTGCAAAAGAGCACTTAAATTCATCTGCAGCTTGAAACTCTGCAGTTATTCTCTTTTTACATTGTATTCCATTTTTTTAATCTTCTGGTCAAAATGAAGTACTTTATATGTTTCCACATTTTGCTGTAATAAATGAATCGGTTGAGTTTTGATGATAATACATAGCCTCATGGTCACTATTGCAGAGTAGCCTCAAGATTTATGAACATAGGACATAGAACAGTACAGCACAGTACAGGCCCGTCAGCCCGCGATGTTGTGCTGAACTTTTACCTGAAACCTAAGGCCTATCTAACCTCCACCGCTACCTTATACTATCATCCATATGCCTATCTAATAGCCGCTTAAATGTCCCTAATGAGGCCGACTCCACCACCCTCTCCGGCAATTCATTCCACGCCCCTACCACGCTCTGAGTAAAGAACCTACCTCTGATACCTCCCCGATATCTACCTCCTTTCACTTTAAAACTATGTCCCCTCGTAAAAGCTACCTC